TGCCTACGTACTTATTGTCTACTTCTATGTAATCACCCTTTCAATTATACTCTAAATATCTTAAAGAGTCTTAACCTCTACTATATATTTTAAGCCTTTTTATTATAATAATAATAAATTTAAGTCTATTATTATAAGCTATAAGAAAAGTAACATTTGTCACTAAAATAATAATTATAAAAGTCCTTTTTCATCTAATATTAAGGCTTAAATCCCTAAATTATGCACTTTTTAATTAAGAATTTTGTAATATACTTTTTTTACTTTGTAATATACGTCTTAATATTATGCTTAGTTATATTTTGTTGAATTACATATTTAGATCTATAAGCTAGGCTAATAGCGCTTGTATTAGCAAAATAAGAGGTAGTTCTGAAGCGAAATAAAGCATTTTTGACCATCTTAATAATATCACGTTTATATAAGGCTAAAACCGCTTTCTAGTTATAGTTATAGATTTGTTTGCTTTAACACACTATTTTTAACTTAAGGATTTAATAGCCTGTTGCCTTACCTATATTATGCAGCTTAAATACAGTACCCTACCAAAAGTATTAGGACAAAACGCGCTTTTTTTTCTATATATGTTTTTTATTGCCTTTTTTAATTAATTATTATGAATTAATGTAAGGCTTTAGCATCTTTAGAAATTAACAGGAGCTATAGCTAGGAGCTATCTCTATATTAGCGCGGTCAAATTACAGCCTACTATAAGGTAGGCTTATTAATTAGGAAAATTAGCAAAAAAGTAGATTGTACTAGATCTATTGTTTTTAATATCCTTATACGAAATTTACTCTACAATAAAGGCAAAAGCTTACTATATTCTAGCAGACCTTTTATATTAAATCGTGTTCAAAAACGAAACATTTTATACATTATTTAAGCTAATCTAAGAATTACTTATATAGCTCTTTAACTTAAAGCTAGGGTAACTATTTATTATAATACCCTTTACTAAATACTTAAAGATGAAGGCATTACTAATTAGCTTGCTAAAAAAAGACCTCTTCTAACTCCTAAAGTAGTTGCTAAACGCCTTGCTTAGTATTTAGAACAAAAAGATTAGACATGAGATGACTAGCGCAAGATAATATTTAGTAATAAATGTTCTCTTAAAAGAGGCTCTAGAGCCTGGCGAGTTTAGAACTTTTGTACACTACAACAAAAGTGGGATAAGGATATAGTTCAACTATTTAAGAAAGGCAAGGATATTAGCGTTATGATATAAGGTGCTATTTATAAAAATAGGCGTTTAGATATCATTCTTTTAGAACGTGATCCTGATTCAGAGAAGTCAGGATATACTGCCAACTCATATCTCACTATTCTCTGTGAGCAAATCCCTCGAACGTACGAACCTGGCCGGATTTTCATGCAAGATAACGCCCGAATTCATACTGCAAAAAAGGTTATGGCCTGGTTTGAGGAGGAGGGTATAGTCATGCGCGAAAGTATCTGACCAAACCTCTAAACACACCAAAACCCGCACTTTTTACAACTAAATAAAAACTTTAGCTAGGTGTCAATCCCATATTTAAAAATTTAGAAGATATTCAAAATTAGTAGATTAATCTTTTATTAATAGAAACTTAGGTCTTAAAACTTATGGATTTTAAACAGGAGAACTAGAAAGTAGAGTAATTCAAATTTTTGATAAAATTTGTATGAGACTCCATACAAATTTTTTCTACTTTTTCGAGATTTTGACTTTAATCCTGTTCTATTTAATGTGTAGATATTTTACATAAAAACTTTGTATTTATCAATGAATATTTCATCAATTCTAAATTGAAATCATATTTAAAATTTAGTAGTTGACGCCTAGCTAGAGTTGTTATAACTATTTTTAAAAGTCGTCTTTTTGGTGTGGTTCCACACAAATTTTCAAGTCGGTCAGATACTTTTGCACTAGTACTGTATTATTCAAGGAGACAATTTCTTTGGGAACGAGTTGCTATTTGATTACCACTTTCACAAGAAATCATCATGCTTTTCTAAGCAATCCAAGTAGGCTCTCCAGCAGTTTGCAGCGGCTGAACCTTGCATCAAGCTGATGTTTGAGCGCCTATTCATGGGAAATGTGATGTATAAATGCAGTGATTAGGGCCAAAGGATGGTATACCCGCTTCTGATATCTAGCTGCCTATTTAGGAAATTAGTACTATTCGAAAGAGCAGATTTTGGCGCACCATTTAATTGATTCTTATAGGATTTCAATAAATACCGGGCGTACAGTAGTAATTTGTATGGGAAGAGTGGAAAATGTTGATGGGGTAAAAATGCGGGGTGTCCCAATACTTTTGGTGTAGTACTGTAGCTCTTTCTGAGTCAATTTGCCTGCGGTAGCTTGTGCATCAGCAAGAAGCCGTACACAGCGCAGAGTGTCGATTATCGTTCTTGGCCTGCGTGGCGACTTTGGGCTCAGATTAATTGCAGGATCAGGGTTTTGGCAATTTCTTCTGCTTGTTTTGCGCATTCGAGCCATTTTGTAGACGATTTCAGCTTGAATTGATAGAGAAATAGAGGGTTGAAGATAGAGGGTGTAAAACAAGGGTGTACGGAACTATCTTTATTTTTGGCACCTAGCTTCGGCCCTTGAGCCTGGTTAGGATATGCAGCGGGCGACTAATAGGCGTGCTTAGGGAAGTCTCAGCACTAAGAGCCCTATGACATAGAAAGCCCACTACTTGAAGACAGTTCCAGACAAGTACCGAAGGTCCAGTGATTTTTATATGCCTCCTTTGGTATGATGGACCTGAACTACTAGTTACACGCTCTGGCCATTCAAGATTAGTTATCCCTGGTGGAGCTCAAATATCAGCATAGCTTACTACCTTTGGGGCATGACTCTGTGCACCATCCACGTTTACGAGCCTCGACAGCAAGTTTCAAACATCACCAAGAGAAAAAGAGCGACCTGCTCCCACGCCAACATCCAATGTTCTTTATGCATGAGCAGACGATATGTCAAGCCCCAACTTTCCGCCATAGTTGAATCTATAACCAGCAGTTGGAAGGTTTTTCTTGCGAAAGCCAGGCAATTCCACGACTGACGAATTTACGACACTCTTTCATTTCGAGCACAAAGTCTAGATAGTATAGCCAAAGGCCTTTAGAACGACATGACCACACAATGCAACGTTCAACTGATACCTAGTGCCACTAGAAGCTCCAGTTCTAGAAGGTCAAATCAGTAAAGTACTTTGATAGATCTGCTGCAACTTCAAAAAGTTCGAGCCCGTTCACAGCTTATCTAAAGTCTTAACTGACTCCTCAGCTGTCTTATGAGCACTTGCCGGATTGGCTCCCGTCACAATCGTACCATCTACAATGGCAGAAGTATCCCAAGGTCCAGACGGTGACACGTCTATATTGGGTCAGGATACAAAATACACCAATTGATAAGGTTGACCTACGGGTCGCACCGCCATCGGCAGCCGCCATCTCGATGGTAGGTCGATTGCAGCTCTTGATCGTGTCAAGGACGCCCTCTTAGTAAAACCAGTCACCTTCTTGCCGTAGATGATGGATTTTTTTGGTCGAGGGATCAACTACTCCGGGGAAGATTGCTCCACCATGGCAACTGTGGTTGTTCAGCATGCATTGATAACGTTACTATGATACCAAAGTGCAGATTTGACTTACACAGCGGAGATGATATCGTCATTCCGTGTACATCTTTTGACGCGATATCTTGCAGTTTTGATCAGGATCAATTTCGCGCTCACCCTTTGCTTCCGGAGAATCAATCAACGAAGCATGCGGACTCCGGCTGAAGCAAAGTAAAGCCCATACGGTATACCACCCAACAAACCCCCAAAGACAGCCATCCCACCCCCAGTCGGCCCCACCACCAATCCTACCTCACAGCTAGCCAGCCAGCCGGCCAGCGAAACATCAAACTGTACTCACATCCCCAGCCCTAACATCAGCAGTGTTCCTCAGCTGATCCAACTTCCCCCTGAACTCACTCCCACAATCCTCCCACTCCTTCCAGTCCTCACCACTCAATCACTCCTACTGCATCGACAGCCAGTCCGGCTGGTAGGATCCCGTCTCGGAGACGAGATCAACATCGAAGCCTGCGGCGCGGAAGACTCGGAAAGGGTGCAGGGCTTCGGTTATGAAGAGGCCTACATATCATACCTTTCAGACAGCTGGGGAAGGAGCAGTGAGTGAGCAAGAGGGATTGAGAGAATGGTAAAACGGGAGCTGGGGGGCTTGCTCCAGAAGGCAGAGACAGCATCTCCTCGCAGCAACGAAACACACTATACGGAGAATGCGTACTTCATTGCTTGAAACGGAACTCGATGAGGCATTGGATTTTGGGGCATACCGGTCTCCTTTCCGTCCGGATAGAGCGGCGCATGCGCCGACGTGACTTGGTCGTCGAATGGAGTCAAGTTTTAGTAACCAATATTTTATCAAGAGGACTGTCGAGATTTTTATCTCACGGACGGAGTCCGCCAAGACTTTTTTCTTTCATCCAAAATAAACCCGAGTACTTTTAAAACGACAGTAAGTGCCCTCTCCCTCTCCCTTTGGGGATCCCCGCCCCCCAAACCCCCAACTATCCTACACAATAGGTGTGAATAGTAGTAACAGTAAGATATTTGTGAAACAAACATTTCGAGAGTTCTACATCATGGTGCTTATTATTGATGCTAGGGCCCTATACTTCCGTTTTTGGCGAATAAGGCTGACCTGTTCGGTCTGGCGTGGCGGGGCGGGTCTGTGCTGGATGGGAAACGGGGAGTGTTCTTGGGGAAGGTCTTTTTACGAGTAGAGAGTATGAAATACTAAGGAATTGCCCGAAATGTCGGACATCACAATGCTGAGATAGGTCCTGCAGGAGATGTGCACGTATTGCGAAGAGGTCAGAAGCGTCTGTATTTATGCTACCCATTCTCTTAGTATGCTCTGTAGCTCGGTCTATGTAAGTATCTGATGTGGCCATCGATGGCTTCCAAGATGGTCAGTCGCTCATCGTTTCACCCTCAGTAGTAGACCACTCCCTCCATGAGTGACCGTGCTGTCCTCTTCACGTTGGCATTAAGCACGTTGCCGGCTTCGTCTTTCTCAACCCCGACTTCGATGGTTCCGCTCGGGTGTCCAATCGTCAATACTCCCTCCTTCACCTTCCTCGGGCCCACCAGAGCCTCCACGATACTGCCCCTGACCGTCGCAGCAACGGCCATACATACAGCAACTGTAAGTGGTATGGTCCGATGTGGCTGACGATCCGACATGACTCTTGCGACGATGTCTACGTGATCCTGTTCGAAGTCTTTCCCGTTCATCACCTTGTATGTAGCAGGTTTGCTCACGACAGCAATCTTCGGCACGCACCTTGGCGCGTTTTCAGTATCATGGCACATTCCCATTGCCCGTCCGCCCAGATGTCTTATTTTCTCGAGTCGCTGGAGCAACGGGAGATTACCAGAAATCTCGTCTAGCAGCTCCGTCCCACCAACCCCGAGATCAGCTGCTTCGGCGAAGATGCAGGGATTCGCGGCATCCACGCAAGTTGCATCTATGCCGTCAAGCTTGTCGATTGCATTTCCACTTGGTAGCAGAGCCCCAGTCTTCGAGCCTGCAGGGTCCTGGAATGATAGGCTGATCTCCGCTCCAGTGCCAGGCACGCCGGCGATAGAATAATCACCTCCTGTTGCTGCCTCTATCCTGTCATCGGTTACGGGAAAAGTGCTGTGGATGATCTTACTTGTGTTAGTATTGCGAATGCGAACTGTCACACTTGATTTAGAGGCGGGAGGTACAAGTCTGTGGTTGTAGGCATATGGTCCAATGACTGACATTATGTTGCCGCAGTTGCCGGAAAAGTCGACATCATCAGAGGTGATACCAACAGCAGCAAACGTGTAATCAATGTCCGCCGAGAGATGGGTGCTTGGTGAAACAATGCATACTTTCGAGAGGCTGGAGATGCCGGCTCCAAGGCCGTCGATTTGTCGATGATATTTGTCTAAATCCCACAGCGCTCAACACCATTAACGTCATTCAACCCTGGCCAGCTTACCAGGAGATCCTAATACACGTAGGAAAATGAAAGGCCATTCGCTCTCGTCGACCGGCAAATCCCTGCGGTGGAAGATGACTGCTCGTGATGTGCCTCCCCGCCAGTATGCAGCTGGTATTGAATGCTGTGATGTCTGCACGCCTTAAGAACACGCGATCAATTAGAAGAGATAGCGACCAGTGAAATTCTCCCCTACCTCGTGAGGTCCTCCTCGAAAAGGTACTTGCTAATGAGTTCTTCGGCCTAGAAAGTGGCTGCAAACTGAAATAAGGAATATAGTGCCGCGAGAGACAGACGACTCGCGAACACAACGATAGCTCGTTCATTGCTGACCTACCTGAGTTCGTACGATGGAAAGACTGGGTTGAGGCTACTACAGAGAGTACATTTCAATCAGCGCTTCCAATCAGGCACTGTTTGGCAGCATGCAGCACGTTGGGACGAGACGAGCGAAACACGATCAGGCTGACCGCTTCTTGTCTCTCTGACTGCCCACAAAGCCACTGTTGGGAATATCTTCGGCGTTGCAAATGACTTCCTCCTTGTCACATTAGCCTCGGTTCGAACCAGGGAAGATATATTTCGGAACTGGAACCGAAAGAAATTTAAGATCAGGCAACTCCCCAGTGCCAAGCCTTCAGCTCGGGCTGCCATCAGGATGTTGTTGGCCAGGCACAAACTTACACGTAAGCTGAACGAGTAAGCCATGTCCCGGTACAGGGAACAATGATTGGGAATTGATCTAGTTAGATCGGCAAGTTATATCTGAAGGCCATAACAATGCGCTTATGAGGACGACTTTGCTACCTATACTCTGCACCAGTTGTTGTGAACACGAATCTGCTATCATTTGGCCTTAAACATGCCTATCACAGAGCTCGCACTCCTCCGTATCTCCGCCGGCCTCTCTTACACAGATCCCTGCCTCCTCGCGAACCTCGCAACCGCCAGGGCCGCGATGGAGAAATTTACTTCCTTCCCATTCTACCTCTACCAATGCATCGAGGATCCGGCGCTGATCTACCTCATTGGTAGCTGGTCCTCCCTAGCCCAGCACATGGAGTCTTGGATCCCGTCTTCAGAGAATCAAGCATTATTGCAGCTGATGAAGGATCAGGTCGAAGTTGAATGGATGTTTCATGTTGCCCTTGATCCTACCACTCTACCCATCAATGCACCGCTTCTGGCCATCGCTCGGCATTTCGTGGCGAGGGACAACAAGATCAAGTTTGAGGAAGTATTCGATGGTGTGAAGCACTATCTTGAGCTTTGCGCAGGAAGTCAGGAGCTGGTGAAAGGTGGCTGGAAAATCGAGAAGGATGATCAAAGGGTAAGAGAGGAGGAATGGGTGTTGTTCAGTGGCTGGGAGAGTGTTGAAAAGCATATGGACTTTGCAGAGACAGAAGACTTCAAAGAATATGTTCGTATCATAGATTGGATGGAAGGTAGTGAGATCAGATACGCGACGAGAATGACCCTTGTCTAGACGAGATGGCAGTCAAATTGTTTTCTTAAGGCGGCCTTGACTGCTATGCCAGCGGAGGATACCTCTCATGCTGCTATTTAGTTTCATCGTCCAGCAACTGCGGCGTAGGTGTAATCTCAAGGTACTCTCCTGTACTCTCATTTTTCACTTTCTCTGCTGGGACGAGAACAAATAACATCCTGCAAATCTCGTTCGAGACATTCTTCCACGCGTGAATGGTACCCCTGCAGTCAATGTCAGTACATGCCATGGGGACAGCCCGGTTCAGGTTCAGGCAATAATCACCTCTGTACGACGACTGCTCCCTCCTCGACCTCCGTTTCCACGCCATCATCCAGCTCAAGCATGATTCTGCCTTTCAACACGACCCCAAAATCGAGACTTTGAGTCCTGTGCATAAAGCCTTCGGGGAGCTTTCCACCTTCACCCAGCTTTATAGGTGGGAAGTCCACAATGCGGCATGTAGTTCCGACCTTGTCTTCAAGGCTCATCTTCTTGCCATGGTATTCGATTGGGGGCTCGGTGTTGGAAGCTGGAAACCCAGAAGTGCGATGCACAACGGCAAAGGCGAATGGGTCTGAAGAGTCGGAGGTCAATGGAGCATTTGTGTACGGATTCAGTGGCGTGAGCTTTGTGTCTGACTCAATGATTGCTTTGCCCTCTGAATTATGCCCAGTGACAATGCGGTGGACTGCTGGAGGTAACGCCATTACTGTCAAATCGCCTGAACTTGGTTTCTGGTCGCTGAGAGATTGAACGTGACTTTGAGGTGAGGAAAATAACAGGATGGTTCGTGGTGGTTTTTTACTGCGAGGCAGCAAGGACTTGTCCGACGGACTGCGGGGCAGGGTACTGCCAGCTCATCCAACTCCAGCATAGTCCGTATTGTACCTGCAGTAGCGCTGCAGATGGCAGAGCTTAGGCCAAGCGCGGACCGGAGATAGAGAAGCACGTGATTGAGTGAGAGTGTTTAGAGGACACCAATTGCCTCCTCTTAAGTACCAAGCTGGTCAGCGCTTGGTTCGGATGGCATACCTACATTGCCTGTTATCCCGGCAATCACCCATTTGACGGACTCTCGCTACCTCCTGAACGCTTTGACCTCTCTGCGCCTATGCATAAGTTAGAACGTATATTCGGCAATAGAGACTTCTTTGCTCACCACCAAGCTTTGAAGTCCATCGTGCTTGCATCGATCCCCAGGTCTTTCAGGCTCTTCGTACTCAGATGCGTATCGTACGGTCGCTGTACCGCCGCCTTCGGATCACTTCCTTCTTTATTGGCTTTTAACCCGCCCATCGGAAGTCCCATGATTTCTGCGAAGATCTCACAGATTTGATATTTGGTCAATCTGTCCTCGCTGCTGAATTGCAGAATAGTAGGCAAACTGCTCCTCTCGGCTGGGAGCGTCTTCAAATATAGTTCTGCAACATCCTTACATACCCGTCCAACATCTTCGGTATTTGTAGGATATCTTTGAGCCCAATCATCGATATTGATCGATGCGTTGGCCTCCTGCGCCTTCCAGAGCATGTCCATCAAGACATTGATGGCACTTTCATTATTCTTCCCCTCCCACACCGAGCCGTAGAGGACTGGTACCCGCAAAGACACACCGAGTCCTGTATTTTTGGTAGCCTCAAGGACTGCCTTTTCTCCATCGAGCTTCGTTTGGCCATACTCGTTGGTCGGTGCTGGTAGAGTATCGGTTTCGTATGGCGCATCACCTGGCTTTCCTGGAAACACATAGTCGGTACTGATGTATATAATGAAGATCGACCGTTCACGAGTCAAGTGTGCAAGAGCTCGAGCAGCCCGCACATTGAGGGCACGAGCTGCCTCAGGATCATTGGAGCAGATATCTGGCGAGCGCTCTGCGGCACCTTAGACACTTATTAGTACCACTGTTGACACTGACACAATCGCTAGGGCTGTTACTGACAGTGGACAACTGCCTGAGGTCTGGAGTGCTTGTTAGCAGATGAATCCTTTGCAGCGGTCTGCGGTGGTCTGCAGTGGATGAGACTTACCTGACCTCGTCCAATACTTTTGCAACCTCTGCTTCATCTAAAACATTAAGCTTGAGTGTTTCCGGTGGCGAAGCTCTGCTGAAGCCTGTGCCTGTGACCTCCCACCCAGCGCTTCTGAAGGCCTTGACCACTGCACGGCCAAGCAAGCCAGTACCACCAGTGACCAAAGCTCTTCGGGACATCCTGATAGGTATTGATTGAACTGACGATTAGGTGGCGTAGAGATCGTCCTAGCGCACTCTTCATAAAGGGGAACCCTGGCAAGCTACATCAAATTTGCGAATGGATCTGGCTGCGCCAAAAGAAGTTGTTGGCCACCGGACCAATGTATTTTCATATCATGCTTGCGTGACCTGCCGGAGTTCTCTCTACTCGGTAAGGCTCAGGGTGGAAGACCGGCCCGGAGTTAGGAGCCACCTACCTTGTCCCTACCACAACGAGGCTCTCACAATGAGGCTCTCACAAGACTGGTTTTATTCTCAGTATTCAAGAGGGTTCTACTTACTTCAGGATGCGTGTTTGAGCAATTGGCTGTCCGGGTACTATGATAAGTATGCGCATCCACTGTCCTCTACAATCGTTATCAGAGTCCCAATTTCCAAATCAGACATGTCTCGTGCTATAGCAAAGCAAAACCATGTCTACCGCCGTTTCGTTCCCATCCTTTGTACTCACTCAACCGTATGACGGAGTTTAGAATGGTCATGTTAAACAGTGGGAAAAGGCCGTACCTGCACAGCTGCCTGAGCAGTCGTTGGGATAAACGATGTCGTAAGTTTGTCCCCGGCATGCATGGATGGGACCAGTATCAGGCTACCAATCATAGCCCTGTCTAGCTTAGATGATGAGGGGAAGAGGCTGAACGTAGAAATAAACGAGGGCAGCATTCTGCTCACTGCAATGGTAGGAACTCTATTCACAGAACACCCTGTGTTCAAATCTGAAGATAGAGCAGCATCCGAGGTCTCTCTACAGCTAAGATATCCAGTACCACCCCACCCTCCCATTTCTCTTCGTGGAGATACAATCTCATCGTTGTTTTGCCCGGAATTTGGCACTCGGAAATACACATGGTGGTCGATCATGTCTGCCATGAGAAGTTGCTTGAATGCGAGTATTTTGGTTGACTATTCCTTTTCACCATACTGATTTTCTCCAAAGTGTTCATAAAGACTAGCAATTTTTTCGAATCTGCTCCTCCTTGTCTTCGAAAGCCGGATGTACACTCTTCAGATGATGGCACATGTAATCTTCGATCTCTTCTCGAATCCAAGGCCTACGAAAGCGCACATATGCGACCCATTCTTCGCTTTTGCCATTAAGGATATGTCACTGAAAAGAGCGGCTCTGGTGTCGAAGTGACTATGGCGTGATCGAATACTTTGTACCATGAACCCTGATATTCCTCTGGCGTGTCTCTGGGGTAGTGTTTGTGGTCTTGACAGTTCATGATGATATTACCCAAGCAAAGCACAGCAATGGTGGCAGCAAGATCTCAAGTCGAGTTGCTGAGCAGATTCTCCCAAGCGATAACACCATGTAGAGTACGCTCCGCTCTGAGCTGGAACAATTGCATAGTGGTCAATATATGGCTTGGCAACTTTGAGGTAAGATGAAGTATGGTATTACTGTTCAAAGGTCGGGAGAAGTCAAAGCGACAATGACTTCTATCGTTGTAAAGACCTAAAGACTCTCACTAGAGCTTGTTGATTGCACAAGGAGCCACGCCAGCCCTTGTAACATTCGGGAAGGATTCTGGATGCTGCACAGAGATGCAGTGATGCAGTGAGGCATCGTATCATGTCGCATTGGGACACAAGCACCATTCTGCGTACCATCAGCATCAAAGTTGCCAAAGTCGGTGTCAGAGCAGGAGCACACGGGAACGGTATGACTGGTGATTCTATACACACAGCTTGCTTCATCGACGTGTCGCCCGGCATATCCTAGGGCGAAATCTCAAGGTCCCATATTGTATTTCGGCCCATGCTCAATATCTTTTACCATTTTCCAAGCCATTCCAATAACTTTGACCAATTCCTGGGGGAGTGGTCCTTGCTCAAGTATGTCCAGGTTCTCCGCTAGTTGCTTCACATTGCTTGCTCCGACAATCACACCGTCGCCGCGTTCGGCATCTAACTGTGAATGCCAGACTATCCATCGCAATCCAACATCATGTCCTTTGATTCCGTGTTTTTGAGCACACTGCCGCACCATCTCCCCGGCCGAGAACATTAGATCGTGAAAGTAATCATGGCTATACTTTGCGCCCAGAGGCGATTTGGCGTCCCACCGTGAGCCAGAGACCCCTGATGTCGCCCTGGTCACCTTCCCGGAGAAAAACCCACAAGCGGATGGGCTGTATGCATGGAATTCTATATCATGTTTTCGTAGTATGGGGAGCAGCTCCTCTTCGGCACCTCGACAGATTGCGTTGTACTGGCCCTGATACACAGCTGGCATGACAAGGTTTTCAACCTGACAGATCTGGATCACTTGCTCCACTTCAGAGACGGAGAAATTTGAAAGCCCCCACTTTTCGAATTTTCCAGCGTGATAAGCGGAGTGCATGGCTGCCAGAGTGTCTTTGAAGGGCGTAGCTCGGTCTGGGGCATGTAGGTACATTGTATCCACACTATCCATATTAAGAGCGCCAAGGCTCTTCTCGATGCTAGCCGCAATGTTCTTTGGGCGATGGGATCCAAGCATAAAACTAGACACCTTTGTGCTGACGTTGGCCCACGTGCCAATTTTCAAAGGCTTCGAACCAAGCAGCTTTTCACACGTCCCACCACGTCCGACTGGATATGCCCGGGCCGTGTCAATGTCGACATATCCACGTGACCTGAAAGTGTCGAGGAACTTTGCTGTGTCTTCGACAGTATTGATTTTAGCCATGGCCACGTTTGCTGACCCAATGGAGGCGGTGCCTAGTATGACCCGAAGGGCCGGTTTCTGATTGCCATAGACGCCGTTTGCGTCTAAAGACGCCACCTGGCGGGAGTTTGGCGCGGACATGTTGGTGAAAGCAGAGTCGTTAGAGGTGGGAGGCAGTAGGATGTATTGGGGATGTGGCCTAAATCGATAGCCTGTTTGATACAGAAGTACTGTTGAAAATCAACGGCATGATGGATGATGGCATACAGAGTTAAGCTGTAGACTCCAAATTGGTACAAACGAAACCTAAGCCCCGAATCACGTTTTTGATTGTGCGCAATTGGAGACTTGAGGGAGAGGTGGAGATGTTATTTCCCACAGGCAAACAGCCCAGACGACGTTTCCCAGCTGTGTGGATGGGTGATGAAGAGTTGAGAGTCGGCACCTCGCACGACGTGGACACTCTACCGACAACCGACAACCGAGTAAGAAGAAGCAGGGACCAGTCAAGAGAGGGGTCCCTTAGATTTTGTAGATCTCGAATCTTCAGCGGACACTCCACCGGGAGGGACTGCAAGCGTAAGCGTCCCACTGAGCTGGGCCTGGCCCCCTAAAACTTCAAAGCGGAGGAAGGTCCGCCGGGGAGGAACCCCTTACCAGAGTTTTCGCCCCAAAGGAACGTCCCCAAGCAGTGACTATCTGAGGATGTGGGGCAGCGTTGGCGGTTGAGCGAACGGTTTGTTTCAGGTTGATAGTCGGGACCGCTCGGCTTACCAATAAGGGGAGGCCATTTTCAGCCAATTGTAGAAAGAATATTTTTGACCTAAAACTTAACTTGTACTTAGTGCGTGCTGTTAACTTTTTAGCGAGCACTTGGGCGAAAACGCGCCCCACATCGCCTGCACGCCACAGGAAGATCTTCAAGGGACCGAGAACCATAGGTGAGAGGGGAAATGATCTTGGGGGCAAGTATACTACGTGTAGGCCTCTGGTGGAGGGCATGTGGTCCTCTAGCATGGCCGATCCCGGGGCTAAAAGGCACTGATCTTGATGCTGCCAGTGATGGAAGGATCAATCTGATGCTTGTGACAGGACGGGAGATCGTCTACTCTGGTTCGTGCTTCGTGTCGGCCAGACTCTGGGAAGCGAGACGGTTCATGCTGGTAATAACTCGGTGCTCGTGTGGGTGCGAGTGAGGACGGTTCCGTATTTAGCTCGTCCTCCACCTTTCGTGATGATATGTCCCTCATTGAGACACAAGAACCTGTCAATCATCACCTCAGGTGCAAATCCGCCAGCTGCGAACACAAAATGATGGGATTTGATTCGGGAGACGAAGCCTGTCAGGGAGGCGATGATAGTGTCAGAGTACCAGCTCCCAGGAAGTCCTAAGACGCCTGTGGACAGAGTAACATCTCAGGACTCAGGAGCGCGTGGTCCGCCATGCAGTGCCGTGGTTGTGGTTTGTACCTTCGAATTCCAACTCTTACCTGATTTGCCAAGACTCCTGCAGCTACTAGTACCTGCTAGTCCTGTATGGGGAATGCATAAATATTGCTAGGCTGGCACTAGCATCAACTTGCTGTGATACGCCACACCCATTTTCATTGGCTATAACGAGCATCTTCAGCAGCTGTCGTCAACTTTCGACAAGTTGAAGATGTGCACAGTGTAGGATCTGCTCTTAGAAACACCAGATAAAGTAAGAGAATGTATGGAGTTCTCTACGTTTGTTGGTCGATCAAAATTTGACTTTATTTGAGTCACACTAGAACAAAATGTGGGTCCTTATGTAATATGGTTATGGTAAGGAAACTGTTTATGCTGCAAATTTACTAGTGCTAAGCTGCTAACCACCTCCATGCCACCCCTGGTAGGGGACTAGTATTCAGCTGAATTCAGCGCGCGTACAGAAAAGGGATACATCAACCACTCCGCCAAAAGGACAGCGCTTGTGGGTTTCGAACCACACTTAATTGATGTACCCCTCACTGACTCGTACTACGTACTACTAGTCATCAGTAGTATTCCCCAACAGCATTCTGATCCTCAATTTTCAAGCGTGTCTCTGTCGATCCAACCCGAGGCAGCAGAACCACGCTTCATCGGCCCAGCCCAAAAGTGGAAGCTAACCTTGATCAGCGTGACTCGCAGATGTACGTCGTACGCCACAAATTCATACCAATTTATGTCTCGCGGGATCTTGACGATCAACTGTAGGTGCCACTGAGCGATCGATCATGGCAGATTCCCGATTCCGCAGGCCTGCTTGCGATCAGACAATCAAAGGGGATCTTGCTACTTTCGGCCAATTAGCAAGACAATCCTTCCACTTCCAACTTACTTTCATGTATTCAGAAGCAATTAACCATAGCGTCGATTTTGCTTCAACTTTTTTGAGGGAATCCTGATCTTGCGCTTGCGATCTCCGCCAGCAGCTGTCTTTGTTCTTACCGTTTCTGCGGCATCCTTGTGACCCTTCTCATCCGTCTGACAAGACCAGACGATTGTATCCGTTAAACGGAGCTGTTCAAGATGAGATCTTGCTCAAATAAGGAGCACGGTTTTTGTATATGCTCTTTTACGTCTGACGGAATTTCCAACCCCATTTCTCGGGTTTCGTATCAAGCAAATTGTGGTGATAGCAACCCAAAGTTTCAGTACACATGTTACATGTTACATATTACTGGGCAAAGAAACACTAACAACACCATGGAAGTATGCGCTGCCCATCAAAGATGTTTTTCATGGGGTTTGTTTGTCTCAGGCAGCAAGCATCACAACAATAGCAAAACACAACAGGCACAATGTGATTTCTTTCTTCCCTTGTTCCTCAGATCAACTTCGCCATGCGGATAAGGCGCCTGCAAAAGACCTGCTCCGTGACCCTGTATCGCTACAGGCCAAGCACATCCTCAATCCAGCTTCTGCCCTGACAGCATGCCTCCCTCCAACCATGATGCCTGTCCCAGCAGCCTATCGAGCACCCATTCGGCGCCAGACAAAACCAAGTCCTCATCTCCAGCCCTCGACGCTCTACAAGCCGAGCTCGACGCACGTGAGTATCTCACAAACCCGTCTCAAACAAGAACAGGGCAGTTAACAAGGGCCAGTGCTTGATTACCACCTCTACCTTTCCGAACCAGAAGTCCACAAAGCCACCCATGATCTGCTTCGAGGGTACAGTCACATCGTCCCGACACTGTGTTTCGTCGAGCAACAAAATAAAATAACCAGTGAAATTGCCACCGTATCTGAGGAGCGCACGCGCTTGCAAAACAAGTCCGTCGAAATGGTCGCCAAAGCCAAAGCGTGTAAGGAGAAGGTTGCTTTGCTTAGAGAGAAGCTAGTAGCTTGCGAAAAGCGTGATGACGTTGGAACGGAGGAGCATGTAGCGGTTGACGGAAAGCTTGATGTGGTACCTGGAACTAATGTTATTGCTGGGCAAGAAAAGTGGTTGAGACTGCTTTGAAAGGGATAGAGTGAGTCTGGCATAGAATTCATCTACGCGAGCTCTTTAGCATGGTACCTTCAGAGTAGACTAGACGGTTGAATCATTTTCGAAAGTATAAGTATCACTGTCCATCTTGAAAGTCTGTAGTTAGTGTAGTAACTGGATTGCATAATACTAAGGTGTTGGGGATTTTTTTCAAGGCAAGTCTATCGTTATGTTGAGTCTGTGTAACTGCGCCGCAAGCCTCAAAGGTGCCGCCACCTTTATATGAGTGAAGCGTTCCAAGCAGGATTAACCCAACCAGCACAACCCACCATGAAAAATATGTTACCTCATCATTTTATTTCTTGTTGTGGTGATGATGATGGCCGATCAGTCGTCCCAGAAAACGATCACCCCGGCCTCATGTGGTTCAATCGCCATCGTTCCATTTTCCCGCTTTCGCACCTGTGCTCTGCTCTTTAGCAAGGTGTCTGCGGCCTTGAAGTCCATATCCTCGTCATCCACGTGGCAACTGTGTAGGCATATCTGCAGAAGGGTTGGGATGCCTTCGGCATGTTCCAGCAAGTCCGAGGGCATGAGTTGATGCGGTTCTGCTTTAGCCGTTCGACGTATATCTAGCCGCTCCAAGACAGGACGTGTGCGACAGGAGCTGTAATTAGTAATCGCAAGATCTGCCGGCAGGCTCAACAGCCTCACGCCTGAGCAGGCCAATGCCATATTTATTGGAGGGCGAAGACAGCTGCCAGTCGTGACATCCACCGCAAGTATCTTGTAAGGCATGTTAGGGTATACATCGGACAGACTGTAAAGGCGGCGGAGGCCACAAGCCCTGTCCAGGATGACGTGGCGGAGTGACGATGGCCAGTCCCGGAGAAAAGACTTTGAGAATAGCGATCGTGAAGGGAAGAAGCCATTCAACGTGATTCGTTGGAGATTTGGTGGCCATGGAATCTCCGTGATGTCATGCACGCTGCGGAAATCCGTACTCCGCGGGAAGGCGAAGGCTCTGAGTTGCTTGAGCTTCCGGAACGGCCGGAGGACCTGGTCAACACGTAGACTGTCAAACATGGAGTACAAATTGATCTGCCGTAATTGCTGGCATTTGGAAAGTGGAATAAAGCCGTTAAGACTAAGGCTGGACGTCAGCAATGCTGTGTCGATAGTGCAAGACAGCAATCGCAATTTCATAATCGACAGAAAACAATTCTGCACTGTAATCCTGCTGGCCTGACTAAACTGTAATTAATACTTCCTCCATCCGGTACATTCTGCGTCAATAGCCAGCATTCAATACCTCCTTATGTAGCAGGGCAACGATAGACATGAGAAACCCATCAAGGGGGGACCGGAAGTATAGAGACTCAACTTACGAGAACGTTTTAGCAGGTGCAATAAAAGTCTCAAGCCCTCCCTTTACTCTACCCAGCAGTCGGGCTGTAAGGCTATTCGAGCTCTCGTATGCCAAGCTACCCATGTCAAGATGTTTTATGTAGAGTGCAAACTCACGCGCCGGGGCAGCCCGACCCCTGCGTATACTGGTGGGCGAGCACACTGTATATATGAAGTGCTCGAAATTCCTGCCTTGCAGGCAAGGACTTTCGTAGAGCAAGGGTACCGCAGCGGAGTACCATTGGCGGGAGACAAGGCAACAAGCCCAGAAATTGCGCTGGCTATCTGACCCATCTTTCAGAAAGAAAAATATTTGCTGTAGAATCTCGACGGGAAGGTAGACAAAGGCTTCCGGGTTGATTGCACTGCCGATCTTCATGATATGGACCTTTGTGGGCAGAAGTAAAGGAGAAATCCTGACTTTGCTCCGTACACCCTCGACTACTTGGTAACACTAACTGACGTAGTATCATCAAACTGTGGCGAACTCCGTTGGAGGCGGACTCATCGGGCTTGGCGCCAAGTCTAGGGTTTTCTCCGCAAGGGCTCTGATTCAGTTGTTCATGAGCAGCTCTGGACAGCCTAACAAGAGAAAAGAGACAATCTAAGGTCAGGATGCCCAATTCAAACGTCATTAATATTATTTAGGAAGAGACTTCACCTTTCCCCTTGAAATATACGCTTTTTAGCGCTGTGATTTAGTGCTTTGGGCCGACTAAAAGCATTGCCGTTCCATCCCTTCCGTAATCAAGCACCATATTACCGTAGCCCCCCCTATCAGTAATTTAGTAGCACCTTAGCCAGCTCCTCCAGCTCCTCCAGCTCCTCCAGCTCCTCCACCTAGGCTACGATCCTCAGATTTATTCAAACAGTGATATCATAATAGTATGTGCGAGCCATCATGTTGCTATGCAGTCCCTCAGACCCCATTTCTCACTCTCTTGCAGACCTCGCAAGTTTTTGCTGCGACACGGAATTGGCGCATGGATTTGGTAATCTTGGCTGCAAGAATGGCGCAGGCACTGAGGCCGAAGAGGACTTAGTGTTGAAGATGCCCTTCTTAATGCAGCCGTCCTCACCGTTCTTATCGCATGAATGAAGTGTATGAGTACGTGGGGTGGAGATGATGAGATGGGTAGAATAAAAGGGCACTCTCAATGTACTGCGGGATCAACACTATCAGCACTATGAGCTTACCTGCGAATGATATCTGCAAGGCTGAAAGAGAGCTCTTTGTATGTATTGAATTCGAGGTAGTAGACGCGATGTATATTCCAGTGATCAGAGGCCGGATGGCATCAAGGCTCAAGTAGGTGTGCGAAGGTCCCAATGGCGACTGCTCTAGTAAACCTCATCTTTAGGGCGGAGTCTAACACTTTGCCTTAGCTATATTGATCTGGATAGATATATGTAGCTGGACGCTCGAAAACATTGGCGTTGAACGTTAGGTTTGGTCGGAGGTTCAAGCGCCGAAGTAAAGCCGGGGGACTGTTACCAAGTAAGGAAGGCCACAGCGACTCAACCTATAAAGGAAGGTGATGAATGGAGCGGTATGCAGAGAAAGAGAGACACGGAGTCATATAGAGTCCACAAGTATGCAGAGGAGAAAAAAGAGCGGAGTGCTGCGGGAGTGACGGGAGTGATGGAAAGTGTTAAAGATTGTGTTCAACAATAATAGGTGACGGGTTTCATCAAAAAGTATGCATTTTTCCGGACGGTAACAAACTGGCAAGACCATTGACTTTGAACAACGACTTTTACAAGCACACGACCACAAAGGTAAGATGGTCTCAAATCATGACCATAGAAATCTGTTATCAACAAGGCCGATGAGAAATGGTAAAGGGTCCGCCAACATGAATGTCTTGCTCTGAGTTCATGCTGGGTAGAAGAGAGACGGAGGCATTCAGCGTAGACCAGTCTAATACACTCACAATCTTCGTAGGTATCATGATTGCCCATATGTTATAGCCTGATGTCTCTTGCTAAAGTTGTCTGCGGAGAATGATAGGCTAACGCGATGTGGAATAGCGTAGGGCAAAGCCAATAATTTCTGCACATCGCAGGGTTTGCACAAATTCTCTGGTGGCATCAACGCATGCTCTTCCTCTTGTCAACCCTGGTGGCTGGTGGAGTAAGAGATCTTTCTATGGGCGGAAGCCCATCGACAGTTGTGCTGTTCAGGTCAACCAAAGTGCTACCTGCAAAGGCGATATCGACAAGCTCAATCTTGACATGATCCATCCTGACAAAGCCTTGATTTGGCAGACAGATGCCGACCTGCTTGGTGATTTGCGTATCAATGAATCAGCGAATTGGAGGAACACCCAACAGGGGCATGCCTTTCTGAGCGTCATTATCACTATCAAGCCCACCCAGCTGTGGCTAGTCGACCCTTTGATCCCTCACCGTCTGGGAAGCAGCCATATGGGGTTTTGATTCAGAGCCGATTGCTGCTGCCACAACAACAAACTGTGAAAATGCAAGAAGCTTGAACTTGAGCGTTGCCCCTCGCTTCGCATCGAGTTTGCTCCCCTATGCTCACCTTGATTGTTGAGGTTTTCCGTCTTTCTTGCACTATCAAAACTTCTAAGAGGAGGAATATCGTGGACATTGAGGAGCGGTGATGCTCCAAACTAAGTTGGCGAGATTGCATCTTGAATTGCTGTAAAGCAATATATCTCTTGCCTCCAAGCTGAAGCTTGGCGATTCTCCTCCTGTATGGGTCCAGCAACCAAGAGATAACGAACGGTTGTGAGAATGTTGCTCTAAGCACTGAGCATCATCGATGATGGTGTAAAGCACCATGAAGCAGGGAATGAAGGGGCGTCTGGTGGAATACCAGTGCTCTTATCACTCTGAAGCTCGAGTGTCTCTAAGGGTGTGCCTGAATAAAGATGCCTGAGCATCTGAGAGCGTCTTGTAACCTAGCCGTATGCGAGGCTAGTCTAATGCAAAGCAAAGAAGACCTCCCAAAGAGGTATTGTTAGTTGGGGTGAATGAGAAACACCTCTTTTCTGTGCCAAGAAATATCCGCCAAATCCAGGTGTTGACGCAAACCCTGCCTCGAACGAGGACACCTTGACAAGCGTATTCCATCACACACAAATCTATCAATACTCGACTCTCCGAGCCAGAAAAGTCCTCTATCCTTGCCAGAATGTCATCTTCAAATCCAAGGCATGGTGCTGAATACGAAAGAGGAGATCCAGAAGACACATACGATGCTTTTGACTACGAAGATGAAACCGGCAACGACGACGTTGAACGATGTATCAGTGAGGGTATACTTCGCCAGGAGGATCAACCTCAGGCTCAACGCCCAGAAAAGAATTCCTACATGCAAGCAATATCAAGCGTCGTGAAACGCGGCAAAAAGATGGGAAGGGCGGAGAGGGTCGAAAGGGTGGAACCAGCCTCAAAAGATGGTGTCCTTGGTGCCTCTCGACGCCTGATCAGCCACGATCATCGGACTGCGCTCTCACCAGAGCTTGCTGCTGCGTTCGACAGTGAGGGTAAGAGTTACCTAAATGGGTCCTCCTCCGAACCAGTTCATACTAATCAGGACTCTTTGGCATAGTTTCTTCCCGAGCCAAGTGGATCAAGGAGCGGGCAAACAAGAACGCAGGAGCACTTGAAGAGCTCTTGCGCCGAGTCCCAGATTCAGAACGCGACCTACAGCGGCTTGTCACCCAAACCCTGCTAAACGAACGCCAGAACGAGAAGGAGGCAGGGAAGATAGGGGACTTCATGGAGGAAGTCAAGAAGAAGGATCAGGTTGGGCTGCTGGGTCGTGCTTGGAACATTTTGAAGGGAAAGCACTAGATTGCTTGAGATGAAAACTGGAGTTTGCTATTGTATAGGGGTGAATAAGTCTATTTTACACATAGCATCAATCACAATACCGCCATTCAGGCGACCAGTGGGTTTTCCCCTGGGCCTAATGAAAGCATTGAAGCAGGACTTTCACCCGGAAAAGCCAGATCACTTGCTTATCTCTTCGTGCTTGCCGCCCTCATACTGATCTCTGCGACTGGGGGTAAGAGAGTTGTTTGTGAGATATCTTACGAGCAGAGAGTACTCGGGTGGATTGTGTGGCCGGTTGGTTCTACATTACTTCTTCGGATGAGTAAAGCAAGATGGACGGGAGCTGAGACGAGAGCTACTCTCTTTCATCTCACAACCTGCCAACGAACTCTCAGCTTGCATGGCTTCGAGCGCGAGCAGCAGGCTATATCTTCTCTTCCGTCATGCCGCTATAGATCTGCGATCCATGCCCTAGTAACTGGCCGGAAAGGGGTTGCGTCTTGGCACCATTGTTGTAGATGATGGGGGAGGATGATAGTCTGTATTGAAATTTGCAAAGATCTTCCAAGCTGCTTGCTTGACATGAGACGGCCTTTTTCTTTCATGTGGACCATTGCCAGAGAAAACTGCCGGATGCATTTTGAATTGAGGATTCAGCCCGATCTGGAGTCTTCATGCAGGATTACATATTCTCGTTCATTACAATACAAGCCCACGTTGCGGCTATCAAATCCATACCCTCATTCGACACTGCCTGTCTGCATCCATTGTAGTACGAGATGCGCAATCTGCTCCGGAGCCTCCTCAGGCAAATAGTGGCCTTTCTTACCACCAATACCCCTAGCTTGATAATGTACACCTTCAGCAATCCAATCTTTCCAACTGCCGGCCACATTATGCATGGTTCCCAGTTTCTCCTCTGAGAATACAACTAGGGTAGGGACGTTGATCCTCCGCCCACGTTCATTATCCTCTGTCTGTTCACTCACCTCCTGCACACTTCCACACTGATAATCTTCACAACTTCCTACAATAGCATCTCGCTTCTTGAAATTTGCAGCGTAGACATCGTGTGCCCCATCTGCCGCGGAGGAAGCTTGAACTTCCGGACTCGATCCTTGGGCACGCTGAATGAGGTCTCGACACCACTGATCGCCACCGTAGGCTTGAATCATCTTGGTGGCTTGACCTACATTCGCCAGGAATGGCCAGTGGAAGTAAGCTGCGCAGGCTTGTGGATTTGCGAATGCTTCCCACTGGACTTTGGTGGGCACGATGTCCATCAGCACTACGCTGTTGATCTTCAGATGCGGAGCTCCGGCGTTGTCGCTGTCGACTGCTAGACGATGAGCGATTCGCGCTCCTCGGTCATGGCCTATTAGGATGATGTTTCGCGCACCATCTGTGCTGCTTTGGACGTTGAACACTGAGGTAAGGGCCTCGAGGATGGCGCCACCAACTGCTCGTTTGGAGTGTTGACCTGTAGAAGGAAGACTGGATACGCCGTAGCCTGGTAGCTGTGGCGCATTCAATAGTCACATTCCGTTGTAAGGCAGAGAAGCACAAACCTCTGGCACGAAAAGCGAAGCATGGGGCATCAATTCCGGAATAAGCTGCCAGGTAGATTATCAGTGATAATGCTATGCTTGATTGACCTGGATATCATATAGCGTACATATCGCCACCTCAATTCCCATCAGCGTCATAGCAACGGATGCATTGAGAGGTACATACATATAAGCGGATTGAGGATAGCCATGAATTAGAACAGCAATTGGGTCTTCTTTCCCTTTTGGATAGGAATAGCTACAGATTGTGGAACCCGAGGATGTTGGAGTAAGCTCTTGCTGCAGGTCTGGATAGATGGATGTAGGCTTCTGTGTCATCTTTGGGATATGTGCAAGTCTAATAGAACTGTTCCGGCTCATTGTGCCGTGATGGAGATGGATTGGATAAACTCTTGGCGGATTTCTGGGAAAACGAGGCCGGGGAATTTCAGTTATGTGCTGGTGATCTTCCAACATTTTCAATTCCTTCCACCAAACTTTCATCACAGGCCAGAGAGAGGGAGGCATCAAGTCCCATGAGCAGCTGGAGTCCTCATGCACTCTTATTAGTGGGAGAAGTATTACGAGAAGCTTCAATGCTCGGAAAACTTACTATGCGGGAAAAAGGGTCGAAGAGGCTATGGACACATTCTCAGAGAATGAAGCTGGTTCTAGCAGATCGTCACTGGGAAACTGCATATGATACCAGTGGTCTCTGAATTTTTGTCATAGCGCTTCTTTCCAATCTGTGAATGGTCAGCGAAGGAAGTGTCTCCAAGCACAGAAAATACACCCAGGAGTGTTCTAACATGACGTCCTGGTCGCACCAAACTTCAGAAGTGATAACAGATGAGAATCTTTCAAACTTTCTTGAAACAAACAGGGGACACTAGGTGGTTCTAGCAAGAGCGTTGTCAGTTGAGCAGCACAAGTGGAAGATGTTACTCAAAAATGCTGAGATTCATTCAGGAGGGCCTCCAGTGGTATGAAAGTTCCATAAGGTTCCAAGTCAAGTGAGGAACAAGGAAAAGAAGAGTGAAAGCTTTGATTTCTAGTATTGAAATCTCACATTCAGGGCTACGGATCTTCAGCATTCCCAACCTTCAACTGCGTATTGTTCGCTTCACTAGAACTAATCACTCGCTCTTCGCCTCGTTTGCACAACACATCTAGGTCAGGTTGATCACCTGCTGCCCCGCCCACACATAGGTCTCCCAGAGTGACCTTCGCATCGTCAACATCGCCTCGTTCCTCCCTTCCGATGCAAACCTCACCCTCCCATACCTCTGGTCATCCAAATTCCCAAGCACAAACGCAACATACTTTGGATGTTGCAAAAGAACGCTTGCGCCTCTTGCGAACTCCATTCGGTGTGTATTACCTAGGAATATCAATGGCTCAAGAAACGAAGCTCGCACGTCGAAGCCCATAGCTGTGTCAGAATCGCAGACAAGGACATCGGCTCTTGATATGATATTCCGTCGAATGAGACTTAACCGCTCCAGCATGGCGGTTGCCTCCCCGGCGGCGGCAACCTGCCCATTTAGGACGCGAGCTCGATCGGCGAAGTGCTGAGCACGATCACCGGGATAGAGGTTGAAGTACGCCTGTGCATGGTCTGCCCAGCTCATGGCTTGCGGGGTATGATACTGTGGCGCCGCAGCAGCTCCTGCGTTGTGAAGCGCACCTTGATCGTGCATGTATGCATGGGATGGCAGGTCATCAAGCAGCATCTTGAAGTACAGATCCAAGGCTGGCCGAAGAGGATTTCCGGAGTTGGAGAGGTCGCTTTTAGCAGCAGCATTGTGCTCCGTGGCTGGAGATTTATAATCCACATCAGTGGTTGAGTAGCTCATCAACCTCTTCGCCCTCCAGGTGCGACCGTAATGGTCATCGGTCGTGCTAGTTCGCTGAAAGAGGTCGAACAAGTCCCAACACACTCTAGATCTGTCCTCGGGCTCGTCGACAACAAGAATTGTTCGATGTCCCATACCGACGAGGACCAGGATCAGACCGTATACTGCACGGAAGCTGCTTGCTGAGATTGTCGCACGAATCAGCTGAGTCTTTCCAGTAATTTGACCCGGCACATTGAACAAGAGGTTGCCCTCAATCTGTCGGATGTTCACCATCAATGGTGAATTTCGAACAGCCTGTGCAAAACCCTGGAATAGAGCGTCCAGTCTGGTCATCTCAGCTGGGTCATTGAGGGGAGGATTTGGACCTCGGTGAAGGTCGTCGCGGAACGGGGATGGTGCCACCGGGCGCAACACATTTGCCTGGAGAGCCTGCATAGTCGGATTGGTAGAGAATCCTGAGAATCTTACCATCCGCGAGAACAACACTAGAGGAACCTGCCTATTCTCAATGAAGCGCAGCTTTACTGGAAACACAACAGCCAAGTGGAAATTTGCTTGGGCACTCTGCCTCACGGCAGGATTAGGTATCCGCAGAGAAAGAGCAAAGTTTGCACCGGTTGAGGACCTGGCGGAATCGGGGGTCAGCACCATGCCGTACGCGAACTCTGGTGTCCCCTGCGTGTTCCCTCCCAGGTTGTTGTACCAAGTGATGTGGAACAATGATCCGGGTCGAGGAGTAGTGATAGGAAAGGAGCGTGAAGTCGTGCCAATATAAATATATCCAATGTATCCATACGGATCTGTTGGGATGTCTCTGGCCGGAAGGGAATTATTCGCTGTCAAGAGCCGGCTTGCCTTACGGAGAAACGGGGTGGTACTCCTGAGAAGCTTCATCCCCTGCATACTCTTGCCAACGTCAGTGCAGAAAGCTTCATGACCTTGATTCTCCCGGACCAGTGCAACACTGTTCGCGACAGCACGAATCCGCCGGTCTCGACTGCCTATGGTGTCCGAGATTTGCAGAACAGGGTCTCCAAGCACCTGCGTCCCCTGATGCGTTACCATGTCGCAGTACATCGAGTTTCGGAAACCAGGAAGAGGATCCATGCTCAAACCTAAACTATCCATAGGATATTGAAACAGTGGCTGATAGCGCTGGCCACACATCCATCTGAACCAAAAGAGGACGCTGTTCGTGAATATCTGCAGCTGTGCCGTCGGCACTCGACAGTAAAACCAGGCATGGAAACCAGTGGCTGCCATCCCTCGAGCTGAAGTCATCGCATCCAAGAGCCGGGCATCGTTGGAACCTGGTGGAAGTCGTGCTCGGATGGCGGCAAGCCCCTCAGGATCATGGCACACATGACCGTGTGATACCAGTTTGATTCGCAGAGTCTCCTTTCTCTGTGCTGATGGTACACCGAGATGAACTGCCGCAGGATCATGGTCGTACATATGGCCACCCCCTCCTGATAAGCCCAGAAACTGAGTATCGCCTAGGTGCAAGTTGTAATACTCTTCTGAACCTTCCCGTCCTGCATGAACACCGGGCTCCAGGATGATCGTGACGCTAACCTGTGGTTGATTGTTGGCTGCTGCAATGGTGACCGTGACTTCCAAGCCAGGTGATCCGGTTCGGCCAGCGTTGACGAAGAGGGTATAATTCATACCGACGTTGTTGATGCCGTTATTTATATCGCCTGTATCGAAAGGAATCTGGTTTGCTGGCTGGTGTGGGATATACCGTATTAGGAGGCCGTAGGGACCTAAGACAGAGATGCCCCGCCAGTCGAACTGAGGTGAGGAAGGTGTTGCCATTTTGGAAGAGATGGAGTGTATCGCTTTTATAGTAAGGGAGAATGATTGCTTCAAGCTTTCACAAAGAGTGGTAGACTGCTCAAGAGCGCCTTTCCTCCTGCTAATTACCGGTTTGCTGAGTGCAAGCCGTTGAAAATCGACAAGGAGCGTCTCTTTGGTGGATTGCCTCAAACAGCCTGGGGTTGGGAGCAGGTGCACAATGAATGAATGTGGATGGACACCGAGCACGCCGACGGGTTGATATGTGGTCTGGAGAAATGATAAACAGGGAACCCCGATGAGTGATGGCCACCTCAAGCAGGCAACGATGGTCAACCCCACAAGAGCAGGTAATGAAGCGCTTTCACACCCACGAAACCTTGTACGATACGTATCGATCCTATGGAACAATGAGGAATAGCAACGTTCAGCACTGCTGAGGAGTGTCCTGCGTGAGCAAGAGGTAATGAGCAAGACCAAGCCGAAAGAACGAGTTGTATGAGCAAGGATGATATGCGGAATGAAGATGGAAAAGTTATATAGAATTTCTGCCAGTTGGCAGCATTATATATACACGACCGCACCGTACCGCACCGCGGCGCATTCACAGCCTGTGCGGAACCCCTGGTGGAGATATAGCCGATGAAAAGCGCAGATATAGCCGATGAGAAGCGCCAAATCCCTTCACAGTTACCAAGCTTCCATTGTTGCGTGATCACTTCACGTGAAAGATAGCCGCAATAGCCGATGAGAAGCGTCAGACATCTTCACAGTTGGCTGGTTTCCATTGTTGCATGATCACTTCACGTGAAAGATAGCCGCAATAGCCGATGAGAAGCGTCAAAAATATTCACAGTTGGCGGGTTTCCATTGTTGCGTGATCACTTTGAGTGAAGGACTGGCCGGAAAAGCCAATGAAAAGCGCCAATTGTTTCACTATTCCTGGCCGCCAGTACTAAAGGGTGAATTTCAGCAAAGAGTTCGGATGCTACCGATGCAAGCCGGGAGAAGCTTACCTATTGAAGAGTTCCGTCAATACGCGATGACCACAGTGAATATTACTGAGAGAGCGTATCACAAGCGTTCACCATTCCCGAATAACATGCTTCAGGAGCGGCTATAGGAACTGAGTGAGGATGGGAGACATCCACGAGGGCAAGCTTAAAAGAGTTCAGTGGCAGTGTACTTTTCTATTTGCCATTGATGAGCACATATCAGTTCTAGCTCCGGCTTCTACATCTGGCTGTCACCCCAATACCCACTGGCGGCTAGATGACATCTACCCTCGCCGGGCCGCTCCTTCTTCCTAGTACCCCCCTGAGCACTTCTTCCAAATGTGGTCATTGCCTCATTTCGACCACGAGATGCAAGCTGCATCTGCCCAGAACGCTGGTCTGCTGATTACCTCTGTAGTCGGACGTAAGATTCTTTCCCCCCAGTTCCAGTCAGGGCCTCCAGGCAAAACGCCCGCCCGCCACTCTCTTTCATGTAAATATGTACTTCTTCGACGCTCGTTTGATAGAAACCAAGGCACGCTCTCAAGACTAATTGGCGTTATGTCATGTGACGTCCTTCAAATATTTATCCTCTTGGTGCCGCTTAGCATCGTACATTTTTAGGGAATCAGTTTCCCTAGGGAAATGTTGGTACCTTTGTACCACTCAGTAGTGTACACTCGCTAGGGAATCTACTACTCTTACCGATCGTTCGAAAACGACAACCTTCATCATCCTTGATCATCACGCTGCCCGCGATACTTACTTGATCTTCGAATGTACTGTGCTCGATTCTTTGTCTAATTAAATAAGATCTTTAGTTATAATAACCATTTCAGAATTTCTTCCATGAACCTATTAATGATCTGATGGCATTCACCACTGTCGACATTATTAGGGTCCGGATTATGCTATGTTCGAAACACCCACCTTTTCAATCATTTGCATACATTGTAGGCGACACGCTTAGGGCAATACATCTTCCCTTGACTCGTTTAGACAATCTCAATGGTGTATTCTCCTCCTTCATCAATCTCCAGGTAATACCTTTCCTCAAGAGACCTCGATTTACTGGCAAGCGTTACTTGGTCGCAAAGCCGAGTCCCAGACATTTCAAGCAAACCAACACGGCAATATTGTCCTTCAAGGTCTCTGGTGGTACGGAGAACAAGCCAGAGGCTAGAACGTTTAGTCACCAACACACGAAATACGCATAATTCTTGTTCAGCGACCTGACAAGCCAAGTCTTTACACCTTTCATCCCAGTAAAGTTCCATGAAAGGCCCACCGTCGTCATCGGTGTCATCGTTGTCATCGTCGTTCTCGTCGTTCTCGTCGTTCTCGTCGTTCTCGTCGTTCTCGTCGTTCTCATCGTTCTCATCGTCTTTCTCATTTTGAAACAGGAATATCCAGTTTTGTGTATTAAAAGCATTCTGTAATCGCTGGCAGTCTATCACAGTCTCTAATAGGCACATACATCCTCTGAGCTGAATTTTCCCACCTTTGAGAAGACCAAGTTCGTCGAGACTATCATGAGCGGGAGTAGTCTGTGCTGCAATTACATGGGCGTGAGTCACAACCTTTGGTGAAGGATGGCAGAAGACATTTGGAGCGATACTTCCATCAATAGAAGCCCAGGACCAAGTCGGTGCTCGATACAGTGTTGGACGCAACGACGGGCCGCCGGGCCATGCTGTCCAGCAAAGGGTATTAGGTAGGTGGGCCCTCCAATGACCAGCAAGATAGCTGGAGGATTGAAATCCCCTTATATTGCCCCACTGCTTTGCGAGTCCCGAAAGAGCAATTAATTTGTCATACGCATACGTCAAACTACAACTGGAGTAGAGGGAGATTATATCTTCCCATGTCTGGTCCTTTATGTAAGGGTCCGCCGCTTCTGTCAGTGTCTTCTTCCAGGCACGAATGTTTTCATTTTCGATATCCTCGTTGAATCCTCTCGGGAAACACTGAGTTGCGACCAGAGATGAACATTGCCAGTAGACCTCCCCATGTGTGAAATGTATGGTCCGAGGTGCAAGTAGTCTCTCCTGAAACGCCCATCCTCGCTTATTAAGAGGGGCGGTATCAACATTGTTGTGGAACATGTCTGAACGATAACAGTAATAAATTCCAGAAGCGTTTTTCGGCCATGAAACTGAAAATTTGCAAGGGTAAAAAGTAAGAGGACTACTGTCGTGAAAGAGACCATCATTGCTATTTTTGGACACCGTAGCCGCAATGTTGATATATGAATTATTGTAGATGGCTCCCATTGCTGATGACTCTCTAAGCCAATCCTCGCGCGAGTCCTGAATAATGCAGAGACTGTCTATCCAGAGGTATCTGATACCCAGATCACGGGTAACTTGAATGGCGTCCCGAAAAGTTGTTGGTAAATCACTAATCCGGATTCCATTCTGAAAAGCATGTTTCGATTTTTCCACAAGTTTGTTGAGGAAACGCCTCCCCACGAATGGCTTAGAGTCGTGTAATCAACCAATGAACTCGGTAGAACATTGGTATCTCGCAGATAGACCATCGCAGGGTCAGTGTGGGAGGCAACGTCCAGTAGACGGGCAGCTCTTACAGAGCTAGTGTTGACGTAACATTGATGCTCTTGGGATTTATGATTTTTTCGACAGTTGATAATCCAGTCGGTGACTTGATATAATCCATGTCTGGACCAGGTGTCCTCGGCTCGCAACTGCACCACTGGCTTCCGCAGGGTATCTGGCACATAAAATCAGTTCTAGTGTTCATCCCGGACTTTGTCCGATTGTATGCTGACAGTCGTCTGGCACAATCAACATATGCGCCATTCTGTTTCCGGGATGCTCTAATTGCCTAGCTGCTTCTGATGACGATGAAGGCATCTTATTGAATTTCAGGGAGGTCAGAACTAGCCTATCTGCATTCTCTCGATGACACTCATAGTATACTGTAGCCCTGATGTCTTGTGGAATGTGTTCCGATTTCACAGACTTCAAAAGTGCCGCGCATATGTGGCAGCCGAGTTCTGCACAAGCTTTAAGCTCTCGTATGTCATGGTGAGGCTGGCATTTATAAAAATTGCCCCCGGAATCACTGGAGTATAACATGCCATTGCTTTCAAAAAGCGACTGACATTCGGGACAAAGGCTGTCCAAAGCATCGTCGTCGACGGCGTTGAGATTGATTCAGCCTCCATAATTCTTATGCCACTCTACTGTTATGAATCGCTTCAACGTGCGGTCACTATCCAAGGGTAGCTTGTGTTAGAAGTAGTAGCAAACAGCGTATGGAGGTGCCAATTCACTTGATTGAGTTACTCCTATCAAAAGGAGCATTTGCTCATACTAATAGCTATAGAAGCGCATTACTGTAACAGCTCAGAAACAGCATTTGGCGTTCAATTCGTATAGCAATGCTCACTGCCATAAATAACAGGGCGTAACAGTTACAAGAGCGTTTCGTGCGTTTTGCATGCGGGGACCCTTGTACCATCATGCTAATACGTAACAGATACGTATCATGTACGCAGGGATTCTGACAGCTTGGTAGGGAAGGTACTGAAGTTAAGGCTAGTGGAGAAGTTTGCTCTTTAGCGAAGTCTCATTAAAGCGAAAGGTATTTTGGTGATGGTCAATGAAGGAAAAAAGTTGGGGTGTCACATGACCCGATTAAAGACCGGCTACCAACGATAAAATCGGCGTCTAAAGGGGTCGTTTGCTCAGGGGCGCTTAAATAAGCGTTCTTGAACATTTTCTTTTGATTGAACAATGCCGAAATGACAGAAGAGACCCGTCAATTTTGCCATTCGAGCGCGTGCGTAATTGAATCTGACTCTTTGTAAGGTCTAAGAGCAATGGTATATAAACTGAGGTTGTTTAGATGTAGAAATAGATAAATGATGAAGTCTACGAAGCAAGACCCAGATTAGTTTCAAATTTTTTTCGATGTTCCTGGTGTCAAGATTAATAGCATTATCATCATCCTGAATTGCGATACGCTATCTCTTTCTAAGAAAATGTCGCTAAACCAGTGATACAGTAAATACTCAATTTTACGTCGTAAACCAATTATCAGTACTAGCCTTTTCACACAAGGGTTATAACAATTAGACCTGTAGTCGTAGTAGGTATTCATAACACTACACTAAAGAGCAGCTAGTATCAGATACAGCCTCACTGTTACACTTTTTTGAACCTTCTCTTGTTTTAATTTACGCGACTGATTCATTTCATTTACAGCTAGACCATTATGAGTTTAGATCAGTTGTGTACCAGATGTTTACCCACTGAGGTGGGTTCTTGGCAAGCCATAACAGGTCCAATGGACAGAATCAAGCAAACAAATTGTTTGAGCTCATTCAAATCAAATTTCTCTCTAGAGTAGGGCCAGGAACTTGAAAAGGCCAATGATGATATTGCAAATAGGGTTGTGTTGCATATATCAGTTGGCCACGTTAGTTGACATCTAGCAAAAAACAGTTCTATTAAGCTAAAAAGTAGACCTTTTGGCGTGAATTGCGTTTTGAACTTCAACTTTGGTCTAGTATTATACTATAATCGCTTCTTCCGTCTACAACGTAACGGAGGCCTCCTTACCCGTGTTTCGTATGTGATTCAATGGCTGTACTACAACTGCTATCGAAAGTGTATCACCCATAAATTGTAAGCCGTATGACCATAATATCTAGTAGACTCATAAATCATCTAAATTCGTAGCGAAGACGACTGCAAGACTAAACAACGACCCGTCCCTTCCCCGGCCCAGCTCTTGTTGCCTTCCACCTGGTTCTCACCTTTTTCCTAACAGCATGCGCATTGGCGGCCCCTTACGACAGTAGAGACGAGCCAATAGATCCAAAACCCGGCGCCGCCGGGCCCAAGGTAGTCGCTCGGAATCGCCATGATGGCCGCGACGGCGCTGAAAGGTAGGAAGACGGCAGCGACGCGCGTTAGGCGGGTGATACCCTGGCCGTCGGCCAATGTTTGCTCGGCCTCACCAATGGACACGAGCGCGAGCAGCACGTCGATGTTATTCTCGATGCGCGCGCGGGTGCGGGCGAGGCGGGACAGGACGTGCTGGAAGTCTTGAACACTGAGCGAGGGCGGAGAAGTCGCGTTGCCGCCGGCGGCGATTTCACGTTTGCTTGTAGATTGCCACAAGGGCTGACCGTGTTGTTCGCACTGGCGCAGCGCGTCCTGGGCGAGCTCTGTGTACCTACCCCAGCGGCGCTTCATAGCCAAGAGGTCCTGAAGGAAAGTCTGCAATGTGTACAGCTTCTTGTTGCCCTGCTCGAGCATGAACGCGATGGTCTCCAGCTCCCGCCCAGCGCACTCGTCGACGAGGAGCCACTCGGAGGCTATAGCCTGGTACAGACCGTGCAGCGCGGCGAACGGGTCGCACAGGATCTGGGCACGACGCTCGTAACTGGCAGAAAGCTCGCGCGCAAGTGTCGAGGCGAGTGCTGCACGGGTGGAGCTTGGCGGCGGCAGCGTTTCTGCGCCCCAATAATGCCCGTGGCGAAATCTCTTGTCGCTGATCAGCCATTTCTGATGAGCTTTAGGCCTGGCGTGCGTGGCTTGAGTAATAGGTGCGTTTGGCGCCATAAACTGGACTCCCGTGGCCTGGAAGATGGGATCGACAAGTATAAGGCCTTACGCCGCGGCCTGGATTAGTTCTTCTAGCCGAGGATTGGGTCTTGAGCGCGGCTTACCGACTAACCGACCATCGTCGTCATTGTCTCTGCTCATCCAAACCATCAACTTTTCGCGGGCAAAAGCTAAGGATGCTATCAACTCTCCTTCTCCTGTCCTCGGCCGTAGAATCCCTGCGATGCGGTCCACACGGCTCGTTCTATTATCCGACTTTACCCATTGTATAGCCTCGGGCTCGGCCAACGCAGCGTCCTCATCACTATCTCCATCCTCTAGCTGCCATTGGAACGGCCGGGGTTTCACCCATTCTGTCTTGGTGAAATTCTGCGTCGCTTGTACGGACGGCAGCGTCAGCCACTGAGGCACGACGCGTCGCTTCCAGTACCATGACCGGTTCTCCACGTACTCGCTCCAAAACTGCGGCGGGATGCGCAGCGCCAGGCCCAGCTTGACCACTGTCTCTGGACACAGATTCTCGACAATGAGGAAGCTGGCCTCGTGCGGGCCCTCGCTTTCTACCGCCACCCGAGGATCGCTGGACAGCCTGAGAAGAAAGTCCTCGACTCCGGCCGGGCCCGTGCTCTCTGTTTCTCTGAACGCAGGGCGGTGGTCGTCTTTTCGGACGCTGAAGTTGAGCGAGGTGCAGCGCACATGGGGCTCCTCGCGACCGGCCTCGCGCGCAAAAAATTCATCCAGAATAGAAAGGCTGTGCCCATAGAAGGCAGAGTCGCTGCAGTTGTCAAAACTCTGTTTGTACACCTTGTAGGACGTGAGTATGGCGTCCTCTCGTTGTGACACGGGATTTGGCGCTGCCATGACCACGGATTTGAGAGGGCAGCAGGAGGAAGAGGAGGGTTCGTGAGTAATCTACTTGGATTAGGATGCATACTTCAGCAGACAAGACATCAGTATTTTAGGGGGATCACAGTCCCTCTGAAGAATAGAGATATGTCAACCTGTGCAGAGTGCGTAGAATAGCAAGTTGGTCTCTATATAGGGGTTTAGAGAGCGTAGAACTACGTAGTATGTACAACTTGGCTGTACGGTACGGCGAAATTATCTTTAAAATTAAGTTACAGTACGGCGGACTATTATTGGGTTGAGGACACATCAAAATTTTGAAAATCAAAATCGGATTTTAGAACTCCGCACCAACTCCTCAACTGCTATACGCCTGCCGTACGCTATATAGAGGCCATATAGCTGTCTGCTGAGCATAGATAGATCCATAAACTCTTTTACACCTCTTAATCTGGTCCTTTATTCGTTTATTCATCCATTTGCGTCAGGCCGTGGCCGTCTGACATCAACTCTGTATAATGTACTTCTCTTTACTATCCTTCTTATTATCCTTCTCCTCCTTGCTATCCTCCTCCTTGCTATACTTCTGCTTGCTATTCTTCTTCTTGCTATCCTCTTTATCCTTCTCCTTACTATCCTCCTTCTTGCTATCCTCTTTATCCTTCTCCTTACGATTCTCCTTACTATCCCCCCTTATCCTTCTCCTTCTTCTTCTTAAGATTCTTCTCTTACTATCCTTCTTCTTAAGATCCTTTTCTCTCTGTATAAGATTTGGCGCAAGAAAAAAAAATAGCAAGGAGGAGGATAGCAAGGAGGAGGATAGCAAGGAGGAGGATAGCAAGAAGGAGGATAGCAAGGAGGAGAATAGCAAGAAGTTGATTATGCGGAGTTGAGGAGTTGGTGTGGAGTTCAAAATTCCGATTTTGAATTTCAAAATTTTGATGTGTCGTCAACCCAATAACAGTCCGCCGTATTACACAATACTTTGCGTTGCCAAATTGCTGCGAATTCCTTAGCGCTACCCTCGAAAGTTGCTGGCGCCACAGGGCGGAATTACGGTCAGATAAGTAAGCAATTTTCTGTATCTTCTGACGAATCACCACAGTCTTTGAGGCTGATCAAGACTGGATTCATAACGATTGTTCCACCGAGATGCCCAATCTCGTTCAGCTGCTTCAGTCCTTACTGTCAATTGCATTGATACGCGAAATGTATACGTCCAGCTTAAGCAATCACTGGGTTGGGAGGAGCCTTTGTTTTGTAGCGTCATCTCGAATATTCAATGTCATCACAAAGTCGGCTACCACCCGGGGTGAGCAGGACAGCGTGTGCGTGCCACTCTCTAAAGCTTGTTCGCCTGTTGCGATCCAGCGCTAGCCATCCCGACAGACCTACGAAATAAAGCCTAGAGTGTCTGGTCGATGTATCCGCAGAGGCTGAGGGGATCCCGACATCGTCTTGCCAAAGCCCATATACGCATGCTGCTCACCTGGACCTGCCGCTTGGCCACGAACGTCGTTTGCCACAGTGCTTTGGGTAGCGTTGCTCAACGCCTGAGTCTGAGTCCTCACCAATTTGATCATGTTGGGGGCCTATTATCAACTCTATACAGAACATATCATGTACTTGATCCTCTCGGCAAACTCCAATACATACCATGTATCATAAATATTATTCGAAGATCGCGGCCTCCAGAGTATCCAGGGACAGATTTGTTTGGGGCAGAATATGTCAGAACTCCACCTTAGAATTTGCGACCGCACATCATGCGTCTTCCGAGGAGCGACAGCTGATCCATATCAAGACCCACAATGCTGAATGGCATGCTGTTCTGGTGGTAGGTTGTGACCCTATGGTGATGTGCGCGCTTCAGATGGTTCAGCACGTCGTGGTCTGAAGTTTGGATCGCTGTTATTTCTGAGACTAAAGTAGAAAATTTCTAGTGAAGTCCGACCAGGTCAGCGTGGATTGAAAATGACCATGACGATTCCAGCTGCGCTGATTCGTTATCTGAGTTCTTGGAGAGCAGCAGGATTGTTGGGAACAAATTCGTGGGTGGTAATCTGGACCCTCAGAGTTCGCTCCTTGACATCCAAAGGGCTGTTACCAATCAAGTTGAGGTTCTGGTTGTACATATGGCCGCCGCCGCCACCATCTCCTGGCCAGCCAGCTTGGAACCAAGTCAGATGGTACCAATCTTCCTCCCGTCTAGTTCTAGTATGGATACTGAGTTTATAGCAAAGGGTGACGGCGATGGCTAGCGCAGCAGCAGTGAGAGGAAGAGTGACAATTACGATAACAACACCCAACGTGTCAAGCTCTCCTCCAAGCAGCCGTATCATATATCCAAGTCGAGCTGGTTGGACGGAGTCAGACCACTAATCTCCATAAAATTCGCCCGATTGGGTATACCAAAGAAGAGGAGAGCAGAGTATGGAACCATAATTCTTATATTGTTGGAGTCGAAGTTCGGGCTTGTGGGTAAGTTTGCCATGTTGAAAGGATGCTGAGTCATCTTGTTTCGTTGGACGTTTGTGCTTGTGGAATTTGCAGATAAGGTTGTCTACTGAATGAAAAAGTTGTTTTTGGCTCAGGGAAATACACAGTGTAAAAGGTAGAACGCGTACCCTGAATGTTGGTGAGGAGTGTGAACCTTCACTGCTGGCACGATTGCTCAGTATCGGACACACAATTAGTTTGCCATTAAGGTCTACAAAGAAGCAGGGTGACCTTGTACGTGTTGACCAATGACTGGTTTGTTGGAGTCAAGAATTGCTGTGTCAACCTGTACTACCCCTTCAGGCAGTGTTGGCTATATGCAAGCTGAAAGAAGACTCGAATGTGCAAAGACTCGCAATCGCTGACGGGTTGCTAGGATGTCAACAGAACGTTGATATGGCTAATTACAAAGGGTTCTTGCTGGATGACGCTGTTGTCTACAAGCAACACTATTGAAGACTACGCGCAACAACGTAAAGTCAAGCTTGAAAAGCAAGCAGAATAGCATGCAGACTGATGAAGAGTAATGTATGAGGGAAGCATCAAAAGGATTATTTGAGTCTTCTCCCAAAAATATGGTTGGCCACCTGGCGAGCAGACACTGTTAAACACAGAGATACATTGCACACCTGTAGCCTTAGCACTACATTTATGGATAGGCTCATACTAATGAGAAGCAGAAAACCGTTTTATGCGAGCAATCCAATACACAAATATCAGAGTACATGCTGTTTCTGGTACAGGTAGTATTGGCAGTCAAGTCTCCTCCTTGCTTGGGCATGATACGTGAAGGAGCACTGCAAGCTTTCACTTTGGACCACGATAGCAGAGAGGAGCCGCTGTCATCTCCGTTCTTCCACTCTCAATAAAGACATTGAAGCATGCCCGATGGATTGTAACCATCATTGCTACTAGTAGTTGACATTCACGGAGACTACCACTATAGGATAAGGGGTAAGTCTTGGCATAAACCTATGATCTTTATCCACTGACCAATTTGAACGATCTACCAGAGCAAAGGGATGGGATCTTCTTTCTTTATGCCTTGCTCACGCTGTTCGGATTGAGTGGGCCCATATACATTGTCGATAATTGTTTGACCCCAGAAGGATGGGGTGTAGTCACTCAATCACTCTTTCTTGGTCATCTCAGTTCTCTAGTCAGCCAAATGTTGCCTCCAGTCTGTAGACTGACAGCTTTGTGAAAAAGCAATGTCAAAACTGGATAAGAGCACCAGGCTGGCACGTATACTTCTGGGGCCAGAGTATGTAGTTATGTTTAGCCACTGCGTAAAACCTCTAGCTCTCTTCAAAGAACACTGAACACCGCAAGACACCGCTATAAGCCACAGGAGGCGGCCCTATCCATCTCGTCCATCCTCAAAACCACTTGGCACTTTTCTACCACCACTATCCCCAACTTCCGCAAACTCACCGCAGCACTTAACGATAAGTTCTATAGCGAAATCAGTCATCTGAAGTGCCATCCTTGACTTTAAACGATCTCCTCGCAACACGATAGAGCAGAGCGCAACACTCACCGAACAACCTCAACACAAGACCTCACTGTTGCCGATCTCTCAGCTCACTCACCCACGATGTGCATCACCAGCCTCCCCTACTGCCCACCGCAACACTCTCAGCAAATCCCCTCGCTCGTCCACGCAGCCGCAGCGATCGACGCTCAAACCCAGCCAACCCAGCCGTCATCACCCCTCTCCCTATCGGCATCCTACTCACCGATCTCACCACAAAATGCGTGGTTCATCTGCGAGCATCCCAGCACAGCCCGCACCACCACCAACAACAACAACAACAACAACACAACAACAACAACAACAATCACCCCAGCAAAGCCAACCCAGCCAACCAGACTCCGCCCAAGACGGCGCAAGCCTCCACCATATCCACCTCCCCCACCACCTGCCCCAACATCGAGATCCGCCATCCCTCCTTCAACGGCGCCAAATGCATCCGCTGCACCGACGCCGCACGCGCCGCCGCTGCTGCCAAAGGCGTCACCCAGGAAGAAAAGGCCCAGGTGGAGATGGTGCGGAAGCTGGAGGAAGAGATCGCGCGGCTGGAGGGTGTGGTGACGAATATGAAGAGGAAGCTGAGGAGCTTGACGCTTGCGAAGGAGACGGATGGGGATGATGGGGAGGGGGAGACGGGTGAGGGTTTGAAGGATGTTCTGGAGGGGAACCTGGGGAGTGGGTGGGGGGGTGTGCTGTGAGATTGAGATTGAGGTGGAGGTTGAGAGCTGGGCGGGGTGGGAGAAGGGAAGGGAGGGTGCTTGGGTCGATTTTGTTGCTTGCTGGAGCGGGGGTGAGAGGCAGGGAGAGAGAGCTGTGCATGAGAGATGGGAAATGAGTGCAGTGGGCCCCAGCCACATGCAGCACATTTCAAATTTGCTAAACCTTCGTGCTTTCTGTGTCTCGCTCGTGAATCGTGCTTCCCTTGCAATTATCACAATTTCGTCCTTTACACCCTGCTGCACACAAAGGAACAAAACTAACAAGGAAGCGCAATAGGGATACATGTCTTCTTCGTTGTTTTGCATCGCTTCCCACAATATCGTTCATCAATTCTGAGCTTCGCTTACTTGCCTGCCATCATTTGTAAGCGGTCCCAAGACTGTGGTTCTGCCTACTCGTTGCTGCGCCTGCTCACTGCCGATTCCACCCGCAGAGTACCCAACCCCCACTGCCACATCGCCATCATGTGCATCCTCATAATTGCACCATGCTCCTACGTCAATTATCAGAAATCAGAACAGACAGGGGTGCAGCTCAGTGATGGCGGCATTCGAAGTCTAGTCTCCTGTGTCGATTCGCGTCGGTATGCTTTCGCGAAGAGAAGATGCAGCCCGTGGTGCGGAGGAGTCAAGATTCAACATTGGCGGCCTGACATGCAAGTGCTGGAAAACTGTCTGGAATGCTCGGATATCTCATGTGAATTGGGGTTGAGGCGAGATGGGAACAGGGTTATGGTTACAAGATATTGCTGGCCGGGGAGGGCGGATGCGGATACGGAAATATTGGTAGAACGGCAGGGATTTACGCAAATGATGCAGAGTTGACGATAGGTTGGAGCAAGGGTGGTGACTGATCAGGGAAGAAGTATGACACGAGACTCGCATGCGGACCGATTGAGTGGGTGTATCTCTTGACAAGACACATTGCGTTTCAAGAAATCTGATAATTCTGCTTCAGAAGTTTATCCTTCCTCGTTCTTCGCTTCAACGACCCCAAGGATGTCCTCCTACATTGGTTTCGGCCAGAGAAGCATGCTCTGGGTCCTCCTTGACAGGTTCTGCACTATAGACAGACTCCCATTGTCCATGTTCAATGTCTCACCTTAGAGCTTGCCGGGAACCTCCCAGAAAAAATTTTCTAGAGTTTTTTCGTCTTGGAGACTTGATCTCGCAATTATCCACTTCAGCTCGTCCATGTCAGGCTGCTTTCCCGGCCTCCTTCGCCCACATCACTGATTACGAAGGGGGCGGACGTGTTGGTCTAGACCTAGAATATGAGCTAGCGGAGTGCTTATGATTGCTATGGTAGTGGCGATAATGATCGTGTTCGATTGGGGGATCTTTGTGGTAGACATTATACTAGCCGATCAGGGGGCACGAAAATTACTAGCGCCTTCGGTGGGATGAGACGTTGTCGAGACAATCGAGGGAAGTCATGCAGTTGAAATTTATACATGATTCTCCTTCAACAATAGCAGTTCCGGTGGTGATCAGACGTCGATTCAGTGATCTCATAACGGCCAGAAATACCTGGACTAGACTCCTGTTCATCTGGAAGTGTCTTATATTGAATTTGAAAAGGAACATGCCTCGACTGACCGGGTTCGCAGGCGCTTATTGGCAGGACCAATTCGGGAACGAGCAAGGAGAAGCTGAATATCTTCCTCAGATCTCGATGGCCTTATAAAAGCGCCATTTTGGAAGATGGATCAGCGACAAGCGCTGCAACCTCCATGTGAGATCCTGGCGTAAGTGCTTTGATGTCCGACATGGAAGGTCGCCCCAGATATAGTGATACGTATGATGCTGCTCGAAATCGTGTAAAAGCTGCTTGGTCCAATAAAATGCGCTGTAAGACACGTCATACATCAGACTCTTTCGCTGATCCATATTGCACCCCGACAACCATACCGAATGACGTTGGTCAGAGGTGCATAGGGTTGTGCTTGTTTTGCATCATTCTCGACAGCGTGGTCGAGATGCTCGAGCTCTTCATCACGAATGCGTTTCAAGGTATTTATGAGTTCTTCCAATTCCGGATCAACCTCCTCGCCCCTGCTTTTGATCTCCTGCATCCATCGAAACAGTTCTCTGACTTGCCCGTTATAATGATTCCCAATCTCTGTCTCCACTGCTTCTGTACAAGCCATTGAGGCCTCGCGACCCATGACGCCCGTTGACCAGCCCAGGATTGAAGCCGCGGCCTTCCACACGGGATACATGGCTGTTGGACGAACTCGATGTTTGGCAAGAAGCTTGTTGAAGGTGGCGAAATGCCCTGCCTCTTGATCGTACATGTGCTTCATCAAAGACCGAAGGTTAGGGTGCGACTGTAGAAGGGGCGGCGTTTGAGCGGTATAGATCAAGGTGGCAGCCAATTCACCTGCTTGGTTCACACGTAAAGCCCGGTCGAGAAACTCCCTTTGATCTTGAGAGAGTTGTGCAAGTGGTTTCTTCTGATCTGGTGCAGTCTGCATTCCTCTCTGCGGCATGGCGTATATTGGTGGTCTTCGAGGCAATGCCATGCATCTGGCAGGCGGCGACCACTGTCTGAACCGTGGAACAGCGGAACAACCGCTGGGGACAATGCGCATACCTCCAATCACTCCCATCTCTGGTATGAGGGCTGTGTCATCGGATGAAGAGTCTGCCACCAGGTTTGTGCACAATCAATACGGTGTTAACATCCAAGCCGTATGTACATATGTAACCATCTAAAGCTTGAAAGCTTGATTCACATGTAAATCTTTTTAGCGCCTTGGCAAACCATCTTCCTCCTGCGTCCCGGTGTGTTGCGTAGGATCAAGTACAACACTTCATTGTCTACTATTCTCCCATCAGCACAACCACTCGGATCCGAGGTTTGGATCTTGGCCTGATCAGCTCCATCGTGGATCCTGAGATGTTGCGTTCTGGAATCTGCCTTACGACTTTCGATCTGTATTGTTGATCCTCGCATCTCTCATTCACTCATTAATTTACTATTGTCTACCATCTATTCACTCTTTCTTATTGACCGCAGTCTTTGGCACTTGGTATTCAGCTGTGGGCTTCATAGTTCCACCTATTGCATTGGTTGCAAGATATCTTTGACATATCCCACACGCAGTCTAATCAGTCACTCACCTGGGCATCAAGGGCTAGAACACTTCAGTAAACACCTATCAGCCTTGTACTCTTTGCCTCCCCCACTGTAACCTGACCTTACTGGCACCTTTCACACAAGTTTAGCGGCAAAACACTTCATCAGTCCGCAACCATGGCTGATCTGGACGCGGAGTTGCTTGCGCTTGCCGGCGGAGATGAATCTTCTGCTGATGAAAGATCACCTTCGCCAAAACCAAAATCTCCATCTCCACAGCCACATCATCTACAACGCAGAAGTAGCTCGCCAGCAGATATGGGTAGAAAAGGTACAGCAAAGGTCATCAAGAAGCCCAGAAAACGGCGCGCCGACTCAGACGATGATGGAGAGGTGTAGGTTTCCCTTGTTAAGTGCCGTCGTCAGCTCCACCTCGTACTGACCTCATTCTCAGTTCATCGGCATCATCCCGCCACTCTCTACACTCTGCCTCAATGTCCGAATCCCATTCAGAGGGCGGCACTCCGGCCATCGCAGATGACAAGGCTATGTTTCCATACGAAAAGCTCTACCACAGCGCCAGAGATAAATCCGAGATTGATGCATTGCCTGAGATCAAGCGCGAGGAAATACTTGCAGATCGTGCCTCACAGCTCGAGCGTCATCAACAAGATCTAGCACTACGCCGTCTGCTAGCATCACGAGAGAAGGAAGAGGCTAAAGCAAATGAGAAGAAGAAACGCAAAGCTGGCACAGCAGACCTGGAGGAGAGTCAAAGAAAGAGCTCCAGGCAGCGGACTACCCTTGGTGGCCGAAAAGCTGGAGAGCGGAACGACGCAATCGAAGCGTACAAGAAGCAACGAGCCGAGAAAGGCTTGCGAGATGAACAGCGTCGGCGCGATGCGGCAGCTAGGAAGGATCGTCATGGCAAAGGCTCACCAGAGAACGGCTACAGCGACGCTGATGCCGAAGGAGAGAGCGAGGTCGAATGGAACGACAAAAAGTACAAGGATAGAACTCCTTCTCCCGTCAAGGATGACCCCATTGCCGAGCTTGCAGACATACAAAGAGCCAAAGTTGGCAGAGATAACTTCGCCCAAGTTTGCTATAATCCTGGCTTCGAGGAGGCTATCACGGACTGCTATGCACGAATCTGTATAGGTCCATCTGAGCGAAATCCTGGAACGAACGAATATCGTCTAGCGCGCATTAAGGGTTTCACAACTGGCAGACCATACGCAATCACAGCACCAAATGGGCGGCTTATACCCGTCGAGACATACGTCATTGCAGCTCATGGAAAAGCAGAGAAACCATGGACATTCCTCGAGTGCTCTATGTCCCGCTTTACAGAGGACGAATGGCGTCGGTACCGCATCACCATGGCAAACGAAGACCTCAAACTCCCCAACAAAAGTTTCATCAACAAAAAGCTCGACCAAATTAACAAGCTCATCAACCATCGATTCACAGACGCCGAAATCACAGAGAAGATTGGTCGTCAGCAGGCCCTCGTTGCGAAAATCAACCGTGAAGAAGAACGACAACCGATCGAGGAACGCAGACAAACAGCACTAGCCGCCGGAGACGATGAAGCAGCTCAGCGATATGAAGAAGAGCTGCGTGATATTGTTCCAATGAAACTCGCACTTGGCACCACTCTCGTCAAACAAGAAGCCACATACGTCAATAAAGAGCAAGAGCGTCTTGCAGAGCTGAATCGTCGAAATCAACGGATCAACTCGGAGAACGTGCGCAAAGCCCAGCTCGCCGAGATGCGCACCAAGAAGAAGAACCTCAATCCTAATCCCAAAGTCAAAGGCATAGAAGAACTCTTTGAAGGAGGAAGCGATTTGAGTAGGTCCGGCACACCAGTCAACGGTGTCAGCACGCCTCCACTCAAACGTGCTGGCACACCACTGAATGACCCGGTTACGAATGGCACAGCAAGCCCAGCGAATGGCGGAACACCCAAGGGGCACATCAATACATTTAAGCCAGTTTCGAAGGACAAAAAGGGTCTGCCTGTGATCAAGAAGGCGCTTCTGGAAGAGGAGATGATGAAGCAGACGGTTATGGACCTCGGTATTGACATTGAGATCTGAGATTGAGAAGCACCAGTCACAGCCGCGGGAGACAAAGACGGCGTTATGGCCAAATGGAAGACGGATGTGGTCTAGCCCGGGGCAGGTCATTGTTTGTGCTTCAACCATGTGCTTTTACAAACCCCGAAAAGGGATCGTTCTACCTTGCATTACTAGGTCTTGCTGTTGGGCTTGGAAAAACGGAGCAAGCACGAGCGATCGCTGGTTATCACAATAGATCAGCTTGGGTTGGTGGCTTGGCCGTGGTATCAGGGTAGGAGCAGACATAGCACAGCCGATCAGACAGCTGTTCAGAGAGAATAAAAAGAAATTGAAGATTTCCCCCAAACTGGTTGCTAGGATGCGTTGATTGTCCCGTAGGTTTTGGAGCCCCAAAGCCCGGTGCCAGCAAGCCCGAGAGAGAGCAGGGACAGGCATATGTACTAGATCTCACCACCATCTTTCCGTCACTAGGCCTCTCCAGCCTTAATTCCGACCTGTGTCTCAGTCGCTCGTAAAAGCACAAGTGCCCATATCCATCTTCTCGGCCGGTCCGGTGGGCGAGATATCGAAATCGAAGATATCCATCGGCAAGCCGAGCGTGGTGCACGCGTTTGGGATCTACCACCCCAAGAGAGGCAAGACGAGCAGCGTTAGCAGTGCTTCTCAAATATACCCAATCCCATCCCCATCATGGGAAAAAAAGGGCTAGACAGACACGCCCACAAGAAAAAGAGAGGAGAAGAAGGAAAAACTCACGTCCACAATGCCGGCAATGTGGCCCTGCACCGGCGCACAACTGAGCAGCAGGTAGACCTGGTAGTCATCGTAGCCGAAGCGTCGCAAGTACTCGATCACCCTCAACGTCGTCTGTCGGTACGCCACCGTGGCATCCATGTAATGTTGCTTCCCGTGCTCGTCGACGCTGAAGCCTTCGAAGGTGAGGTAGCGACCGGGTCCGAATTGCGGCTCCACGGCGCCCGGCTGGAAGATGGGCGATTTCATGCCGAGATCGGCCATGCCGTTTTTCATGACGCTGAATTTCAGCGTGATGATGCCGGCCATCTCGATGGCGCCGCAGAAGGATATTTCGCCGTCGCCCTCTGGAATCCGGGAGAAAAAAAAATGGTTGAGTTAGTTTTGGGGGAAATTTGGGAGGGAAGGGAAGCATTTGAGTGAGGGTGTCATGTCTTACGTGAGAAGTGGAGGTCTCCGACACTGAATTTGGCCCCCTTGACGTGGACGGGTAGGTAGACTTTGCTTCCTCTAGAAAGATTCTTGATGTCGCAGTTTCCGCCGTGTTCAGGGCGGCCGGGGATCGTTCGGGCGCCTTCTTTGCCGACTTTTTCTTTGATGGAGTCTTCTGCGCTGCCGGCATGGGCATTAATGGGTTGTGGTGGCTCGGCAACTACTCGGTCCATGGTATTGGCTGATATGAGTTCTCCTTCGCGTCTGTTCCATTCGGCCAGCACTTCCGCTGAGGGTGCGCAGCCCAGGATCCCGGGATGGATCAAGCCGGCAAAGCGAACGTGTGGGATGTGACGGGAAGAACAGAAGATGCCTTCAAAGTCCCAGATCGCTTTTGCTCTACCACCGAGTCAGATCATGGTGTCGACCGAAGTCATACACCTAAGCTCACGCATTCGGATAGATCTCATCCAGAAATCCACCACCATTCTTCTTGTCGAATACTCCTGTGAAGCCCCATGGTTGATCCTGGAATGGCTGAACGTCTTGGATCTCAACTACCAGCACATCGCCAGGCTCGGCTGTTTCAATCTCGAGAGGTCCGGACAGGTAGTGAATCTTGGTCAGGTCTACATTCTTCATGTCATCAGCGCTGTCGTTGTTCCCAATCTGTCCTCCAGTCCAGTCGACGCATTCAATTTTGACAATCTCTCCATTCTTGACCGTGCCACAGAAGGGAACTATCTACTGTCAGTGATATCCGGTCTTATGATTGCTGGCAGTACAAACTGTCTGGGTGCCATCGGTTCTATTGGAGATTAGCATATTATATGCAACTAGAAGCTTCAGTCAGCTCACGTGCAACTGTGGCTGTTCTGCTGCTGCCTTCTTTAGATCCACATTCAACACGGTACGAATTGGTCCAGGCATAGTCAAGACTGAAAGTAGAGGTACGTGGAGGGATTAGATGTAGACTGGTTTGACTCGGCAACTGCGCGGCTGAGAGCTCTTTAAGTACCAGACGCACTTATCCAGGTTCTTCAAAGATGTCAATGCAGAGCGGGGCAGCAGCTTTCCATTGCCCCGCAGACGCGCTCTCTCGGCCATGCATCACACAGAGCGCCAAACCTGGCCTTTGCGGCTATCCTGATAGCTTCCAAGAGAGGAAGCTCGTTAACTGTGTCATTGATAACGGCTCATGGGCAAACTGGACTTTTGGTTGGTGGTTGGAGTTCAGGGACTCCTACGCTACCGAGGCCTGTCAAGTTGACACCCCGCTCCCCCCGCATGGTCGTCGTTACTGTACCGCTCAAGAGCTTTGCTAGGCAAGGTACATCCCGAAGGTCAACCTAGAAGTTCTTGCGGCAAACAACCGGCGGTGCTGTCTGGGATAGCATTGCCATTCTGGGGATTTGCATCATCTGATTGTTTTTCTTTCTTTGGAGGGTTTGTGTCTATTTCCAGAGTCACCTATACCCATTATTAGCCAATTCATAGCATAGTTGCTACTGGTCATTACAGCGCCATGCTCGCTGCGGTAATTTACACCTACGGGTCCATCGTTGACAAGACCAACTTCCATCATGGCCTGAAAGACACCGTTTTTGACTTTCTCGGCCAAGTAGAGGTTCTGTATCTTCGACACGAAATGATCGTAAAGCAACCTCGCCTCTTCTGGTTTTGCCGCACCATGAAAGTCCGGTTTGTGGCCCTTGCGCGTATTTGCAAGAAGTGTGAATTGGGATACTGCCAAACAGTCATCAGGGCCGACCACGTAGTGACTCAACCAGACTTACCACAGAGTATTTCTCCGTCAATGTCTTGCACGCTTCGTTTCCATTGCTGAAGAAGTCATTTCTTTCTCGATTTTAGCAGAGATTTGACTAACTTTAGAACCTGTTTCGTCTGGCCACATTTTCATTTTGAGGACTTTCGAAGCCATGGATTCTGCATCCTTCTTCGTGTCATCCGGACCAATCGCTGCAAAGACAAGAATGCCCCTCTCAATTGATGAAATAAGCTTCTTGTCGACAGATACAGATGCAGAGGCAACCCGCTGAAGGATAGCTTGGAACATTAGCACATGTGGTGATCTAGGATAGTGCTGTGCCAACCTTTCATCGTGGCAGATGATGTGATCCGGAACTTGTATCTCGAGATTATCAAGATAACTCGGGCAGCAATGAATCTGAAAAGCTCGCTCCTTTAACACAATGGAAATGCTCAAATTACTCTCCTATCCATTCTACTAATCAAGACGTCGAATTGCAAATAGTAGTGTAGAACGTGATATAACCTAGCAAAGAGTAAGCGCCGCTGACTTGGACGCAAACAAGGTGTGCTCAAACAAGCGAACAGAAGAAAACAACCCGCTGAGACAAAGACTGCACAACAAGTATTGCACCAACATGGGATGAGTCCAAAATCTCGAACACAAACACCAAGGACAGGGCTTGGCATCAACTAGCGTCAGTGGTTCATCAGACCTTCTGCGGACGGGGCCAGGCTGTAGGCTAACAACACCTTGGTAAACAGCAAACATCGCCCGACACATCCCTACAATATCGCCAAATCAAACTCCTCTGTTTTCGCATCCTCAACATCCCTTTCAGCGCTTAGATGCTCCCCAGCCATGACGTCTCGCAAGGTCCAGCAGGAAATCGACAAGACCTTCAAGAAGGTAGAAGAAGGGATACAAGCTTTCGACGGCATAAACGAGAAAATTATGACCTCTACGAACGCAGCGCAGAAAGACAAACAAGAAGACAACTTGAAACGAGAAATCAAAAAGCTCCAGAGGTTCCGCGACCAGATCAAAACCTGGGCCGCTGGCAACGATGTCAAGGATAAGGCGCCACTGCTGGAGCAGCGGAAGAGGATAGAAAAAGTGGGAGGCGCGTCCCCGAAGTGGAGCATGACTGACGATGTCTAGTGTATGGAGCAGTTCAAAGCGGTAGAAAAGGAGATGAAGACCAAGGCTTATTCCAAGGAGGGCCTGTCTCAGAATGCGAAGCAGGATCCGGAAGAGAAGAGACGAGAGGAGCTGTGCGACTTCTTAGTAAGTCAATTAGACGAGATCGAACAGTTTATCGAAGCGTTGGACGCGGAGCAGGATACGCTACAAGCAGCAGTCAAGAAGAAGAAGAATGATACTTCCAAGTCTGGCCGGCTATCAGAAATTGATGTGGTGCTAGAGCGGTTCAAGTGGCATGAAGGGAAAATACAGCTTCTGCTACGATCGTTGCAGAACGGAAATGTAGATAATCACCAGGTGGAGGAGCTTAAGGACGGCATAGAATATGCATTAAAGGAGGGCCGAGAAGCCGATTTCGAAGGAGAAGATCCCGATCTGTACGAAGGTCTCAATCTCGAGGGCGAAGAAGCAGTATTTGGCATGGGTGTGGACAACGATAAGATTTCATCTCAAGACGCCTTATCAATACAGGACGAAGCAGATTCCGAGCCACCTGGGCTGAAGAAGGTGAAATCAGAACCACCCACTGCTCGAAGACCGTCAACGCAGATGAAGTCTCCACTACCAGTACTAGCTTCATTGAATACAATGCCGCCACCACCGTCAATACCCAAAGACACAAGCATGAAGCCAGCTCCAGCGCCTACCCGGCCACCTGGAGAAGCGCTGAAGTATGCTTCTGCTGCCGCTGCAGCAGCAGCGAGCGATAAGAATGGTGTGGGCATAGCTCCTTTACCACCTCCGCCTATCGCGGCCAGCCCTACCCCTGCTCTCGTTCCGTTACCTGCTCCATCGAAACCAAGCATCACAGCCTCACCCCCGCCAGTACCTTCAGCTCCTGTGCAACCAGTCACGAAGGCATCGACCGAGGAGGCGGCAAGCACCAATGGCGCATCATCGCATGATCAGTCGAAGTCACCAACACTGAGTCAAGCCAGTGCTCGTGCATTGAGCATACCAAGCAGCGTCCCTCCTACTCCAGCTTTGGAAAAGGCCGAGAACGTACCAACTCCGGTAATTGCCGATGAGGCGCTGACCACCAATGGTGAAGTATTCGAAGAGCCTCAGGACACGGAAGAATCCATCTATCATCTCCCGGCCAGCCTGCAGGATTTGATACAGTCTTTTGAAACAACGAAAAGTCGAATCCCCTTGCAACCGAATCCATCTCAGCAACGCCTATTGGCAGCCTCACGAGAATCATGTCCAGACGCGCCGGATGCCGAGCGGCCCCAGCACTACAAGCCACAATTTCGGTTTAACACCCCGGCGCACTATCCCCAGGAACCCTTACCCATCTTCGATGATCCTGCTCTGTACGAGACTGGACGGATAGATACCGACACTCTCTTTTACATCTTCTATTATCGGCAAGGGACCTACCAGCAATATCTGGCCGCTAAATCGCTGAAGAACCAGAGTTGGAGGTTCCATAAGCAATATCAGACTTGGTTTCAACGGCATGAGGAACCTAAAACGATCACGGAAGAGTTCGAACAGGGAACGTATCGCTTCTTTGACTATGAGAGCACCTGGTATGTCCAAGTACTTGCATGTTCTTACATGAATGCTGATCAGTACAGGATGAATCGTAGGAAGGCAGATTTCAAGTTTCTCTACAAGTATCTGGAAGACGATCTGTAACATAGCACTGGCGCAAATGGCATAGGGGAACGGGTCCTGCTGGCCGGTGCTGGGCTTGGGGCGTCATCACTACGATCCATGATCATTGTACATCTGCATGTTTGTGTGGCGGATCAGCAAGCGGCGGAGCTGTGAAGCAACAGCGTCAACATTAGCGACACCGAGGTTACTTAGCATGCTCTGGACCTTGCCTGCTTTGTGATCAGCCGAACCCCTTTCTTTTGCGCTGTGATTGCTACCCTGTCTGTGACACAGGGCCAAGACCGTCTGCCTGTACATGACTTGTCGAGAACAGCGGTCCGCCTCATTCTGGACCCAGTAGTTCATATCTGGTTACGTTCCGCTGTATAAATGAGGCTGAGTGGTGCGGAAAGGCAACGACTAACGACTACGTAGTAAGGAGGTCGCCCGGGGAATAATGGTCCGGTTGCGAACTTGCACTGAAGTTGATTGCTAATTGGTGCCAACTGAGCTAGTCTCTAAATGGTATGGTAAACGTAGTCTAATTGTTCGTACAGCCTACAGCCTACAGCCTACAGCCTACAGCCTTTCGCTTTCTTGTCTCCCACAGCACAACTTCCAACATGCTGTCACCACCTTCTCAACCTATCACAGATGCTGTCCGGGACCCTTAAAAAGTACCTCGGCGTCTAGGCGTCTGCCGTTTGGCGGGAAATCTTGATTTTGACTGACATCCTAATCCTACTTTGCCTTGCCTGGTCTAAACCTCTTTCTAGCATACAGTTGTTTGGGCCAATCGAATCGAAGAGGGCAAGCGAGGGGGTAACCGGCGACCTGGCCATAGCCCACGCATCCTCCCAACGTCCAAACCGAACAGACTGACAGCCTGAGAAAATTACTTCTTCTTCAGATGTCAATTCGGCTATGGACTCATAAGTCACTCGGCAGTTCATGCTTATCATGTACACGGCCACGGCGGAGCTCATGTTTCATCTGCCTGTGAGCCTTGGGCCTCTACGGATCGGTCCGGTAAGGCGTCTTTTGGGAAAAAGACCTCACCATCATGACTACTCATATCTATGTCTGCTTCCAACATCCAACATGCCTCGCAAGGCAGCCAATAGGTCTCCATCTCTTGAACTAGAAATTTTAACCTTCCTTCTGGCTTCCAGCCCAAAGGTACTTTTCAGGGACGTCTTGCAAGCCTTCTAGCTTGCAACTGCCCTATTCAGCTTCCGCCAGTCTGCGAGTTTGCTTATGAGCCTCAAATTAGCCTGTAGACCACCTCGATGGTGTGATCGAGTTGTGTGGCAGTTGCACAGAACATGCTAATACCGTGCATGTCTTCCGGCATGTCACTGTGCCAAATCCACAGTGTCCCAATTCCAGCGTGTAGCGTTGAGTATTGGTTACCCTGCACGGTCCTCTCCACAAATTTCCGATCTGTCGTCCATGCCCTTCGGTCCCTGGAAAACAGCTGCAAAGCTAGCTTCACTTTGACCCGGAAATGACCAACATGGTTTCCGACCATCTGAAATGCTGCTGAGAGTCTGTTCTGGCAGTAGTACCTTGTCAGAAGGACTTTCTGGACCAGATGGCTCCATTTGCTGGACATCGTATCAACGTCTGCCTAGTTGCATGATAGTGTATAACTACTGGCACATTTCTCATGTACCTCCTTTTCAGAACACCGCTATCCTCGTTGACTGGCATATCACCTACACCTTGTCTTGTTAGTGTCTTGTATCCGTTCAATCACACTTGAAGCTCTCAGTATCAAGTTCTCCACCTCTCTACAAACAACATGGACAACAACATTTACCGGTGGAACCACGATATTCCGAACAAATATTTCACAGACCCTCGGTACAATGATGGATCTGCATTTTGGCTGAGCCGGCAAGATTCGGGAGAATCGATCGGCTCCTCACATAGTTCCGACTCCCATTACTCGTCATACTCAGGATATCCTTACAATGGAGCACCAGCATACTACGAACAAATGCAGCAGGCCGCCATTCACGGTTACCCCAATAATTCTCACATCAGCTACATTGGCTCGTCGTCGTCGAGCGCACCTCAGAGACCTACAGCGTCTACCCGTCATGATCCAACCTCGTTCTCATCGTAAGTCTCCAATGATCAGTTACCACCAACCGACTGACACAACACCAAGGAGTTCGAGCAAGCGCGAGCGTTTCTATTGTGAGCACTCTACCTGCCACGACAAACAAGGTCGTCGGTCATCTTTCAGCCGCCGTGCTGATCTGAACCGTCACTATCAATCGGTTCATGGCAGTGTTCTTCTTGACTGTCCCTGGCCGAGGTGCGAGCGTAGAGGCGATCGAGGATTTCCGAGGCTCGATCATCTGATCGAGCATCGGCGAGGTTACCATCACGATAATATTCCCAAACGGGAGAGTGCACGATGAGGATTCAAACGACATGAGGACATTGCACGCATCTAGAACTACTTGTGGCTCGAAGAGTGGATCGAAGAATTGCTTGAAGACTTGGTCGTGTCAACGTTCCTCATGGATCTTTGTTTCCCATTTTCGGTTTTTCCTTGTTGGTTTACGCACTTAGTGTCTAGTGCTACCTCGATGGTTATGTTTGTTTTCCGGCGTCCTCGTGGATGATGATTTCCGACCTCATCTGGTGTCTCGGTGTGATGCGTATGAGCATGGAAAGCAGCGAAGAGATACCCTGTGGTGCTGTACCAACTGGCGTTGACAACTTTGGTACGATTCGGCAGAGCAGATCTCAATGAGTTAGATGCAATCAGGCAGAACTCCCCTCACCCACTTTGCATCTCTCCGTGTGCTCAGATCTCAAATCCATGCTTCCGTGTTACTAGTATCTCCTTTCAGTTGCACACTGCGCCCATCTGTAAGGAAGGTGATCTTCGTAGACTGAGACTAGACCACTGGATTCAAGGATATGGCCCCCGTACTCCAGTATCTACCACAGCCCTGTCTGATTAGATTGTGACTTTTTCACATAAGTGCCCTCAGTATGTGTGTATCAGTATGTGTGTATCTACCCTAGCTGCCGATCCCTCTGCCAAAAGTAGACCAGGAGTGTCCAATACTAGTGCGCCGCACCCCAACTAGTAACTATCCTTATGAGCAGAAAGAAGTACTGGTATCCAAGAGGGTGACAGACGTGCTCGTGCCCTGCTTCCACACGGTCGATCAAAGTGGGATGCAAAGCCTACAACCTTTTCTTTGGGTACTTTTCCCGTCCATAGGTCAACCACGAAGCAATTCTTCCACTTCCCGTTCCTTTCTCTTTCACGTCCATGTCGCCTCACTTCGCCTCGCCCGGGATCCCCCACCACCCGCCTCGTTTCCAGTAGTTAGTTACTCTCTCTAATCAGACCGCTGCTGTCCATTCAGCACCTTCTCCCCCGTACCTTACCTAGACCCAGAACACGGTCTCCCGCTCTACTCCGTAACTCTTTCCTCGCCCCACCCTTTCCTCTCATACACCCCAAGCCCAAGCATAAGCTCAAGCCCCAAGCAATACACGCGGACACCACATCTCTCTCCTGGCACTATGTCACTCGTCGCGCGAGGGAATCAGCAGAACCCTGGATCTTGAGCTCTATGTAGAATCTTTCGGCTCTGCGTCTCCCGGAGCCTGGATCAGAGGGGTGAGATGAAGGGGGTACCTGGGTAGGTATATGCAGGTATGTATATCTGCTGTCGACATTGAACTCGAACTTGACCTTGAACTTGGCTTACGCCGCCGCCGCCGCCGCAGCTGAAGCAGTGCCGATACATAATCGCATCGATCGGATCAATTTCGGTACTTACCTTCTTTTGGCAAACTATTGCCATCCATCCATGTATTCTAATTTTGGCTAGGTGCAAGCCTAAAGGGCTCATTCTCATCCTCATTCGTTCTGGTATGAATGCTCGAGAACAGCAGTTGTCGGGTCTGCAGCCTCTTCAGCGCAAGAAGGAGAAGAATGACGAATGTATATCTATCTCGTCGCAGTTACGACTCCGAGATCAGCCCGTCAGTTGCCTTTGCGAAAGGAAGTCGTGCACCAGAGAAATATTCTGGAAAAAGTGTGTGAATATATACTCCACTTGCGGAGGCTCATGGATCATGGTTCTGCGCTCTTCCTTGTGGTGATGGTCGGCGATGAACGAATATGGGTTAGGAGTAGGGGTACGGGCATGGGCTTGGTTTGATGAGGAGCCAGATTAGTCCGTTATCATAAACCGCCATGATACAGGTGCGCTGTGAGGGGTATCTGCAAGGAGTGCTGGTGCGCAAAGCGTTACGGGGCTGGGGAGCAGTGATTTCGAGGGCAGACCTCAGAGATATGTCGGGAGGGTTTGCGACTCATCCATGCATCCGTACACCGACGATTTCCCCGTGGCGAGGGCTCCAAATTCCCAGCTATTCCCCTCCCGACTGCGGCAGCTTAAAGTAGAAAGGGGGGAAGCCCACAAGGCAGACGCAGAGAAAGAGAGTTAAATCAGGACCAAGGAGGCATTGTACCCGGCCCTGGCTGAATTCAGGTGTCCTTCAATATTATGTATTATCGAAAAGTGTAGAAACGTGGTTGCTGGCGCTCGCTATCAGGGCCCCTTTCTCCAGCTGCATGAGGATGGGGCAGTGTGGGTGAGACATGTGCGATCGATAGTGGAGGGCTTAAAAGAACTTGGGGGAGGCTGAGGCATGAAATCAGGGTAATTATTCAGCCTCACGTCTGTGTGCAGGAAGGAGATTGTACAGTAAGACTTCTCCCGCGATTTGGCGGATACTAAGTAGCTAGGCACGTACGGAGTACTGAAGTGGTAATGGTGATGATGGTGGATTTGTAGTTGCGTGTCATTCTTGCCAGAATGGTAGAGAGGATCCTTGCAGTCGGCTGTCCGGCTGACAGGGGAGAGGTAGAGGAAGAGGCTCAGCTCCGCTTAATTGAGCGCTAATGTACCCAACCAACGTGCGCACCACAACCCCATGTACACCACATTTGTTCAGGGCCGGTATCTCCTTGCGTAACATTTTTTTCAAGCCTATTAATTTCATCTTGCCACTACTTCGCGAATATTCACCGAAATCACACAGATATATAGGTCGAACGACCAGAATCAAACAGTGATTGTGTGCATAATGCTTATCTAAACTACTATCTTTTTCCCTCAAACGGCGCCATCAACATTCACTCGACAGAAATATGCTCTGAATCCCTGTCCGCCAAGCAATTTCTGATGCACATCAAGGGTGTGTGGTGCACATGTCAGTTGATCACGTTCAAACCCGCAGTCGCATCGACTTTGTCTCCTTTCCATTGCAGAGAGATGTGGCTGTGCCTGACTCGCCAATGTTTTTTCCCCCATATGAATGCAGTAGGTTTCATTCTAATACTGTTCACGCAAAAATTTCAACGGGTTCCTCCTATGCATGGAGTAGATTCATTCAATTCAAATGATGGTGTTCGCAATGAGGAGGAAAGCAGTCCAAAATAGACGAGTATATCGTGTGACAAATGCAATGGATCAGGTTGAACTAATGTTCCCCGATTGGTAAACTATCTTATGAATCCGCATCCCTGAGTTCAGGCTTCAGCGTCTTTCCTTTTCCCAGTCGTTGATTGTTTGTCATCTTGCCGAGGAAATCTTCGACAAGTCATGGCAGCTGGGAATCCTCCTTGGTACTAAGTCTGGCCATCAGTAGTCGAAGCATTGGATTTTGCACCCCCGGTAGTAGCCTCCAACATGTCAATCCCCCATCAATCCCAGCCCCGAAGTCGCCGAGAAGCGATTGCACCGCTTTGAACGTCCCCGAAGATTCCAGGAGCCGCAGGATATGCTCCTTACGTTGCAGTGGCAGTGGGTTTGCGTCACGCCCGAAGCCTACCACTCGTTGTCGGAATAGTCCCAGAATGTATACTTTTAACTCCGCATTTCCTAGTACGCTATGTACGATTGGGTATGAGAATTTTCATTCGTCGAGATCCTCACAGAAACCCTTCTGAGTGCTATACTCGACAGAGTACAGGTTGAGATAGTCGTCTCAGATTTGGAAGAAGGGACCGAGTAGCAACGTCAGTATCTCGAAATCGAACTTTTTGTGCCCGTGTCGCTCTGAAGCTGCATCAGGCGCACTAGCATCCGGAACAGACCTCCTGTCTGGTTATCCACCATGTTCAGGTACTCGACTTCGCTTGGGCACTGCAAGGTATATTACCAGCAAAGATCCCAACTCTGGCCAAGGTAAAGATGCCGCAGCTCCCCACCGAGCGCCTCAAAGCTTTTGGTATGATTGAGCTTTTTGACTTGCTGAAGCGCCTGCACAAACAAGTAATTTGCGCTGTTAATGGTCTGTCAGTGCCCAAACATGACATGGACAGCTGCATGTCCCCGTCGAAGCGTTGAGCCATCTTCGATGTCGTCTAGAATAAGTGAAGCGTCATGAAGCAGACCAATCATGCCACTCATAACCTTCGTTGACTCTTCCGGGACATGCAGCCATTCGTTCAGGCAGTTAACGAGCATCGATCGCACCCCTTTGGTAAGGTAGAGATCTCATGTATCGACGAGTGTCGATCGCCAGTTTGTTCGGCTTATACCATGTTCCTCGGATGGCCCGATTCTTGTTCGATATTTCGTTAAAGTCATGACACATCTACGCTTTTCTCCGCTCGGCGGGTTTTTCGTACCGGCTGCTTCTTCTACATTGAAAACTCCGGGATGCTCCGCACCTAGTCCAGTACGCTGATAAGCTGATGCAGGACTTCTGTCCATTGATTGAGATGTAATGTGGCCACTCACCTGCATAGATCCATTCGAGGCTACGGTCTGCGTGATACCGAGAGTCTCAAATTACCCTTGGTTGCATCGCATCTCCCGCCAGGCGTTGTGACATGGGCAGCTCGAAGCCCAGTAGTGACTTCCTGGAACAACGGAGCCGGAGACTTCGATCCATGGTCTGAGGTCTAATGAGACATCTGGATGTCTTTCGCCAAATCCGGCCTTTTGTTGGACATGTCGCTTCTTGCACGCTTTTATCATTCCACGCATTACTTCTTTTGCCTCTTCCACGGAGAGGGTCTTTTGTTTTCGTACAACTTCGACTGAGTTCACAAGTTTGCTTCCGTGAAGGTGGTCCTCGCTACGCTCCTAGTTATAAGACCAATAATCATTTATGAGCATCATTACCTCTTCGATCGCTTCAAAAATGTTCTTGACCAGCTCCTTGTCATCGTCTGGCAGTTTGTATGCCATTCTGAATTCGACCATTGGCCAGAACGCCATGCAGATCCCGTTTAACAGGCAAACCTTTACGCGCCGTACCCCGGTAAGACTTACTTCCTTCCACAGCTACACCTACGAAATTCGTAGTACTCTTTGAGGCACTGAAAGTTGCTCAATTCTGGGTTTTCAGCAATGGCCAACCACTCTTTCTGATACATCTCCAGCAAGTACAATCCCATCTTGCGATCAGTATGCACAGCCTCGAGGAGAATTTGAGCAGTAGGCTTCTTCAGTTTCATTACCTTTGACCCTTCTGTAGGTTTGCAAGCATTATCGAGATCAAGAGATACTTCGAAGTCATAGTGCTCCGCTAGAGCATCCTCAGTAGTCATTCTTTCCGTTTCGTCTAGTGTCTTTCAGCGTTACGATTGGATTCCAAGGGGAACAAATTCACCAATCCATGACGAACGGGAGTCTCACAATCATACAACGGTCCAAGATCCATGAGGTAGGTAACAATTCTCTGCCGCTCAAGAAGCATCCCTGGCCATGCAAACGCGCTCAGATTTCCTAAGTCGGATAAAGACATGTATGACTTCTTGTCCTTGCCGTCACGGACATGATGCGCCCAGTCTCTCAAGACCCGGCGGCTTGCGGCATCGGTTATGTCGTTCCGCTTGCGTATGCGGATTGGAAGCGTTGTGAACGCACCTACTGTACTTCTCTCGCTTTGTTAGATTTTATCAAAGTCGAGTATTTCGAAGTTGGCCCATAAATGCTCTTGAAGCGGCAAGACTTCTCATTTCACATCATAGAGATGATAAGAGGATGCTCTTCTTGTATTAATAGATCGAACGATGGAGAAAGCAAGAAGGTCTACACAAGCCTAATCTTCTTTTATTGTGCGCTAGTAGCTTAATGCACGCGGCTCGTCTATAAGCCGCGCCCGACCCCTGCCTAACACTTTTATATATCATGTTGAAGCTACCGCCTTCGTCATTCATTGGCAATAGATGGCTATAGACCGCGCAAGAATGTCAAAGCCAAGTGTCGGATATTCAGCAATGCAGACTGAACCAAGGTTGCTGATGTAGACGCATCCAGCGAAAAGTGTGATAGCGCGTTGTGCGCGTTCCTCAGCCTTCTCGTGTTTGTTCTGCACGAGTTCGTAGGCTTTGAGCTTTTAACTTGTGATGAGCAACTCACAGATCTCCGGTTGAGTACGAGTGGAGCTTAATGCCGGCAACATCGGCATATTTGGCTCCTCAGGCACTCTGGAACAGATTCTTTTCCAAAAAGAAGCGTCCAAACGCTGCGCTTGAGCAAGAACCCTGAATTCATGATACCAGTGAGTAAAGTTCTCCTGGCTGACGAGCGTGACAGCACAAGCCGCTGGAGTCGTTGTTCATTGACGTAGAAAGAGCATGTCAAGAATATGTCGGGGATTGAATGAAGAAAAGATGTTTCCCATAACCTGGTGGAAAGCTATGGGTGTGGAACTTGGTTCTTGATTTCTACCTAGGTACTAAAGGTCTTTATACCCCCAGTTCTTCTACACGGAGAATGTGCAAACAGTCATGCATGTCTTTTGTCAACAGGCACCACTGGCTGACAGATGACTGTTCATGCCTAAGAAAGGAAGGTGTTAGTTTACTGTTGTACACCCGCACATCTGTGATAGTAATCGCTGTCTTACGGCTAGTGTTTTAAGTACCAGTGTCGAACATTCTGCCAAGCAAAACACATCGAACGACTCGCAGGTCTGAGAAAACGCCCTCTCGCTTATGGATACATCTCCCCAGGAAACATTTGCCTATCTTTAGTGGAGCTCGTGTAACATTCCTACAATGGAGACATGGATCCTTAAACGTGCTACCTAGATGAAAGGGGGTTGGCACGAGTTGGTCATGGTCTGTGCGGTTGGTATAAACAGTCAACCCTTTCTCCATTCCTAACCCTTGTGGCTTCCGCTCTTGCACTCAGCCTAGTTAGCCCTCCCTCTTGCTCTGACCTTCCTTGGCCATTTCGGCCATCAATATGTCATCCCCCCTAGATTCCACGATTAAAACACCGCACTCTCAAGCTACTAGTATCGCTGACCCTAACGAGGACGATCTGCCGCCCAAAGTAGCTGCGGAAAGACGCATTCGCTACCTCGATGATGACGATCTAGAAGCCCAAGAAGGCCCTCACCGAACGACTGCCCTATCCAACGATGTGTTGAGACGTCGAAGCTCATCTTTTTCTATTCATTCCGTCCAAAGCATCCAGCGTGGTGACCGTGTGAGGGATCCGGCTACGGCGTTGCCTGTTGCCTACCGTACGGTCAGCTTTAATATCAGCAACACACAAGAACGAGCTGCATTTGTGGCCAAGGAAACGAAGAGGGAAGCGGAAGAGAGTCGTTACATCCCTACCACTTCATTGATCTGAGCTAACCCGGCGCAGTTATTGGTAATCAAGAGTGGCACCTCGTTTCCGCCGAAGAGCTCTATGAACGACAGGGTGTCGACCCAGGCACTGGTCTGAGTGCTTTGGCGGCCAAAGAAAGGCTCTCTAAGTATGGTCGCAATGTCCACTCACCACCAAGGTCGCACTTTTTTCAGCGCATCTTTTGGTATCTGTTTGGCGGCTTTGGTTCCATTCTTCTTGGTGGCGGCATTCTAGTCTTCATTGCATGGAGACCGCTTGGTGACCCGCCCGCGGTTGCTAACCTTGCGCTGGCTATTGTGCTCATTGCTGTTTGGGTCATTCAAGCCTTGTTCAATGGCTGGCAGGACTTCTCGTCGTCCCGAGTGATGAAAAGTATCACAGGCATGCTACCGGAAGAGTGTTATGTGCTACGCGACAGTCTAAAGCAGAGTATTACAGCAGCAGACATCGTTTGCGGTGACGTCCTATATTTCAAGGCAGGGAACAAAATGCCGGCGGATGTTCGCTTCATTGAGGTCACGTCTGACGCCAAATTCGACCGTGGAATCTTGACTGGTGAATCTCTCCCTGTTAGCGCAATTACAGAGTCAACGGAGCCAAACTACCTGGAAACTAAGTGTATCGGCCTTCAAGGTACGCATTGTACATCGGGGTCTGGTATGGGCATTGTGGTGGTAAGTTCCATCATTCTCCTCAGACGACACCCGCTCACAGGGGCAATCAGTCTACAGGTGACAGCACAGTGTTCGGCCACATTGCAAAGCTGACTAGCGCCGAGTCAACACAACGCACGAACTTGCAGAAGGAGATCATTCGTTTCATTATTGTCATTGTCACCTTGATGCTGATAATGTGCTTGATCGTGATTGGTGTGTGGGCCGGATACATCCGCAAAGAGCATGAAGGCTACATGCCCCCGAGTCTTCTCATTGTTAACCTCGTTAGTGTAGCGATCGCCTTCGTACCAGAAGGGCTCCCAGTCGCTGTGACAGCGTCTTTGACCATTGTTGCGGACATCATGAAGCGGCATCAAATTCTCTGCAAGTCTCTCAAGACCGTTGAGACGCTCGGTTCGGTGTCGGTCCTTCTGTCAGACAAGACTGGCACACTAACTAAGAACCAAATGGTTGTGACAGACTGCTTGGTGGGCTCTCGCACGTTGATTCTCGCTGAAGCAGAGAAAGAGGGGCTCAGTGGTTCGTCTACTGAGAGTGCACAACAGACAGCCCTTAAGCAGATGCAAGTTGTTGGTGCAGTTTGCAATGCCGGAGAATTTGACGCCAAGACATACCACCTCCCTTTACCGGACAGAAAGATAATCGGCGACGCCACAGACCAAGCAGTGTTGCGATTTTCGGAAATGTTGGGCCCGGTCACACAGGCCCAAAGCTTGTGGAGGAAGCGATTTGATCTCCCTTTCAACTCCAAATCCAAATTTGCCTTACGGGTTCTGTCAGCCGCTGATCCGCAAGCTGTCTCAACAACCATCAGCAGAGGCGAGGCGAACGGATTCAACGCCGATACCGACATGCTCATGATGGTTAAAGGCGCACCAGATGTTCTGATCCCTCGTTGTGACCAATACGTTGGTGACGACGCTGAAGTCCATGATTTAGATGATAGCATCCGCACCACTGTCAACAACATCAAAGATCAGTGGTCGCGTGAGGGCAAGCGAGTTCTGTTACTTGGACGAAAGCTTCTTCCCTCCAGTAAGATCTCGGCTGCACCAGAGGACGGCAACTTCGAATCGGATGTACAGGGACACGCAAAGTCCGGACTTACCCTGATTGGACTGGTTGCCATGACAGATCCTCCCCGGGACGAAATCCCTAGTGTGATTCACACTCTGCGTACTGCCGGCGTCCGAACAATGATGGTTACTGGTGATTTCAAGCTCACCGCACAGACAATCGCACGGTCCTGCGGCATTATCACCTGTGCTGACAATGAAGTGCATTCCGTCGCCGATCTACCTCGATATCCACCCACGGCTGACGGCAGCACGCCCAAGGAGCGATCTCTGCTACCGCAGATCGGACAGGCAGTAGTCCTGTCGGGTACTGAGCTACCTGCCTTGACGATGCACCAATGGTCATTAATAGTTCAATATCCCGCAGTCGTTTTCGCTAGGACTACTCCGGATCAGAAGCTTCTGATTGTGCAGCGCTTCCGTGCCGCCGGTTATGTGGTTGGCATGACCGGTGATGGTGTCAACGACGCGCCGTCCCTGAAAGAGGCTGATATTGGCATAGCTCCTGGCTCTGGATCAGATATTGCTCTTGAAGCGTCCGACATGGTGCTCCTGGCCTCCTTTTCTTCTATTATCCCGGCGGTTGCCTATGGACGCTCGGTTTTTATAAACCTCAAAAAGACTGTCGCCTATCTCCTTCCGGCTGGAAGTTACTCCGAGTTCTGGCCAGTGATGACCTCAGTCATCTTTGGGATCCCCCAGATTTTAAGCTCCTTTTTGATGATTGTCATCTGCTGCTTTACCGATTGTGCTGCCGCAGTGGCTTTAGCCTACGAGAAGCCGGAAGCAGATGTGTTGACTCGACCACCCCGTGACATCAAAAAGGACCATTTGGTCGACTGGAAATTACTATTCCACAGCTATCTCTACACTGGAACAATGGAGACACTGATCAGCTTTTCACTTGCTTTCTGGTATCTTGAGAAGAAAGGTCTCACATTTCGATCACTATGGTTTAGCTTCGGCGACTACGAAACACCACCTGGCCACGAAGATGACGAGGACTACGTGACGAACCAACTCGCGATCGGCTCCGGGATCTATTTCATCACCCTCGTTGTTCTTCAGTGGTTCAACCTCATGTGTGTCCGCACTCGCCGACTCTCTATCTTCCAACATCCACCAATTGGCAACAAGAATACACAAAATTACCTCTTATTTCCTGCGATTATACTTGCGATCGTCATCGCCGTAATCTTTGTCTACATTAATGAGATACATGAGGTCGCAGGAAGTGGGCCAGTTCCGGTTGAGCATTGGTTCATCCCAATGGCACTGGGTTTTGGTATTTTGTGTCTGGAAGAAGGCAGAAAAGCAGCGATAAAGAGATGGCCAAATGGTGTACTGGCCAAGATGGCTTGGTAGAGACTCAGCGTGCTGCTAATGGACGGTCCTTGAATCTCGGGTGGCTTGATGTACTCATTCGAATCTTGCCAGAACACACACATTCTCTTCCGATGCGTAGATGATCAACTACATGTACTTGAAATACACTTTCTTGGACTAACCGGACTCGAGGTTCATGTAGTAATCAATTAGAGACCAGACAAAGCTTTCAAGCAAGGCCAGCTGGACCATAACTGTCAGCCAATCCCGCAACCAATACGTGATTGTACCCCGAGGAGGCGTCATACGCGCACGCTTCCTCCTGGACAACCCGTTTCAGGATATAGTTCCATCTCGAAAAGTTGACCGGGGCCCCGATGCCCCATCTACAAAAATTAATGTCGCTCTCGGCAAAGTTCTTTTCAAATTTCTACGTCTACAAAGATTCAAGTTTTGTCGACTTTTATAATATGGCATTCTGATTGGCACACTAAACATACTAGTACCCAACTAACTTGTGCAACTACTCCCTCCCTTCAATGTGCACCAAAAATTGATTTGACATTTTGTGTCTCAGAGCATAATTAATTCTATCAATTGAACATTGCGGGTGCTGTTTAGAGAAAGAAGTGATGGAAATGATCCAAATTGTTGCAAATAGACGGGACAGAAGCAGTATGATGCCATAGCGTGGCCAGAGAGATATTCTTATAAGCTTAGCGTCATGTGACTTTTGACATGACCTTGGCGGACGCTGTGCATGCCCTACCCTAGCTGGCCAGCCCAACTTTCGCTCAGCCTCTGCTCAGGCCGCACCGTTCCTGCTCCCTCGGCTCAGCCTTTTGCTCACCTTCTGGCCTATTGCCGCTCAGTCTCGGCTCACTCATACAGACTCGAAATCAACCTTCATGGCCAGCGCATGTTTTACCAATCAATATCCGGAGAGTATAGTCAGCTGCCAGATACAGTACGAACCAAACTATGCTTGAGTTAACTGCCAAGTCGAGGGCCCAGATTGCACTAAATATTCTTATTCCAATCATATACAGCGCTCGTCGCTTGAGCTTCTGCGCAAAGGATATGCCGACTGGCTTTGACAAGTAGCGATTTTCCAGCAAATATCGTCATCACGGTCTAGGCAAGAACCCGAGTAATGCGTCCATCTGTGGGCCGCAATGACTACCAGAACGGAACTTGAGTCCGCTTGAAAACGATCACCCCAACATTCAGCAAGTGCTAGCCAGACCTGACCAGAATATTTAGTTGGATCTGCCTGCTGCACCTTGATCTCCACTCTGTCCCACTCTGCGGTCTTCTTGTGCCCAAATCATCGACCAGAACGACTATTGCCTGTTTGGTAGTGTGTTGGCGCTTGAACCGGAGTCCACATTCAATCACCACCAGCCCGAATGAACGTCGATGCCGTCTAGGTAGCTTCGATATCGTACCGGCATGGCAACGAAGGGTAGCGGTGGTGGTGATGCATTCACGAATGTGGTGGCAATGTCTGGTAAAGTCGAAATTCAATGCAAGCAAGCAATCAGCCGAGTCTGCTGCGCTTTGCGTAGGAAAATATCGTACTCGTGTCCCATGGACGGATCCTCCAACAATCCTTCAGGAATTACAGCTAGATGGTAATTTGGATCCAGATGAACTACGCCACGCGGGGTGGCATATCGCTTCGCTTTGCTCGACAGTGTAAGGGTCACCCTACAGAGGACAAATCACAGCGTTCAATCGGTCTAGATAGTTCGGACCATTGCGCCGGCTGCGAGCAATAAAACCCGAAGCAATGTCAGTGCCTGAGAATGAAGTGTCACATAGCACCAGTGTGGCGCAGCCCAGGTACACTAAGCCCATCCGGGGACCGAGGCAAACATAGCTTTCATACGGGCGTTCCCGTTAGTCAGCTCAAATTCAGCCTCAGCCAAGATGTAAAAACATTCCCCTGCCCAGGCGGTACAGCTATGATTTTTACCGTGAACAACCATCAACCTACCCTTGGCTTTGATACAGGATCACTTCCATCCAAATATAGAACCCAACCATGACAAAAGAGGCCTCATGCCGCGACTTGCTCTGTGTCATGTTACTCACTCCGCAATCCTCTGTTGTGTGCACTCCGTCAACGTCATTTGACATGCGTGTTATTGCCATTGCCAAGGTGAACTCATTAATAAGTACAAGTATAAGATGAAAGACTCTGGAGAGGGCACTGTGAGTACGTGTTTCCGTGACTATAGAATCATTATCAGTTCAACATGCGGTCTCTCCCCAAGGTCCTTGCGCCGTATTTCGCGCTTGCATTCCTCGTACCTGCTGCCACCTGTCTGCCCCGTGAAGATCCCAAGTCCTGCAATGGCTGTTCTAATCCTACAGCTACTATCGACTCCGGTGTAGTCACTGGCAAAGTCACTCATATCCCCGGCTCGGGGTCGTCTGTGAACCAGTTCTTGGGCATTCCATTCGCTCAACCACCTACAGGCGATCTCCGCTTTGCGCCTCCTGAAAAGCCGCATGTTTGGGATGGGACATATAACGCCGTCGCCCAGCCCCCAGCATGTATTCAAGATTTTGGCAACAGAACCACCGGCAGCGATTTCCAGCAGGCGCTGTTCAACACCCCCCCTCCTCCAGGGGAGAGTGAGGACTGCCTCTATCTTAACGTGTATGCACCTAGCTCTGGTGGCAAGGATAAACCTGTCTTGTTTTGGATCTACGGTGGTGGGTACAGGTTTGGTGCCAGCTCGCTTCCACTCTATGACGGCACTAGCTTTGCTGCAAATCAGGATATCATTGTTGTGACAGCAAACTATCGAACAAATCGTGGGTTGCGACACCAATTTTATCTCGAACAATACTGACCTCTTTCGAACGCAGTGTTTGGCTTTCCTAGATCACCTCAGCTCCCACTCGATGCACAAAATCTTGGCCAATTAGACCAGAGACTGGCTCTTGACTGGGTCCAGCGAAATATCCGCAGCTTCGGTGGTGGCCCAGGAAAAGGTGAGCATAAATCCCCTCTTTTCAAAATTCAAGCACCTTATCGCTGCTTATAGTCACAATCGCCGGAGAGTCTGCCGGTGCGGTATCCGTGAGCGCTCTCATCAACACGATGCCGGTCAATCCACCATTTCGAGGCGCTATCCTCCAGGCAGGACAGTCACTAATCCAATTCCCACCGCCTCCGCCCAACGATGACCAAACGTCCTGGGAGGCCCTCATCCAACTCCTCAACTGCACCGACACCTCCGACGCAGGTATTCTGGCCTGCGCACGTGCTGTCAGCGCCGAGACGCTTAAAGAAATTCTGCAGACTACTGGCCTCTCTTTCCAAAGTCCAGTTGCTGACAATGTCACAACTCTTGAATTCCCGGCCGCAGCATACGCAGCAGGCAGTGTCTCCAGGGTGCCAATCCTTGCTGGTTCCAATTTCGACGAGGGCAGCAGCTTCGCCTACGGTGCAGGTGAAAATGTTACCGAGTTCCTTGCAAGCGTCTCACTGCCTACTGCAATAGTCGAACAGATCGCCGAGCTCTACGCGCCTGACTCGCCTGCCACGGTGGGTCGGACGACAGGAAACCAGATCATCGCCCAGATCATCACCGACTCCTCTGCCCGCTGTCCCGCTGGACTCTTTGCCAATCTCACCTTGACCGCTCTTGACGTTCCCGCATGGCAGTACCTGTTCAACGCCACATTCCCTAACACCCAGCATCCAGAATACCCGGGCCTGGGCGTCTACCATTCCTCTGAGATCTCACTCGTGTTCGGCACTTACCCGGCTGAGGACTCCACGCCAACGCAAGCTAGGTTGAGCCGGTGGATGCAGAAGCAGTGGGCGGACTTTGTGAAGGACCCACAAAATGGCCCCGGCTGGGGCCCTTACCCTACGGTCGGAGTGCTGGGAGCGAGCGAGGACGAGGCTGTGACGACAAGAAATGTCCGAGACCTGGACCCCGTTTGTGCGGAATGGGATAATTTGTACGCACTGGGATTAGAGAGTGGCTCATAGGTGCTACCTTTGATAGTGATTTCGGAGGGGCATTCGCAGACATAATCCAAGCAGAGTATTAGTACCCAATATTTATGATTTTGAACCAAGTGTATCGCTGGAAATCGGCTCTTATTGATAACTCTAAGTATTTATAATTCAAATTTCATCCTAATTGATCAAGTATTCATAGAGTTATCAGCATCAATGTAGAAGTTGCATGATGATAGGGGTGCAACCCCCTGTAAGTGGGGTCTAAAGGACTCCACCCACTCATTGGGCGACGGCTATCTGCGGCTCTTAGACTACTAGTGCTCTTTGAAAAGTTCGTATTGCTCTTTGAAAAGTTCGTGTTTTTTGAGAAGTTCGTGTTGCACTGCAATTTTAGCGTAAATGAAGACAGCAAATTCATGCACAAAGGGTCTACACTACACTGTAATTTCAGCATAGATGAAGACAACACATCTAGTCAAGACACGACTGTATTATAATTGCTTCTTATAGATTTAGATTTTGTTAGGATCCCAGGGGAGTGCAAGGGCAAGAGAACTGAAGTCCACAGGATCCCTGAATCCTTAAACCCGTGCAGTACGATTCGCAAGAATCGCAGTTACGCACAGTCTTAATGCCATGCAGAATTTACGACTCTGTAGGTCCTAGAATCCATTGACCAACTGGATGACTTTATGGTCCGGTTAGCTAGTAGTAGTTGGTCTATTGGCGTCAAAACTCTCTTTTCTGATCTGGTGTTCGGAGGAAGCTCTGGACGGCGTCCGCCAAGAAAGGAAACCCCGAGAAGGGTTGGAGAGGAAACAGAAATGCAATGGCTTGTGCTTCAAGTTGCACGTGGGAAAACTGAGCACTGCAGGACATAATTTTTTTGGTGGGGTAATGGGTTTAGCTACTGACGTCGCCAGTGTTCACCAGGGAATCACCAGATGGATCAAGCTGAGGTTGATTGCACTGACAGAGAGGTGTCTTTCCTAGGTCCGCATTCATCGTGAGTGGAGTCTAAGTACTGGTAATCAACAATTTCATTAAATCAGTCAGACAATAACTGTTTCCCGAATGCTCTCCCAGATCCTGTACATGAATCTCGGGCCTCAACCTCAGACCGAGCAAAAGTATGGCGCCCTCAATACATGCCTCCACACTCCATGGTTGAATTAGGGCGTCCCCAAACAGACCAAGACAATGCCGTCCCTTGATAATGGACGCCATGCACGAATATCGTTCAAACAGGAAGAATCCCACCAGAGCCCCCAAGAAGCCCCCCCAGCAAACCCGGGAGTAACACATTCAAAGCACCAGTAATTGCCCCCAGCAACGCCTCCTGTGTTCCAGCTACACCATTCACAACACCTGTGACCAAACCGATAACCGCGGTGAGGTTCAGAGCCGCGAGCAAGGCGAGCACCGCCTCCAGTGCTCCAGCCACAGTAGCCGCAACAGCTGCGATCAAATCAGCGATGATGGTTGGCTTCACAGCCTCGAGGATCTTGAGGACCACGAGCAGTGCCTCAGTTGCTCCAACCACACCGTCAGCAGCAGCGAGGGCCAAATCGATCAACGTCTGGAGGTCTAAAGACTCGATCGCCGCGAGCAGTGCCGCCTGTTGTCCAGGTCCACCTGCTTTAGCCTTTCTGACCATATCAATAAGGGCGGGGACGGTGATTTCACGCGTGGCGATAGTGCCCGACTCGTGCACCTGGCGTTTTTCGAGCGCGGCGGTGACAACGTCTCTTGGAACGACATTGCCGATATTCCTCTCCACAGTGACGGCGGTAAGAGCCCGCTTGACAGGATCGTGCCCAGCTTGGGTGACAGGGACGGCGCTGACGGTGGCAGCTGCCAGCGCTAGGGAGAGAATATGAATGAGCTTCATGGCTTGAAGATGTCTTGAAGTTGTAGGTAGGAAGTGGATGGGCAAGTTATGAAACGATTCGAGTCAAAGAACGTTGGAGAATTGCATTACGAGGACGTAGGGGCGATAGAAGTCGGAGGCTTTTGCACTGGAGAAGATGAAGAATCAGCTTGGAAGGGAAAGAAAAGTACAATATATAGGAAGACGACCCATTCAGTTCCAAGTTAGTTCGCCTCCTCCTCATCGTCCATCACATATGGTATTGCCCATGAATCGCGATGTACGTCATCAGATCATCGAGCTACTCCTCTGATGAAAAAACACCGCAACGGAGGCAAGAAGCCTGTTCCTACCACCCTGTAACCCAAGATTCAGTCAAGTGACTTGTGCTTACCCAGAATGGACGAAGATACCACTGAATGATGGCATTGGTGCTACAGACGACAGACGCCATAGCTGTGAGATGAAACAATCTGCCATGTCCACTTCGCCGATCGCTGCAAGCAATCCTTGGGGGCAGCTCATGGTGTTTCTCTCGGCGTCGCACATATTGAACGCCATTGCTCTTTTTCGGACTACGAGTATGTTCCCTATGCTCCGACGTCGGCACCTTGTTGTGAATAGAGTCAGTCTTCGTCCGAGAAACCCTTGTCCAAGATATCCTCGTCTAAGGTACCCTTAGTCCTGAAGGATCTTGCAAACGCCTTGATTCTCGCGGCCCGGTTGTCAGGTGACAGGAGCGAGAGTGCACAACAGATCAGAGCCTTAATCCAACATACCTGTCACCTCGATTTCACTCGTCCAATAACAAAGATGCAGCAAACGGCAAGCAGCAATTATAAATGTGTCGTATTTGAGGGAACCAATAAAGCCATCGATGATGCAGGAACTGCAAAGAACCGAGTGGTAGCTGCGTTGACGGGATGACATCACACGAAAATAGCCCAGATTCAATCGCGCCATATGCTTGTCAATTCACAAGGGGGCAAGGCAGTGCAGAAACTCTGTAGTCGACTACTACTGTTTCAGGCAGAGGTAATGTTAGCACGGTTTTAGTAGCAGCTACTTATGATACAGCGCCACTTTGATCTCGAGAAGCTTTCTTGGCATTCGTCCACAGATATCGGCCATAGCAATACAATCTAGCTTTATAAAGTTAACTGTTTCGTTTGAAGTTTGTCTTGAAGCAATATTACTAGCGCTGTCAGGCACCTGCATGGCAGGGCTAGCATGCCAAGATAGTCTACTGCAGCAGGAGGCATACCGTAGTAAGTATTATTAGCTTCAAGCTAGAAATTTGGTATTTAACACAGCCTTAACGAATTCGCACGTTACTGAAACGACGTTGGTCTGCATAGTTCTCAGCATGGAGCCAATTATCAGGATTAGTGAGGGGTCAAGACTTACAATAGCTCCGGAGGACGCCCGACCCCTGTACCGAAAGCCATCTATAACTAGCTCACGCTAATAATACTTATGCCTCCTAACCGTAGTAGAGTAGTAGAAAGCCTTTTGGGTGCCTGCTGAGCATTAAAATAACAACACACTTCACTCACATCTATGATCTCGTCTTCTGCTTGTTATTCTCTCACTTGTCAGGCATGTTAAGCCTGATGTTCTGGTAGCTTTGTTTTCTCGACGTCCACTTGGCCCAGTCTGCGACGAGTAGAACCAATTGTATGACGAAAAGCCGATCCCTGCAGCCCTGCGATCGCCGCGGCGCGACAAGTGCCAACCCTGCGCCGATCAACGACACCCCACGCCATCTAGGCATCGCCACGCCAGCCTTCTAAAGCTTTACGAACGTGGTAGAAGACTACTACGGTAGGAGGCATAATAAATGTCAACGTGCTCTAGTAACAGCTTGTAACGCCAGGATAGAACGCCACAAAATCGCTTGATTGGGACTAACCCATCCTACCCAGTATCGAGCGTGCATTCCACTAACATCGACCGCTGCCTGACACCTTGCTGGCATTGATTGGAGCAGTTGTAGAATGAGATAGAATCAGTAGAAGAAGCTCAACGCGTTGAGCGCCCTGAATGATCCCCTGGGGGGGTACGTCATTCGTACAAGGGTGGCAAGGTATCTGTATGAGGGTCGTCAATAACAATTTTACCAGGGGCACGCCTACATTCATTATGCCTTGTACGGCAGTACATCCTCCACAACTCATACCAATCTCAATCTCGACGGCGCCAGCATCGACACCCATCGCCCTAAGGACCGCCCTCAGAACGCGATACATCCACAGCTCTTGCCATTGCGAGCATGAAACAGCAAAGCAGTGATTAGTATGGCAACGAAATACCACTTAGGAGAACCCTAGCAAGAAGCCCCCCAGGAAGGGCCTATCCGTATCAGGACGTTGCCCATTTTGGACTAGGAGCCGACGCCGGTCCTACCACCGTCCCAGACGCTTAAGGTCCCCATCAAGCATAGAAACAGGACTCGCCTCCCCGGTGATTTTCCTGACTCTGCAATTGAAGAATCAGCAGGAAGAAATCAAGAGAGACGACACGCACGAATCTCTTGTATCGCCCACGCCAGATCATCGCGGCAGCATTACCTGGGGATTAAACGTGGATAATTGCTGAACAACAGGGACAGATTGGGAGACGGGATACCCCCGTCAGCCACACACTTCACTCACAACTATTATCTCGTCTTTTGCTCGTTGTCGTTGTTTTCTCGCTTGGCAGGCATGCTGAGCCTGATAAGCGCCGAGCTAACATTGCTTCTGTCCGGTACCGTAGTACTACAGCATCGGATGTAATATTCGGGTAAGAGTGTGGTAGTACATGTGATAGTGCTTGATTGTCTAGCTACTGGCACTAGTTAGTACGTGACTATACTAACTGTATAACTGTTGTAGTTACTCATAAATAGAAGATGAAATACCTTTTCTTACTTTCTATTTCATAATTAGTAATGTTGTAAATGTCAGGAGAGCTATGGTTGGGCCTAATATACAAGACGAAGCGTGAAGAAAAGGAAACGAAAGTGGGAACACAACGCTCTATATACATGTCCGTGCCCCTTATCTCGCTGAGGCCAGGTACAGACAACTGTGGGTACCTGTCGTCAGTGATGGCTAGAATAGCGGCGGGGAGCTGGGTCCGAGATGAGCTCTGTGAGCCATGGTCAGTGCCACAGGGAATATGGTCCTTGGCGTAGGTCGCGGGAGGATTCGTAACAGTAAATGAGATACGTTATTTGTAAAGTATTAAATTTTTTATATCATTATCGTGATGATAAGATAAATTAATTAAAAAATTGATGGATCTGTAGGTTCGTCTATATGTTTGATTTGACCGAGCCCATTCGTAACAAATTTGGAGTTGAATTTGATGAAGTTGAGAATGTTTGAAGATAACGGGGAGGGGTGGAGATGAGGGAGGACGATCAATAATTTTGGCACCTAGCACCGGGCCGAAGGGCTGAGATCTGGACTCTAACAACCTGTTGAAGGACACGAAACAGGGCCGAGGCCCCTGTAAAGAATTCATGTTGCTCTTGGCATGATTCCCCCTGACAGATCAGCTGGTACTTTCTACTAGCCGAATACTATGTTGCTCGTCTTTTTCATGACATACCAAGAGGTGACATGGATTCTTTGCATGGGCCTCAGGCTTTCCGAGTTAGGAGAGTAGGCCCCAAGACCTGGCCCTCATCGGAAGCTCAGGGTAGGGACTCTGTTGATGCCCACAGCTGCTCCCCTCAGAACAGACTTGCACAGCCACAGCTCAGGGCTGATTGTTCATGGCTCAGGTTAGTCACGTGTGCTCAGGTCTCAAAACTGGAAATGGAGTTTGGAGAAGTCAGAATTCGGGTGTAGGTATTGTGGTATGAGCGTGTAGTGTATGTATCAAAAATAGCTTGTGATTGAGGATTTTGGCTTAGATCTTGAGTAGAGGTGCACACCAGTGTTGCTGACTCGAAATAATGGAAATGTGCCATCGGATATGCAGTTCTGTGAGGGGACTCATTCCCGTGATGTTTAGGATTTTCAACGAGCTTTCAAAATTCCGCAACTCCATCAAGCCGCTGAAACTCAGCATGTGCCAAGCGAAGACTTCTCCGTCATCTCCTGATAACCCAATTAGGCAATTTAATGAGATGCCCTATGGTTGAGTTGATGTGAAGTGGTAACCGACATATCTGTCTCATATGTTCGTACCGATATTTATATTGCACCAGCAGGACACAAGGGAGACGTTTTGCTTGAATCTTGCACATCAACAAAGAGCTGTAATGATGGAGAGCCATGCGAATAAACACGAGACAACTGAACAGCCATACTGGTGAAAGAGAAAGTCCACTGCATAAGGAGCCTAGTTTGCCCAACACAAAGTATTCTGACAGGCGTGATACCAGGTCACTCTGCATTCAGGACAGAGCTGGTGTGTTTCAACAGCAGCATCTCTTGTCGGTCTTCCAAGCCATTTTACTGGCATATGGCATGATGTTGTGAATGTTGGTGAAGCTCTATATAAAGCCTTGGAGGTTGCTATCCACCAATAGCAACTCTGTGAAGGCTGTGCACTCTGGAACAGTCGTATACCCTTACTTCAGGTGCTCAAGCAGAGCGTTAGCGATTTGTTGTGCTCGCCAGCACGAGGTAGACAGCGGATTCGTAGCAGGAGAAACAAGACATTGCTCAGGTAGAGAGCCAGATGCAGGCTGTGTGCCCTAATGCCCAGATAGAGACGGTGTATTCCCCTCGCGAGGAGGATTTCTCAAAACAGAAGCCAAACGTTGACCATAACAAGTTCAGCCTTCCATCCACATCATTCCCATTCTTCCTAACCCAATATAACTCAGCACGCAACATCTCAGCTCCAGTCATCCTCAAAGCAAGAATTGTGCAGCAAATCTCTTCAGCCATCGTTCGATGCACAACACTTCAAGCTCAGCCATCATATAAGCCAGCATCACAACAATCCACTCAAGTTCCTGTCGACGCAGACCATCTCAAGCTCAGCCATTCTCAAGACAAACCTCGCAGAAATTCACGACAACCATCATCAACATCATCTACCTCCAAGATCAATCATGGCACCTTCACAACAAGCTCAAGACCTCAATCAATCTCCTCAATCCCCAAGAATTCCGGCAAAACTGCCCAAACTTCGGAATCCCCACCTGCCAGAACTCTATGCCAAACAAGCACAGTTCCAAGCTGAGCTTGAACTGATTGGGGACGAAGCCTCTCGTCTAGAGCTTGCAAAAGCATGGTATGCTGCACGCATGGCAGCAGAGCGAGCGGAGCAGAATGAGCGGGAGGAGAAGGAGGAGGAGCAAAAAGTGGCTCGGGAGGAGGATGGAGGAAATGGCAGTAATGACATGTAATTTTAGTCTGAAAAGTCTCGCAAGGCATCCTTCTTTTCAATACATCAACAGCCCTCTGGGCAGCAAATGCAAGGGAACTTGCTCAAAATTGAGATGCACTTGATAGTAGAACATGGCGCCAGCCGTAACCTTAAGAGATCCTACCAGGCTGACCTAGATCTCCAGGAAGAGAGCCTCTCTTGGTCTACGTGGGTCAGTTGAGGGAGACGCTGGGCAGCGAATCGAGGTGGATATGCTCCACATCAGATGCACACAATAATGGGAAATGGCACCTTCCCTAAGCTCAAGTGGCCGTAACATGTTGACCTGAACATCTGAGTGAGAGAGGGGGGCTGGAAAGGTCTGGGTGGATGGAAGGAGACGCCAGGCTGTAATTGCTGTACTTGGACAATGTTTCTGAAGCATCTTGATCAAATGGCTAATGGCATGGGCGAGCAACTGCTCATACTCCTGACTTACAGCATAGAGCAGAAGTATGTATGTGATGTGACGGTTTGAGAGCGTTAAATGTAGTGAGTGACCTGTAACCCGCTACGTATATATGATGGCAATAATGACGCTAAGCCTCTTCAGTAATGGCGTTCTTATGAGTCTGGGTCAACTTATGGTAGCCATTTGGGCAGAGGAAGGAGATATACAGACTTTAAGCTCAATGCTCTGACCTAGCAGAGCTTTCGTGTATTGTATTTATTATCTACAGAACAGTTGTTGACGTTATCACGTCTTCTTCCGGATACATGCCTACTGCTGACATTGTGTTGCAGCAAATCCACCAAGCGCCCATGGCCCATCAGCATTCTTCTTTTGATGCAATGTGTGATGCCGATGCACACCCTAAAGCGCTACAATACATGAAAATCATCCCATCGTCCACCTCCATCACCTTCTAATGTTCATACCCTGCACCTCTTTGCCAAGAGCTCGACTCATTCTGCTGTCGGGGTTGATGCGGTGGGTGAGGATAGGATGAACCATTTCTAGGATGCCCACCACCATTGGAAGGCTGTGGAGTCTGATTTTGCGACCTTGAGTAGCCTTGGCTATATTCGCTGCTGTTATTACCCTGATTGTACATTCCCCGGTCCTCAGAGCCTCCCGGTGGCCCTCGACGACCAGTGTTGTCAACTGGGAACATAGCCTGGTTGTCCACAGGAGAGTGTCTCTCACTTCCACCTCGCTGATAAGTCGAGTTAGCGGTAGGCGGCGGCAATGGTAGATTGGAAGCATCTGTCTGTTGTCGGGCTAGGGAACCAGAGGAGAAGGATTCTTCGTCGTCATCCAGCCTTGTCTTGCCGTACGGCAGCTTAAGATCCCCTCGAGCAGTGGCGCCCAGAGCATCCAGCTCTGTCGTCAATTGTGGGTTTGACTTGATGAATGAGCCACGATCATCTCTCATGGGCTGATAGCGAGTATCAGGATTCTTACTCGCGATAGCATATACGGATGCAATCAAGACGAGAATCAGGAGGACCAGAGCGAAAACTGCGTTGAGGATGAAGAAGATCACTCCCATCACTCCCGTGACAATCCCTGGCTGACCAAATACCTGTGTGAAGAACAGCAGTAAGATAACATTGAGAAAGTTGATCGCTGCAATAAAGATGTTGAAGACGTTGGTCTTTTTGTCCATCCACGGTCGCAACACGCTGACTCCGATAAGGAACATGGCTTCGATGATGAACAGCGCAATAGCCTGAACGACTGGTGCATTCTGGGCAAATGCGATGAATATAGCCTTGAGTAGTATGTAGGCTAGAAGCGGAATGATGAAATAATAAGCGGTGGCTCGGTACTGAACATAGAGGAAGCCCCATCGATTCAGACATTTCGGATCCGAGTACAACATATAGCCAGGATTCTTGTGCATGTCTACAGAACGCTTGGCAAGACGGATGACTTTGAGCGCAGCCCAGCACAATGTTGCTGTCATGGAGATGAAGATAACGATTGCAAGAATGACTTCGGCAGCAGAGTCACGTTGTGTGAGTTCCCAAAGACAAAGAACACACATCTGAGGAAAGCCAATGAGGACCTGAATGCATAGTCAGTACAGAAGGTTGTGCAATGTGGTTAGAAACCTTACCAATCTGAACAGAATCCCTTTGAGCACAAGCTTCCAGCCATTTCGGAAATCCTGAAATTTGTCCACTTTCATCCATCCGTTTTTGACAGCCAGCTCACAGAAGGCCTTGAAAAGAGCGATGAGAATGCCAATAAAGAAGCAAAAGACGACGAAGAATATTGTGCCCGTGAGGAATATGTTGGTTTGCTCGATACCGGCTTGGAAACCAACTCTTTCGATGCCTCGTACTATGATTAGTTTGGTGTTCTCAGCAACGCTAGAATCACCGTTCGTTCTCTTATGCAAGATTTGATCGCGCGCCATTGAATACATGTTGGTCATGGCGTCGAGAGATCTCTTGTGAACCTGGACTGATGTTGTCGCCAAAGTTGACAGAAGTGTAGTGGGTGTACCGCCAGTCGATCGTTGATACCATGTGCATATGTCTTGCAGAAACCCCACACGAATGACACCCATACTCCACTGAAAGTTTTGGGTCCATGACTGGACTATAGGAGGTAGTTTGACACCAGTCATGCCTATGATTGCTTGTGCCTGAAAGAAACCGAATAGCGAAAGAGCATTGGCGGCAACATGAGCAGCAGTATTGGAATGGCCCATTCCCGACGTTACTCCAGAGGCGACCAATCCAAGACCAGCAATGACGGCAGTAGTCCAACCCACCGCTTTCTGGTTGACTGTCTTGCCATTCGAAAGCTGCGCTTCGACACAAGCGATGGAGGTTGCTGAATCCGTGTCGTTAATGTAGATGCGGACTAAGCCGTCAAGGTCGGGGATGCCGTAGGTGATTCCAGGAATCTGATTGATGACATCTTCACCAATGATGATGTTGGACTCGATGTTAATCTGGCCAGTGGACATTGGGCAGAGACCTCCGAGGTCCATGGTGCATGGGTCCAATGTTTGCGAGACCGCGGTAAAGCCATAGGCAATGACTTGCAACTCTGCCGTCACATATCCCTCTATAGAAGACAACCCAACTACATCAAAGGCCAGTGTACGATTATCTGGTGTGAAGACGACATTGAACAGGGTAGCAGTGAAGTTGGAATTATCCTGGCACGGGTTGAGGGATCTCGACTCGATGAGCCTGATTGCGGAGGCGTACGGTGTGAAGGTGATGACTGTCGCAATGAAGGCGATATATGAGGGAAGCTGGAAATGCATTTTGAAGGCTTAAAGGAATTTCAACAGGAATATTGGCGATCTGGCAGGAGAAAGCTGTCGTGGCAGCTAGGACGTGCAGAAAAGTCCGTATTTCAACCGCCTTTCGAGGATAACAACCTTATTCTTTCATCTGAGATGGTATATTCTTGAACTGATCGCAAGCCTTGTATGAAGGTAGAGCAGTCATCAACCTGTTTGCGGAGGTGTGTCGTTGCTGGAGGAGCGCTCACTAGGAGCAAGGTTTTAGCGAGTGGCGGTCAACTATGACAAAGCGTTTGTATCCTGTGTGCACTGGTGCGAGATTTGAGAGTCGTTTGGGATACCTAAGCTAGAGAGCGACAGAGGTTTTTGAACAAACGAGGGTATCTTCAGTAAGCCGCAATGGTGGTGGTGGTAGTTGTGGTGACGATTATTGTGATGGGAACTGGAAAGGAGGCTGGCGGCAGGATTCAGGGAATGGTGAATGGTGAAGGGCTCCACCACACAAGCATTGTCAAAGGGGCTCCACCCAGTCCAATGGTTATTCATCAACCACTAATCCTCCAATCCACCAACCTACCATTGAGACGCTAATACCAAACCTAACTTGATCTTACCATGGTGTCTTTGCTCGTACGCTTTACGTAGTAATCAAGAATGCACGCGCGTCAGTCCACCGCCTTCGTTATTGATTTCCACCCTTGCTTGGATGTAAAGAGCATGCTGCATAAGAACAAGGGAAGTTTGGATGTGCTTTTTACATACTGCTATCTGTATCTATTTGATCCCTATCGGTACCTCTGTGTTGTCCCCAGAGTCTGAAGTCTGCATACTTGATAGCACACCATTACTTGCCCAAAGCCCAGACAGAGTCTACGCGGCCTCGCGGCCTTGGTGCAACAAATGGCCTTGGTGTTCTTTGTATGGGCAGATCGGGCATGCCGAGATGCCAACCTATCAACTCAACCAACAGTCCTAACTATCCAATTGCTGGCAACATGATCGAGACATTTTTTCGCGCATAAGTGAGAATGGGCTGGAATTCAGTCAGCAGCTTACCTCCCTCCTGGTCAGGCGTTGGACAGGTTGCCTTGGAATCTTTCTTTGTGTTGCCGGGCTGACCTGAACAGTTTCGGAGCCCGGACCGAAAAGGATGCTGATCTCCACCCGTTCGTGTTTAAGCGCAAGCCCAAGAAATGTGCAAACAAGAAAGCCGCCAGATCCTACAGGATGCGGCAGGCACACGTATTTTTGGCTCTATTGGAGCATGACGCCACCAGAAATTTTCATCAAAAGCACCACGCCACATCTTGTCTACCAAGGCAGGTTATTGTACTACGTACCTGCATAGAATGATTTGCAACTTGTCTGATCGGCTTGTGTCTTGCACAACTGTGTCAGCGGCGGCATGGTAAAAGCCTGGTGTTGCGCTGCATGTGTTATTTGTGCACAATCTCGACATTGAGCATGTAGTTTAAGTACAGTCAGGTTTGAACCCTTACCAGCATTATACGAGATATCAGCTTAGTTTGCGCGGACTGATATCAATATCTGTTATGTAGAAGTCGTCATGCCGGGTTTTACCCTCAGTACATTAGATGCTAGCAGGGTTAATGTGATGTATTAGGGGTGAAGGCATATGCTGCATAATACCTGACGACATAATCAATGCTATCATGGCTCAAATGTTCATACCATATTTCCTGACAAGAACATCCTTCTTGTAGATGCCATACAAGCCCCCTTACCAATGCTCTCTAGATAACTAGCATAATACACATGGAGGGACCCCATCAGCAAGAAACCAGACCACAGCCATTTTTTTATCCTCCTAGCAACAGTCCAAACTCAGAAGCGGCTTTGGTTCCCAAGTCCAATCTGTCCCGTCTTGCTCTTTACAGCTGCAGTGATCGAAGAACGCAGCTACAAGGCGTGCGAATACAAATGGTCACAGAATCATGCCTTTGCATCTTTGTACGTTGTCAGTATTCGATAAAGCGACAAGCTGTTGTGTTGAATCAGCCGTGGTCTGTAAACCATGCCAACAAACATCCTGCTAGAACCGATCTGGCAGTTAGCACGCCCACTTCAAGCTGATTCGTAGCCATACGTGGCGTTGGCTGATAAGACAGCGCTCGGAATCGTGATTGTGAAGGAAAGAGAAGGCCATACTCAGTCGACCCAGCCCATTTCATCATCCATGACCCCAGCCAAACCACGCTTGTACGACTCGTCTCCACTGTTAGGAGGCGGCCACTGACTTTTGCGCTCACGGAGCTTTTCCGCTTCTGATATGGCAACTGCCAGGTCACTAAGCCATGAGATGAGCATGCAATAGCTTCCAAGCAGAACACAAATAGTACGCACTTCAGATTCCCATGGACAACGTACTCCTGCTTAGCCAACTCCTCGGCAAGCTCTACTTGATGATTATGCAGCAGCTCGGTGTTCGGCACGACTACCAGCGGAACTCCAATTCGAAGAGCATCCAGAATGGTTCCAGAGCCTAACCACGAAAGGATCAGCAGCAGTTCCCAGAAGCTAATGATGTCCATTGACAACCTGCATGCGAAATGACGAGGCCTTCTTTGCTGCTGTTTTCAGGGCCTCCTTTTGCTTTCCGCATCTGCTCACCAAGGCCGTTGGTGTTGAAATCGAATCCGGCAATGTTTATGCCGCAAGTCCGCTTGACGTTATCATGTTCCCTAGAGATGAAGGTCTCACATATAGCTTTGCCCTTCTCCTTGCCATATTGTACAAGGAGCTCCGTATATTCTGCCTTGCAAAGTGCTTCCAGAAAAGAACTGTCCAGTACGGCTCTCAATAACTTATCGAACGATGCAGTAGCTCCAATGGTCACGAAACAGACTTTGCTGGGTTTTTTGGTTGCCTCATAGTTTATAGTGGATGCTTCTGTCATATCTCGAAGTGTAACATCCTTCAGCTCATGCTTGAAAGCAGAGGACAAGGACTAGTATTTGGTAGAATAAACATAAGAATGATTGCCATGGAATGAAGGAGCGATGACTCGGTACTGGTACGGATCAGTAAGTAACTTACTCCGTACTAACTACTAGTAGTAAGTAGCAGCCCAATGTGGGCCAAGAGCTTGGCATTCCCAATTCGAGCTTCAAGAAGTTCCAGATCAACTCAGATGCAGTAATTGAGAGATGTGAAAAGGTTGCAAAGCGTCAAAAACCTTGCCTCATACGACATGTCAGTCGCCGCCCGGTGTGTAACGAGACTCGCATTACAATTCAACCGGCAGAAAACGGCCAAACGAAAACCGCAATATCGAGATTGGCGAACCTTTTCCTCTGCACCAATATGGCGAGAAGAAGAGAAAACCAACGCAAGCCAGACACCTACTCCGAACACTGAAAGACAAGAAGCACACCCCACAATCCAATATCTCACGATTGATGACCTCGAGGATGACGCCCGAGCGGAATTCGACCGCGCCTCACCAGAAGAGCAACAGGAATGGCGCGAAGGTCTAAGAGCACTCTCAGAGGTCGACCACACTGCGCCTTTCTCGGACGAGCTCGACGCAATGGAAGCAGACATCGATCGGGAAGTAGACGAGATCGATGAGGCAACACCATTCAGATTCCCCGACGTACCCAAACCCAACAAAGACACTGGCGGGTTCTGGGCCGACGCGGAAGAGGACGAGTTAGGCCAAGTCTTCGACGAGGACGATGATTTCCAAGCAGATGATATGACGACCCCAGCACACGCCCAGCTAGATCTACATCGGGACATGAGAGAATATCAGCGAAGGATTGCTTGGGATATGCCATTACTCGGCAGTACGTCTGCTTGCCCCCAAACATCACCGTGATTCCCCTAACAAACCCACAACTAACACTACCCCTTTTCTCGCCCGCGCACTTAGAATTCGCCCAAAAATTCGAACCTCCGCCTCTAACCTCCCCGCTCCGCTTCCGCTACACGACCTACATGGGCGAAGTGCACCCGGCCGCCAAAAAAGTCGTGGTGGAATTCTGCCCGTCCGACCTCCCCCAGCTCACCACGCCACAACAGCGCAACAAACTGATCAAACTCGCCGGCGTGCGCTACAACCCCTCGCGCGACGCCGTCAAGATCTCCTGCGAGAAGTTCGAGACCCAGGCCCAGAACAAACGCTACCTCGGCGACTTGGTGAACAAGATGGTCGCCGAGGCGACGGACCCGACCAAGGATAGCTTCGAGGACGTGCCGTTTGATTTTCGGCATCACAAGCCCAAGATTGTGCATGCGTTTCCCGAGGAGTGGAAGTTGGGGAGTGAGGAGAAGGTGAGGGAGTTGGTGGAGGGGAGGGAGAAGTGACGATTATTGTGATGGGAACTGGAAAGGAGGCTGGCGGCAGGATTCAGTGATAGCATTGTCAGACAGTATGTGGAGGCGGTGGCGGCGTTTCAGGCTAGGAGACCGAATATCCCACTAGGGAGTGGGAAGGGGAAGAGGCAGATTGCGAGGTAAACGATGAAGGGCGATGTAGGTTACGCTGGATGGAGAGAGATCTATAAATGTAGGACTACTGAACTGCCCCGCCCTTCGGAAATATGGAGACGGCAATCTTGTACGCATCGTCATCTCGTTACCCAACGCAAAGCTCGAACCGTACATATCGGGCATATCCTCCAACAACCCTATATATAGGGCAAAAGAGAGTGCGATATGAAAAAAGAAGGGCAGAGTCTAGAACATGAGGAATCCATCCCAGCTCCAACCGCACGGACCCTAAGAATTCAAAAGAAAGATAACCCGACATTGCCCATCAAGACATTCTGTATCCACCTCCAATCCCGTACCCCAGCCTCGTAGCTGCAGACACTCGCTCCCTGTGCTCACTCGATCAAGATTCCACCAACTTCTCAATCCTTGCCTTCCCCTTCCCCAACTCCTCCGCCTGCTGCTTCGCGCGCCCCACGGCCTTCCTCTGCGCCTCTCTATCCACATCCACAGCAGCAAATTTCTTGGCTCTGGCTCTGGCTCTGGCTCTGGCACCTGTTTTCTTCCTCTGCACTGGCGGGGCTGCTGCTTCTGGTGCTGGTGCAATCACGGCTTTGGGGACAGTGACGGCCTTAGATGCCGTTGACACGATGGCATCCGCAATCTCCTTACCAGTGATCTTGGCGGTATTTGCGTTACTACCAGTAGTAATAACAGCCTCCGGCTCAGAACCGGACTCAATCATTTCGGTGATTTTCTCGTCCTCATCGCTCGTAGACGGCGTCATGATGACTGGGGAGTCATCAGCAGCAGCATCATCATCAGCAGTAGCAGCAATTGTCCCGGGTTTCTGCGGCACAAGGGGCGCGTATTTCTGGAGGGCCGCGCGCTCTTGTTCCTCGCTGGCGTCGAGCTGTTCGTTTGCTTCGCGGAAGATGCGGGCGGAGATGTTTTCAGTGTCTGCTGGGACAAGACGGCTTCCAGGGCGGACAGGCAGCGGATAACGAGTGTTGGTGGGTGGTTTGGGGGTAGGAGAGATCTGGCGACATGGGGGTGGGCTATGAAGAGAGCCTCTAATGTTGGAGTTGTAAGCGGCGGTGTGATTCTTTGCAAAGACATTCCACCCGTTGACCGAACTGTGGGCTGAAGGACAAGGACTCGCAGTCTGTTCTTTTCGGCGCTCGGGCGGTGTCACGGTCTTTGTGCTCTCCGAATACGCTCCATCTGAAGTTTGTCTCCAGTTTCGCTCCATCGGACTTGGCCTCGTGCTCACTGAGCTCACTCTCTGGGCACTAAGAGCTAGATAGCTACCCAGACCATGCTTCTCCCTGTACCAGCGCGGAATGTCTCGTAATCCCAGCTTCTCGAGGGTTGGAGGATCGAGTGGCATTTCATGACGATAGAGGCAGCCTTGTTGGGCATAGTCACATTCGCCGTGCCGGAGCCAGTAGGAGCAATACTCTTTGACACCAGGAGCAGGATTACGGGCGAGATCCTCAACGGTCAGTGGGCGAGCGCCCTGCTCCGTAGCGCGCACAGGATTATTTCTAAGAGTGCTCGGAAGGGATGAACGGGTCTCCTTTATGCCATAGGCTTTGGGTTGTGGCCCTTGGACGATAGGACTTGCAGTGCGGCTACGAAGTCCAAGTCCGCCAAGTGAGGATTCTAGGTCGTTGTTGGTTGCCCCAGTGGCGTATTTAGAAGCAAGAAGACCGTTCTCCACGGCTTTCTGCTCGGGCTGAAACCCCTGTCTCGGCCCGTCAACGATATATTGACGGTGCTGCGACTCAACGGTTCCAAGACATTTCATGCCAGCTACATCATAAGCTGATAAGTTTCGAGGCACGCCTCGAATGGATACGGTGGCTGGCAACTCGTCCAATGCGACTAGAGGAACCATGGTGCCATTTTGGCGGGTAATGAAATGTTGCGGGCGCAATGGCTCAGTCATTTTTGGATCGATCGGCAAAGCGGCCAACTGGGCTTTGAGAGCTCGCTGGGCAGCAAGAAGCCTCTGACCAGGATCTGTTTCTTCCATGGCGTTAGGATGTATATGTAGATACTGGCGGGTAGCGGGAGGATGTTGGGGCGGGAAAGAACGGGGAATTGGTTGAGGGAAATAAATGCTCTTACTTCTTTATGTACTCGTACCTACCGGCCCAAGATGGTTGCCTGTCTTCACTATGGTCTTCACTACAGTTGATCGTGCGTCAATTCAATTATGATGCAAGGGTCAAGGTCTGTGAATGGCTGCGTCTTCCCTTTCCAGCCGCAGACTCGAGCTCAGGGTCCGAAACAGGAGGGATGAGTAGTGAATATGGCGCTGGGGAGAGCCGTGTAAATATCCGACAGTGGTGAAGCTGATCTTGAGAATGATTGTCGTGTGAGACGAACCAAGAAGATTTATACTGGAAGAGCGATGGAAGCTGTTTAGGAAGAAAGTGAGAAAACCTTGCCAGGTTGACAAAGAATTGTAAGCAGTGGTTTATTGCATTATGCGCCGTTTGTCCAAATGCATAGTTGATCATATCTACTGCCTCTTCCTTGGTCGTTCACACATCTGTTCTGCTGGATGCAGGTCGGGTGATTGCTGGCTGGCTGCGTTTGAGGCTTGCCGCCTGCCACTTCTTCAACAAACCTCATTGAGGAATCTGCGAGGATGCAAAGCAAGATCAAAGAGCAGCCAAACTGCATAAAAAGGTCCCCAAATTCGCGTGTGCATGTTTGCTGAGACACAGAGCAAGCAGCTAGAAATGAGCTGCAGAAAAGATGCGCAGAGCGTACCAGTATTCTCATCCAGGCAGCATTCTTTTCCAAATTGGTCGGATATGATCAATCAGCATGCCAGATGTCTTACTGACTCTTGTTCCTACCATGGTGCCCCTGCTTAGGTAAAGACAGAAAACCTCGCTGTGTGTTGGTGGAGAATACTTAAAGGATAAGTTGAGGTTGGGGTGAACACAGTGGATCCGCACCAACACAATTCCCACCTCCATCGCTCAGTATTGCTCAGCAGAGTAAATTTGTTCTCTCTATCATTCGGAGTTGGGTTGAAGTTGTGTTTTTCCCTTTCTAAAAGCTCTATACGGTGTACCTAAAGGTCATTCGTACTTTTGAACACTTGTATAAATACAACGCGCCCTCTTCCACGGGCTCAAGCTTCCTGCATCCGGTGATTTTCATATTCGCCTACGTAATGGCGATATGTTGAGAGCTGTAACTCCAAACATCAGAGATGGAGGGGTTGACACGATCTATGTGTGCTGTGCATGGTTGTGTGTATTGGTGTTGTTGTGGTGGTAAGTAAGTATTATTAAACCTCAACACTCTAATCAACCAGCATCCTCATCTCTAATTTTTCTATCAGCCTCCCTAATCTCGTTCCCCAATCACTACAGTAGATGCGGCTCTAACTTACAAGACTCGCCTTGAAGCATTGACCCCAGATGTCACGTTCCTTATGTCTCTCTATCTGCACCCTTCAATCCCGCCGTCCACTAACAAGGCTGCCAAAGAGCTGGTATCACTGGCGGGAAAAGTTATCCAGCGGGAGTAACTACCAATTCTGCGTCTGGTGTCGTCGGCTATGAGTCGTACAACCCTATCTTCGCTGCGATGGAGTTGGCGGTTGAGAAGATATATCTAGATAGGTGCGAGGTGAACGAAGAGGTAATAAGGATGTTCTTGACCGAGAATGTAAGGAGGTTCTATCAAACAAGCGATGAGCAAAGAGAGGGTCGGAATAGTTGCGGGCAGAGAGCTGGTGTTAAACAGTTGCAAATTGCCATGAACAGGATGTGATTGTACCATTCAAGCAAGGACAACCAATATATTCACTGAATGGATGTGATCATCTCAGAAGAGCAGCTCATCTTCTCTTGACACCTCTCCCTCCAAGTTCTCCGTCTTAGCCTTCGTGGTGGATCCCTTTACGAAAACTTGCATCATCAATGCAGCTGCGACGCTAACATTAAGGCTGTCCAAACCAGATCCAGTCTTCGCCCCGACGGCTCCCTCAATACCAACTATCCCATCGGAAACCTTTTGCAATCGAGGACGGAGGCCATCACCTTCCCCACCAAACATCAGTACGCAAGGGCCTTTCAGCAGGGCTTCCTCAGCCTCTTGTAACCGAAAAACGCTAGGCCCTGCTCGACTGGCTGACGCACTCTTCGGAGCAACAGCGGCAAAAAACTTCCATCCATTACTCTGCGATCTTTTGACGAAATTAATGTCATTCTTGATCCTCAAGTAGTGCATATATTCTGCGGCGCCTGAAGATGCTTTGAGAGTGACTGGGGAGAATGGAGCAAGGTTATAGTCGATCAGGGCGATTGCGTCAACGCCGAAGAATGCTGCAGAACGAATGATGGCGCCAAGATTGCCGGGATCTAGGATGCTATCTAGCAGGAGGACAAAAGGATAGCGACCATTGCTAGCCGAAATCTTGCATGAAGTGCCGTTCACTGCAATCTCTTCGTCAGATTGATGGTCAGGAGTAAAGGTGAATCCATCTCCTGGTTTTTCAACTGTATCAAGTGCCCTGGCTGGCGTATTCGGTAGTCGTGACGCCTCCAAGATATATCCATTGTGTGGCCTTCCCTGAGCCATCTTGCTCAGAAGTCGCGAGTCGTCTGCAAGCGCACCAAGTTGTTTTACAGCCACGCCACATTTCCGGGCAAGCTGGAGGACTTCGTTGTCTCCTTCTCGTTGGTCTGTTCCGTTGGCTTCTTGCTGAATGTACAATTTGAAAAGCTTTCGAGTTCCAGCTTGAAGGGCGGCTTTGACGGCGGATGTTCCATAGAGGAATTCTGACGCAGCCGAGGAACGAGGAACCGATAGAGGCACAGTCACATGCCTATTTGCAGACATCAACTCCTGTCTAGCATGCCCCGAAACATAGCGTTCAGCATTTCTTGAGAGAGGTTGCCCTGAAAGGTGCTTCGGTGCATACCGCTCTCCAGCTTCTCGGAGAGAACTCTGTAAGTCCGATATACCAGAGGAAGCTTTCTTGGGATAGCTTGGCTGATCATGATTCCTGTCACCCATACGAGAAGAGTCTTCAAGTGCGTTAGACCTTCTTGAGAACGAATGTCGAGATTGTTCTCCGAGCAAGGGGCGCTTCGACAGCGACCGATCCTCAGCGTCCTCACCATTCACTTTGTTAAAATTCCGTGACCGATTCTGATCTCGGTAGTCTACCTCTAAAGAGCTTTCCGAGGCGCTTGGCCTCCTTGAGAATGAGCGTCGTTCCCCTGCCCTTTCTGAGATATGGTCCGGCGCCCTGCGATATCTATGAACTTTGTCTAGGTCTTGGTTAGAGTTTCTTGATGCATTCTTATCTCTGTATGCTGCGCGTGAGACGCTGTCCTGTGTAGGTGGCTGACTTGGGAACGAGCTTCGGTCACCCCTAGTCTGCGAGAACCGCTCTGCTGGCTGATCTCGAGCCACTCCATGGGAGTCTCTTCTCGGATATCTCGGTTTTTCCTCATGTCTTTCTCTCCCTTCACCTCTCTGCTGAAACCGCCTCTGCTCGGCCAGTGACCTTCCGGCAAACTGTTGCTCGAAAGGGACGGCTCTACTAGGGCCTCTTGCAGTTTCCCTTTGAAACCCGCCGTTCGCATTTAAATTGATCCTGCTATTATATCGTTCCGTGCGCTCTCCAACATCTCTAGCCTTTCGAGTGCCACGCTGTATAGCTCCTGTTAATGAAGCCAGTCTCTTCACAGGCGGTGTGGAGTTTGAAAAGCATTTTGTACCGCGTACTCCTCGCGCAGTGGCGATGAATATCATCCAATGTTTTGCGAGAGCTGTAGACTTGAACGAAGGCGCTGTAGGAATCCCTTTGGAGTATATCAAGGTGTAGTTCCTGCTGTTTTAATAAATTATAAATTACAGCCGGGCGGATATTTTCGCAAATTTTATTGTACTCAAGTTTATACTTTTCCAGGTGGTAGCTTGGCGTGTCATCTGTCGCGTCTAATTAACGGCACTAAGAAAGTTGGATCATCTCATTCGCAGCTTGAACTGCCCTCAAAAGCCGCGGTGTGTTTGTCCCTCAAAAGTGGGAGCTTCACCCTTCCTGAACCGTGCGACAAGTTACCGAAATTGCAGGTGTGTTCTTGCATAGCGGTGAAGTGCATATAAATGTACAGCTGCTAATGTCTCTTTCCTTACGACAGCCGTTCCGTTGTGGTTTGCGCGACTTCATTCTCCCATTCTCAGTGTACATAGCCTTAAGCTTATCAGAATGACCGGAGTGGATTTTTCTATGTGGATGGGCAGGCCGCCGCCTCGAGATGGAGACAGCAACATGCACGAAGCGGAAGAGGGTGAAGAGGGTGAAGAGGGAAGATCCTTGCAAAGCAAGACCGATTTGATTTCTCCACAACCAGAAAATGTTCTCGAAGACTTGAGCACCCCTTCAACATCACGGAGCCAAGCACATAACAAATCAGACGCTCGAACACCTTCGTCTCAGATCAATCCCGTCAACGGTTTCTATATCGACATTCCACATCTGTCAGAGAAGGGAGAATATGAACACTTGCCTGGTTACTTTACCGTTCAAAGAATACTTCGCGAGGTTAAGCCTGGCCAATATCTTGTCAAGCTTAGGAGCGGAGAGACTGATCTGGTAAGCGTGTTCTGAAACAAAAGATGTTTTCCAAGCTTGCTTGCTTGCCTGCCGCCTGCCACTCTGCCAAGTCTTACACACATATTACTTTCACCTTCGACACCTCTATACACCACCTTATCTTAAAGCTGACCCTCGAATAGCTTTCTCGCGTGGAACTCCACAAATTTACCAATTCTTCTGTTGCCTTGAAGCAATTCCTCTCTTCAAGAATGGCGTCCAGCAGTCGCAGAACTACACGTAGACCTCAAGCCACAGGATTTGTCAACTGGGCCTCTCTCGAACTCTCAGAGTCTGAAGATGTATCGCCTCGCAAATTTGGTCAGAGAGCAAGGCGGCGTGTACCGCAGGAATCCGATGAGTCCGTCGGCTCCGAACGCGAACCACAGTCTTCCGCCAACGAACAAACCTCTGAGTCAGAACGCTCTCAACCCTTGGGCCGCCGCTCACTACGTCTCACCATGAAAAAGGAGAACGGCTTGAGTGGGAATAATGCTAGAGGTGACTCCAGTGCTGATTCGCTCAATTATCAATCGTCTAAAAGAAGAAAAACCCAACCAAAGAACGATATTCGGCAGAGCAAACGAGGTCTACGGTCAATGTCTAAGACGCGGGAGGCTGCTGCCCCCCAAGTTTCATCCGGAGCGCGTCGTTCTGAAAGGACTAGAACTCAGCCTCGTCGAAGCATGCGGGAAAGGCACGAGGATGAGATATCAGCATACTCAGAAGAAGAGATCGGCCCGAAGGTTGTTGCTACGAAGGAGTATTTCGAACGACTGCCGCTTGATGATGAGTTTCGCAATCGTCATAGGGAGCGGTGTGAAACATGCGGCATCGATGGCGATACTTCAGAAAAGGGCCCTTTGGTTTTCTGTCAAGGCTGCTCAAGCTCCTACCACAAAGTTTGCTTAGGAAATCGGGGCACTCGAGAACATCTTGTCACAAAAGTAGGTGAGGGACATTTCGTCCTACAGTGTCGCCGCTGTCTTGGCATGGCGCAACACAAAGATCCAAGTGCGCCTCATCATGGGCTCTGCTCTCTTTGTCGAGAGGCCGGGGCAGCCTCAAGGCCCTTCAGACCCCGCTTGACCACCCGTGAGGAACAGCTGCGTCGCGAAGAACATGGCGGCGTTGACCCGATAACCGAAGTAGACCCGAGTCTGATCAATTCATCCACAAATGTCATGTTCCGTTGCGCGAACTGTCAACAAGCATGGCATCCGCATCATCTCCCTGGGAGAGAACATGCTCAACAAGATGAGGAGGAGGCTGCGCTAGACGAGCAAGGACTTGCCGACCTACGCTTTGATTACTACTCGCGCAGTTGGACCTGCAAAGAGTGCATTGAACACAATTCCCAAATAGACGCTTTGGTAGCTTGGAGACCTGCTGACTTGGAGAAGTACATCCCTGGCTCGACTCTAGACATGATCGAAGAATCCCAGAAGGAGTACTTGATCAAGTGGAAAGGCCAGTCTTACTTTCAGACAACATGGATGCCTGGTGCCTGGGTGTGGGGGGTGGCCGCTTCAGCAATGCGTGTCGCTTTCATGAAAAAGCCAGAAAACCAAATGCCAAAGATGACGACAGAGGATGCTATACCGGAGGACTGGCTGAGAGTTGACATCGTGTTCGATGTAGTCTACACCAGCGTTGTCACGAATCGTACTAAGGAAATCGACTTTGCTCGTGCCAAAGAAGTGGATTCAGCGTACGTCAAGTACAAAGGTCTAGGATATGAAGATGCCATCTGGGAAAAACCTCCAAGCTATGAGGAAAAGGAGCGATGGGCAGACTTCAAGACTGCTTATGAGGACTGGGTGATGAAGGACTATATTCATACACCGGTGCCGAAAACATTGCGAAGACATCTTCAGCTTGTGAGGACTAAAGACTTCGAATCCGACCTACTGAAGGAGACCCAACCAACAACGGTGACGGGCGGCCAGCTGATGGACTATCAAGTCGAAGGCATGAATTGGCTTTACTATCAGTGGTACAAGAGTCAGAACTGCATCCTGGCTGACGAGATGGGTCTCGGCAAAACCATTCAGATCATTGCATACTTTGCCCTGATGGTGCAAGACCACAAGTGCTGGCCTTTTCTCGTCGTTGTTCCTAATTCGACATGTCCAAACTGGCGACGTGAGATCAAAAAGTGGGCACCATCTCTTCGTGCTGTGACATACTTCGGCAGCTCTGTTGCTCGGAAGCTTGCTCAGGATTATGAACTGTTTCCGAAGGACGAGGAAGAAAAGGAGCGCAAAAAGCTAACAGCCCACGACAGAAGCCAGCCCAAGGACTTGCGGGCACATATCGTGATTGCTTCATATGAATCCGTGGTGGAGGAGAAGGCTCGCCAGAACTTGCAGAAGGTCGCTTGGGCTGGTCTCATTGTGGATGAAGGACAGCGCTTGAAAAACGAGAAAAACCTTCTCTATGATAACCTCTCGAAGATGAAATTCCCCTTTAAAGTCCTGCTTACTGGTACGCCGCTGCAGAACAACGCGAGAGAGCTTTTTAACCTCCTGCAATTTCTTGACCCGAAGATCAACGCAGCTGCAATGGATGCGAAGTATGAGACATTGACAAAGGAAAATGTGCCAGAGCTGCACGAGTTGATCCGTCCCTTCTTCCTTCGCCGAACTAAAGCCCAGGTTCTCACGTTCTTGCCGCCTATGGCGCAGATAATTTTGCCTGTCACAATGTCGGTGGTACAAAAGAAGCTCTACAAGTCTATTTTGGCAAAGAATCCTCAGCTCATGAAGTCGATTTTCAGCCGGGATGGGAATATTGCGCAGAAAGAGCGTGTCAACCTTAACAATATCCTTATGCAGCTTCGAAAGACTCTGTGTCATCCGTTTGTATACAATCGGAAGATTGAGGAGAGGAGCTACGAACTAGCCGTCTCTCATCGTAACTTGGTTGAAGCGTCATCGAAGCTACAACTCTTAGAGTTGATGCTCCCGAAACTACAAGAGCGTGGTCACAGAGTACTCATATTCAGTCAATTCCTAGACAACCTCGATATCGTGGAAGACTTTTTGGATGGGCTTGGGCTGCAGCATCGCCGACTAGATGGCAGCATAAATTCCCTCGAGAAGCAGAAACGAATTGATGACTTCAATGCTCCAGACTCGCCCTACTTTGCCTTTTTACTCTCTACGCGTTCTGGTGGGGTTGGCATCAACCTGGCTTCTGCCGATACTGTTATCATCATGGATCCAGATTTCAACCCTCACCAGGATATTCAAGCACTTTCCCGCGCGCATCGAATTGGTCAGAAGAACAAAGTGCTGGTTTTCCAGATTATGACCCGTGGTAGCGCAGAGGAGAAGATTATGCAAATAGGCAAGAAAAAGATGGTTCTCGACCACGTCTTGATCCAGCAAATGGACCAGGAGGATGATGCCGGCATGGACCTCGAGTCTATCCTTAGACATGGAGCCGCAGCACTGTTCGATGACGACAACACCGGAGATATAGTCTATGATTCTGCTTCAGTGGACAAACTCTTGGATCGGTCTCAAATAGAGAGTACGAACGTCGGCGATGATAAATCCGCAGAATCACAATTCAGTTTCGCCAGGGTATGGGCAAATGACAAAGCCGCCTTAGAGGACAATTTGGGTGAATCGGAAGCTGCAACGCCTGCAGATACCACGGTATGGGACAAGATTCTCAAAGAACGTGAGAGGATGTATGCCGAAGAGGCTGCTGCACGAGCCGAGACATTTGGACGGGGGAAGCGTAAGCGAAATGTGAGTGTTTGTGAGAAATTCCCAATTTATATAGTTGACAAGCACAGGCCGTGGACTACCAAGCGCAAGAGACTCTGGACACAGAGCTCAACACGTCACCCTTCAAGGCTCGAAATGACGGCAGCGACACGGACTTCCAGGCCAATGGCGCTGAGAGCGATGCTGGTAACGATAGCACTCCGGCCGAGGAGACAGATGTTCCAAGTAAGGAGGGGACTGGCCCCATGAAAGCTGCACCGAAGCAACCGAAGATCAAAGGTGAAAACCCGTCCGTGAGGCCTCAGCCGAAGTCTGTCTAACAGTAACCAGCGCGACCTTTTAGGCGCGTCAAGATACCCACAGGTAACCCGCCTTATGTCGATGCCGAAGGCGCCGCCAATTACATCCCCGTCGGCGGACTTCCCCCTAATCACCTCTGCATTGCATGTGGAGATCTACACCCGATGGGCTGGTGCAGGTTGAAGCTTGCTGGTGTAGAGCACTGTGGACTGTGTGGTATTGCTCACCTCGGACACGGCAGAACCTGTCCTCATCTCAACTCCGAAATACAAGTTGCGACATTGCTCGGCACGCTCAAAGAGAGTACCGAATCTCATGAACTGAAGGACAAAGCAACGAAATACCTACGCATGATTCGAGGCGATTTAGTGCAACGGAAAAGATTCCAAGAGAGAAAGGATCAGAGGCAGATCAAACCAGCACCGACAGGCTATCAGCCACGTATGGATCCAACAATGATCGACGGTAATACTGATGTGGCTCCCCAGGATCGTGCAGCTGTCAATGGAGTGAGGGATCCAGCAGAGGCGTGGAGGAATGCCTCTGCCTGGTCGCAGGCACTTGGACTATTTCCTCCTCTGCGACCTGACCACCAGTTTCAGCAGTGAATCGGTTCTCTTGATACCTGGCGCGCTGTCTCTCTCTCGGATGTGCTCCAGTTACATAGACTTGATATTCAATGATACCCGTGGCATAGCAGTGTGAAACAGTGTCAAACCCCTTCTTCATACTGCTTCCAACACTTTCGAAAACATGAAATGTGCGCAGCAAGTCGTGAGGGAAGCTCATAATCTGTTTCTGTTTTGAGTAATGTGACAAGCAGACAAGAAAACGCTTGGCACATCCAATCCGGCGAAAGTGGTGCGTGCACCTTGTCTGTTCCTTTGGTCACATTCCTGGCTGCTTGTTCCATATATCACCATGGCATTTTGTGTTGACTTAATACACGCTCCCGTCTTTGCTGAAAGCAAATGGCAGCTGACGCTTTCGGACTGTTGGAATGGTAAAGTCTTTGTCTGCAAGATACTAACGTTCTACCCAAGCTCCTTTCTCTCAGGTCTAACCCTCGCTATAACCTTCAATGGTTCCGAGCCACATCGTACAAACATGCCAACTAACATAAACTGCTGACTATTTATTGCATACCATCCTCTCATCGTCTTTCACTCTACCAATATCTTCAGTGAAAATCCATGCGAGGCAGCCGCTAACATTGCGTTCACAATCATAGGTACTCAAGGCGGTTTCTACACGTTGTCTCAATACCTTGCATTTGCTTGATACGCAACTAGCCCCCCTTCATGCTAACAATGAACGGAGCCGCCGGAATATCATCCGAAGAATAGCCTGAGCATTTAATGGAAGAGAAATTCAAGGGTTTGATGGTAGGGGAGCCAAGTACTTTGGCGGAAGAGCAATCGAAGGATTCGGCGGTAGACGAGTCCAAGAATTCAAGCAAAGAGAAGTCCAAGAATTTAAGCAAAGAGAAGTCCAAGGACTCAACAGAAGAGCAGCCCGATGACTCAGCGGATAACTCAGACTCCCCAATTGGCTCTCATTCAACGACGCCAAACTCTACATCCACCTATGAATATTCGCACGAACCCTTTCTCTCTTTCCAGCACAAAATCGTTGAGTTGGCAGGCCAGATGGGCGCTAGTAACATTTCAGATGTTATGCGTTTGAAGGGCGGCAGCTCCAATCGTGTGATTTCAGCTACCATTTGCTGTGCAAACGAATCAGCACCACAAATCAGAGGGGTTTTTCGTATCCCACGCTTTACGATATGGCCCGATGATGAGAAAGCGGTCACAGAGCCTTACGAGCTTGATAGACGCATTTATGAACAGCTTGCATTGTGGTCTCTCCTTGCCGCACATGGAGTTCCTGCTCCCAGGATCTTGGCTTTCGATGCTACAGCTGCTAATGCAATTCACTCTCCGTACACATTCCAGGAGCTTGCCAATGGCACTCGACTTGATGAGGTATACGAAAAGATGTCTCTTGATGGGAAACTCAGTATAGTCGACGAACTTGTCCGCTTGCTCGATCATTGCGAATCAATCAAATTCTCCGAGGCGGGCAGGATCGACTGTGTCAAGGGCCCAAATGATCAACAAACTATACTACCTAACAGAGTTGGATTATTTGGCCATCAACGCTCTGGCGAGACAGCTACAGCGGCTGAGATCATCGGCTTTGGTACAGGCGGTGAGCCTAGAGTTCCCACACGACCTGTTCGAGATTTACGTGACTTGTTGAAGACGCAGCTTGATGCTTGGATCACGTACGAAATCGAAAGCGCTCCAGTTCCGAAGAATCGCTTCACCTGGAACCTGTTCAGACGCCTGCAGGATGTTATGCAGGAAATGGAGGCGCTGGGGTTTTTCGAGGCTGATCTGCCCTTTGAGAAAGGAATGAAGGAACCTCGGAACATCTTATATCATTGGGATTTAGAACCAAGGAACATCCTTATTACCCCGGGCTTTGAAACCGGGGTAATAAAGGACGTTCAAAGATGGAGAATAAGCGCGGTCCTCGACTGGGATGACTCCCTGATTCTACCACCCATTCTAAGCCGAAAGCCGCCTATCTGGCTTTGGGACTTCAGCGATCTTGACGCAGAAATCAATAGTTTCGTTCCAAAAGATTATGATGGAGATGTGGATCTTTTGCCTGCTGATCGATATGGTGAGAATAGCGGAAGACTATCGGAAGACGACCGCCGTATCAAAACGTATTTCGAGGCAAACTTCGTGCGAGCGTTGTCCCTTAAGAACCCCCATCTTGACATGGCTGTTTACCATGATGAAGCATATGGACGCGGTCAGTGGTTGCGCCGGCTAGCACGGTTTGCTCTCGACGGGTTCGAAGACAACCGCGACGCACAGCGGTTTGATAGATTTGTCGAAGATTGGAATCGGGCTCGGCCGACCTTCCAGACCAGCGGGATATGAAATCCGTCACTCCTTGGTTTCAGGTGCTCAGATCGATTGCGTTTCGGATACCTTGATCAGGGTGGAAAGGAAGACGGAACCGGTGACACTACGAATGCTGGAAGATCAATGTCTTACTCAAAAGAATCGACAGATTAGTTGGTAGGCTTCAGTCGCATCAGACGAAATCTGGACATACTTTGGGCTCACGATCCACTCTACATTGCAGCCACGATTCTCTTTTGCCGAGAGCTTATCCTAAGTACTCTTTCACTTTTGAAGGGCTCTAGGTCATGCTGCTCGACTAGCCTGTTAATTTTCCGATTACGTTCTCTCCTACGGCAAATTTCAGGTGGTGAAGAGAAGTTATTAGAAAACTAATTACCTAAAGAGGATTTAGCTGTATATGTACAGCTAAATATATATAATCTACTAGTGTATAGATAGGCTGCTATATGGTCCGAGCCGGTCTGACCCCTTAAGGATATCATTGTTGATAGGTATTAGACGTCGATGTGTATTACATGTTCCGCATAACAGCTATCTTTCGATGTACATAGGAGGGTCAGTTTTTGTCCAGCGAGGCTTCGAGTCTATAACAGTAGTGCATTTATTTTTACCGAATACGGGTCTTGTTAAGACAATGAATGCATTGAACCCGAATCTGGGGCTGCAATATCTTATGCTCATCAGAGTCTAATAGAAGACCAGACCAGGTCGAGGAATGCTTTTTTTGTTGAATACGATATATCGAGACTTCTTCGACCTTTGGTGAAACTCCTGGAATATAAGCCTCCACTTCGTTTAGATCTTGTGGGGGACTTCTTGGATCTGACTTTACATCTATCAGACATTGGGTCCCAGTTTTCGCCGTAGGGGGATTGAGGGCCTTTGCAAGTGTCTTCACTCGGAAGTGAGATCTTTTGGCGAGATGTGATTTATCGCACTCTGAGAGTTGAATTTGGACCTTTAAGATCGCCTCCATACTTTCTTTCTCAAACTTCTTATTGATGGCATAGTGCGAGTGAGGCTTGATGTGAATTAATTGTTGCCACGTCCGGTTCTGGAAAAGGTTTTCGCCGCATTTCACACCAGCAAGCCGGTATGCAACTCCTAAAAGACGATCCTGTTCCATGGCCCACTTTTTGCCCTAAGCGCTGAGAAAACATTGCGGATGCTTGCATAGATCAAGAAGTGCAATAGCCGTCCCTGATTTTGCGGATCTTCTGCTTCAGGAAACTCTCGTTCTAGGTAAAGGGTGATTCCTTCGTAGCTTCCCAAGAGATCCAGGGATCCGGGTCTGACTACCTAATCAACCCTAATTTGAACAGGAGAGCCATAAAGTACCTCCACAGGTGCAAGGATATTTTGTCGAACTATCGCAAGATGATTCTCGAGGCAAGCTAAAATCTCGGATGGATAGTCGCGTATCGGGTCGATCATATATTCTCGTCGGGCTGTATGATCTATCATCACTGAGCCCTCGTTGAAACCATAGGCAAGGATTAAGGCAGTGCACGGACTTGTCTCATCCGCAGTGATACCATCATGGACTCTCTCAGTCACAAAAGAAGGATTGTGTAGGTGATGTACTATTCTGGAAGTTCCTAAATTTCCTGATGCTGGTACTAGCTCCTCTTTTCGCCTATCCATACCACGATTACGCCAAAGGTCGACTTCTTCATTACGAAAGCGCTGGAAATCTTGATCATAATCGAAGTCGCCTCTTTTTGCTTGAAGAAGTCAGCTGTGAAACGCATCTCAAACAGGAAAGCTTACATTGCAGTTCTAGGTCGCTGATGAACGGACGAAGTTGATGATGGAATGGAGTTGGCTTGTGCTTAAATATCTGACTGGCTCCTCTAGAAACAATCCGCCAAAAAGCCGTTGCGTTTGAGCACCCATCGGGAGTTGTTAGGAACTAAGGCACAGAAGCGCAACGGCAATAGAGCAAGTCAAGGTGTGGTCAATGCAGTTAGACAAACCAAGCGTGGAAGGGAAAAAGAGATAGGTATAAGTGATGCCCTAACCGTGTGCCAGATCAATCTAGGCATGGATACCCTATGTAAATGAATGAAAACCAACAAGAAAATGCTTGTGGTGACGAGGAAATAGGGACACAAGCAGTAAAGCTGCTACCGTATATTATGACATCACTTTATTACGACGTTCTCAAAGAGCAAAGTCAAAACGCTTTATATGTAACAAAGTAATATCAAATTTTGATAGATGAAACAGCTGATATGAGGCCGGTTGGTGTAGTTAGTTATCACGTATCCTTAACACGGATAAGGTCCTGGGTGCAAACCCCAGACTGGTCAGATTTTTGAATAAAGCAATTCAATATCAAGATTAATAAGTCTGGGGTTAAACTCCTCGCTGTTTGCAAGAGTTTTTATATTTAATATATTTATGTACCTTCTTTGCTGCAATTCTTGGCGGAAGTCGAAAAGCAATCTTTATTAAGTGATACCTTACTATTAAGAATAGCGTTCCTGTGAGTTTAAATGAGTTAAAGTATACTTTAGCGGATAATTTTATTGCAGCCTTAGTGATAAGAACATTAAAATATTTTGAGTACAATTATATTATTTAATATCTCTGCACAAAATAATAAGATTTCTCAAAATTTTAAGATATAAGAATAATCTATTAAGGGCTATCAAATGATATTATTTTTATCTTTATATTTAATAATTAGGGTAATACAAGCATAATAGCATTTAAGTATTAATAAGATTTGATGATCTTACTGCCAAGGCTGCAGTAGAATTATAACACTAATTATCTACACTGCCAAGCTCATGTAATTGGCTGCTAAAATAATAAGCTAAAAATGCGGCCTACAGGAATCACTATTATAATTAGTGTAAAGTCAAATATCCCTGCCTTTTTGAGTTTAGTTAGCATATAAGCAATTTTTTAGGGCGCCAAGGCTGCAGAACTATTGCCAAGCTGCACCATATCAAACTGGGTGCTGCGCCGGTACCAGGCAGAAGTATTCATAATACGGAGTTGGTAATTTCGGGCCCCAACAGCTCTCAAACGAAGCCACTGATGCTTAAAGTGGTAAGGGATATCCATCATGGTGATATAGATGGCTCATAACAAGAGAAGCCTCTCGCAGAGGGTGCGGCGATTTTGTGAAAACTAGCTGCTGTTAGCACTAAGTTAGTTAGGCTTAACAGGGTCATGCAGTCAAAGTCTCAATATACGCTAAGCGAGAGCGTTACTGGCGTACTCTAGTACGTAGCTAGCCGGTAGATGGTGACCCAAGATTGCCTGTAACGTCATCAAGACCAGGCCGGTCTAGATACTCTTGAACTTTTGTGTCTTAAATGTTGGTCCATCAAGTGATTTAGAATTTATGATATACGTTTAACTAAGGCAGTGCCAGCACATTAGATATGCTACTGGACTAAACCCTACATAATCAGTCTAGGGGCAGAATCTCAGGGGTGCCAACTTCATCGCCCGGTTTTGTGGGGCGGTGCTCGGCCTGAAAGACGAAGAATTCGGAACAAGACATTCAGTCTTTGCCCAACTTGAATGTCAGCCTCGTGCTTAGACAGTGCAGTATCAGGGTCCTCCAGCTTCCAGCACAGGCCGCCTGCAAGGCTGAAATCTCTTCAGGCACTTCCATACTTTATTTATGTGAAAGCCACACATTGCCCACTTGCTAGTGGTGGGATTAGCACAGCACATCTACATATAATGACGCTGGCAGCAGACGCTGTCAATAGCAAGTAGCAGCGATACGAGTCTAAACGTCGCCAGCTACTCACATGGACACGACAACAACTTCATCTCTCGTCAGTCGCCGTGAGGGCCGGACGACGCGGAGAAGTAGCCAGAGAGTTGAGGATGTGGAGCGCGTTTGTGAGCCTGACGACCAAGCGATCCCGGCCCTGTGCTTGTGTTGACTATCAATGTCTATGCAGATGTTGGGAGGAACAATCAGGCATCAGCCAAGACGTCGAACCTGCGCAAGATCGTCTGTTCTCTTATTCGATTTGATCTGTGGACATTGGATACGCTAAGAAGTGCATTTTTCAAGACGCATCCTCAAATTATCAATCGAGGCGTATACGAGCGATTTGAAGAGCTTTTGGACGCTGAACTAGTCGCTCTGCATGAGTGGGAAGACCTCTATGAGTTTGGATTCGAGGTCCAACTCCAAGGCTATTTAGGTAGACTCTCCGTGCAGCAGCTTCTTGAGTATGTGCGGGACTTACGTACCAGCACGTACTATGCTCAACTAATGCATTTGCGGCTGGTAATGGCGGACATGGTGAGGACTGAATTCCAATATGCCGAGAAAACATCTGACCGGACAATTCTTCAACACATGGACTGGTGTAAGACACATCAAGAGTACCTTGCTCAGCTCGTAGCGGGCATCTGTGTCAACTCTCAGAACCTCAGAGCGATTGAGAGAGAAGCCAGCTTTCTGCGGGACCATGTTAAGCATGCAGTCGAAAGTGGGGACCTTGATGACACTACCCTTATGCAGCTGAGGCGGAAGTTTGAGGCGCTGCAAGAGCTCTACCCTGATGTTTGTGTTTCTATATCCGGAGACCGGAGAGATATACTAACGTATAAACATGTCTTGTGGTGGTAAGTGAGCTAGAAGGCTAAGCTTAATCTCCAGCTATTACTTACAACTATAGGGACCCAGATGCTGAAGAACGACGGCTCTCAGAGCGCGACCAACCCCCAAGGACGCTGTCGAAGCATACACTAGCGCAAGAAACGTCAGCCCGACATTATCCTTCCTTGTTCCCACAATCTCCCTCCTCTCCTGCATCCCAGCAGCACTGGCTTGGTCTCATGCTTCACGTCAGGCCGGAACTGCGAAAGATGCCGAGTTCTACCAGCTGGTCTCCAGCTCCGCTATGCAACTGCTTGGAGTGGTAACGCTGATATGGCCGACAGTATTCCATGCTCGTCTGGGTCGGCTTTCGTGGGTTTTGACTTGGATCCTTGCGGGCACAAGCGCTTGCTTTACCATGCTCGCAGTGCCGCTGTACCTGCTTCTGCCAATTTCTTGGAGTGCATTGCTGTCGTTTGGTGGGAGCATCGCTCTTGCTTTGGTGCTATTGCAGCTTATACATACGATTTAGGTGAGGCTGGGTGGCAGTGGACAAGGATTGTGTTGACAAAATCCAGAGTTGAATTTGGAGCAACATACCATATGGTGGGCCATCTGCATCGAGTACAACAAATGATCGACCGGAGGACCATGTAGAACCTGATGCCATGCATTTATGAAGGATGTTGCATATAAGCATACCGCAATTGAATCAATACTACGGTATCGGCCAGAAGTAATGCTAGTGCTTCTGTTCCAGAACGGACTCTTAACGAGACAGCTAAAATTTGACCGGGTAGCGGCACTGGTGTGGCCAATATCTGTGGCTATCGACCAGAGAAGCTTCTAGGCATCCAAGTGGCGCTGTATGATAACTAGCTGTTACTAGAACCATGCTAACAGTATTTATGCCCCTTACCATACCACTAAGTTAAGTAGTAGGCAAATGGTCTGTGCGTGCAGCTTCTCTTCTCCGCGTTCCTGAATTGATCGCGTCTCCCCAAATATTTGTAGTGTTGTCGTATTGTAATTTGGCAATCGAAATTTACATCTTCAACCATGGACTGCCTCGCACCTGGCAGGCTTTAGCTTAGTGATTAAGTCAGGTCTGTTTGTCCCAATGTGTGAATAGTACCTCTTCAATCCGGCGACAACAAGCCGAGTCCGAAGCCCTCCTCCCCCTTTACCTATCCAGCTCCCCCTCTTCTACACGCCTTTCAACGCAAGCACATCAACCATGACGGCCACCAACCCGACCACCCTCCACAACGCCCCTTTAGTCCTCGACAACGGCTCCGGCACCATCCGCGCCGGCTTCGCAGGTTCAGACCTCCCCACAACCACCTTCCCCTCTTACGTCGGACGACCCAAACACCCGCGCGTCCTCGCCGGCGCCCTCGAAGGCGACACCTTCATCGGCAGTCGCGCGCAAAAGAACCGAGGCCTCCTCAAGCTGAAATGGCCCTTAGAACACGGCATCGTGACAGACTGGGACGATATGGAGCGGATCTGGCGGCACGTCTACGAGAACGAATTAAAGACCATGAGCGAGGAACACCCGGTCCTATTGACCGAGGCACCGTTGAATCCGATTCAGAACCGAGAAATCGCAGCGCAAGTCCTCTTCGAGACCTTCAACGTGCCGGCCCTCTACATCGCGGTGCAGGCCACCCTCTCCCTCTACGCCGCCGGGCGCACCACCGGCGTCGTCCTCGACGTCGGTGACGGCGTCTCCCACGCCGTGCCCGTCTACGAGGGCTTCGCCATCAACTCGGCCATCCGCCGCGTCGACGTCGCCGGTCGCGACGTGACCGAGTACCTACAGACCCTGCTCCGCAAAGCAGGCTGGGTCTTCCACACCTCGGCCGAGAAGGAGATCGTGCGCCAGATGAAGGAGACGGTCGGCTATCTCGCGCTCGACCCGCGGAAGGAGGAGAAGGAATGGGCGCGCGGCGTCTACCCGGGCGCAGAGGAGGAACGAACCTCCAAGATCGTCGAGTACGCGCTCCCGGACGGCCAGAAGGTCAAGATCGGCGCCGAGCGCTTCCGCGCCCCGGAGATCCTGTTCGATCCCGCCTTGATCGGCCTGGAGTACAGCGGCGTGCATCAGATGGTCGTGGATGCCATCCAGCGCACGGATATGGATCTCCGCAAGAATCTGTACGCCAACGTCATCTTGAGCGGCGGCGCGACCTTGACCAAGGGCTTCGGAGAGAGGCTGTTGGGCGAGGTCAAGAAGTTGGCCATGAGGGATACGAGGATCAAGATCTACGCGCCGCCGGAGAGGAAGTACAGTACTTGGATTGGAGGAAGTATTTTGGCCGGGTTGAGTACGTTTAGGAAGGTGAGTCTTCTTTTTTTATATATAAAAAAACCCCCCTTTTCCTTTCCTTCCAGGCTCAGCTGCTACTACTACGCTGTGTGCGCTGCTTCGTGGCGCTAGGCGGGCGGAAAGCGCGAATTAGTTGTGCTGACGATTCCGGGGTGATATGCAGATGTGGATCAGCATCGACGACTGGCACGAAGATCCGGATATCATCAACATCAAATTCGGCTGAAAGAAAGATAAGAAAAAAACAATCGATAAGAACATGGTCTGTGATTTTGGTCCCGCTTCGGTATGTATTTTGCGCTCTACTTAAAGAAACTGTATGGAAAAAGGTACATAGGCGCACAGCATTTCGTATGGGAGGTGGCGCAGCAAACGGCATACGCATACGCATACGCATACGCGAGGAAGCGGAGAAGATCACACCATCGAAGCAAACTCAATGGAGGGCGGGAGCAAGGGAAGATTTTTCTTGCACGGCAATCTTGTTTTGTTGGGGTGAGGGAACCCACCCGGCTCCAAGGGCTATAGTATGTGATGGGAAGCTAGGTCAGTCCTCGTTGGCAGCGGCAGTTGCAGTTGTGGTGCAAAAAGTCGGACTTCTTCCATGGAACGCACCTGCAGTGGGAAATTACCAGGAACGTGGTGGAGGACGGAGGCGAGTGAGCCCTGTGTGAGCCCTGTCAAAGTGGGAAAAGCGTATTGTTCGCTTGCTTGCTTGCTTACTTAATTACTATACGAGATACTCATACCCAGAACCAGAATTAGATTCAGAATAGCACCGCTTTGATGAGCGCGAGGCATGCCATGGCAATCCGATTACTCGTATTAGCCTCGTCTGGAGTTAGATGAATGGAGTCAACCCTTGAGCCCGCAGTGTAGGAAATACTAGTACTCCTAGTAGTACCCAAACAATCGAGGTTGAAGTGATATCGGGGTCTTGGCATTGGGACTGTGGCAGGTTGATTTCTAGGGGGGACGGTGAGGGTCTAGAAGGTCGTTCTGAGTGGATATGTGCATGGTCTATGTCTATCTATCCGATATCTGTCGGCTTGCGGGTTTGGGAAGTTGAAGGTGGGATTGAGGTGCGGAAGGGATGGTAGGAAGTATGTTAGGGATGGTCAAGAGAAGATCTTGACGGCGGTTAAGGGATTTGACATTTGCTTGCCTCCTTGTCATAGCCTCCAGCCTGACTAGTTGAGCGAGGTCAGGGATCCTGGTAGAATTCAAGTGAGAATAGGAGCAGGGCATTTGCCGCTGTAATGCTGACGAGTTGAGGATCGATAGGATGGTAACGCACGCGTATTAGGCAATAGAGTTTCGAACCTGTATGTTCGCTATGCTTTGGGATTGGCATAGAGGTGACCTTTTGCATATGCCGTTCTCTCCTGGCTTTTTGTTGACGAGCAAGAAAGTACGCTAGAGCCAGAAGACAGAACCAAGAGGGTCGTGCTACAACATAAAAAGGCGAAATGGAAGAGAGGACAATGTGGCGCGAAAAGAGCATCTTGAAAGGTCTCGGAGAGAGCCAGGCCCCGTTCATCCTCAGGAAGCGAATATCTGCACAAATTCTAGCATGGAGATTTCCGACACAGCTGATAGAGAAGAGTTTTGTGGTGTAGAAGGCATTTCGACACCGAATCTCCTAATGGTATGAGGGACAGGAGATCTTGGAAACAGCCACCCTCTATCATATCAGCTAGTACATCATCTGGTTAGAGACTGAGTACGGTCCGCCTTCCACAAATTCGCGATTTGAATCATAACATCATGCGGTGCAACAAAATTGAAAGAGAACATTCGATTGCATCAGATATCCAACATGACAGGTCTTGGCAACGGCCACGTCGGTTACTTTAACCTGCTGTTGCATTTGCATACAGAATTGGTGGTGTGCGGCCTTATGTGGGTCGGGGTCCAGGGGAACAATAAAACGCAATAGTTCTTACCGTGAGGAAGAAACATCAACCACGCAGATTGAATATGTGGTACGTGTACCGCTTCGATATCGGAGGAATGGGTCGACCGAGTCAGAGATGTACTGTGCTATTCCTCTTTCCTTGTCGGTTCCGAAATCGGTCGTTGAAGCATTTAATCATAGCTCAATCCTGGTCGTTCTTCGTTTTGGACTGGCCATTGCGCCGAGTAGCACAGTGTTCCCTTTTCGTTCGATTGATCTTCCAGATGTAGTCACAATGCATTTTTGGCGCTGCTGTGTCACAATCGACATTCGTTGATAGGGGCCGCAGGGCACGGGTCCCTGGATGCAGCTATCAAGCAATGCAGGGTAGCTCGATTCTGCACCCCACAACCGTTGGCTTTCAAGTTTGACGAGAGTATCAGGTTGTCACTGAACAATTTCCCCATGGGGAGCTGCATGAACGTTTCTCCAGAGCCAAGACTTGACCCCTTTGGTGTTTGTTAGTGTGTCTTTGGTTCTGCCGATGTTGTACCAGATCATGTTCCTGGCCTCTAGGCGTCGAGCCGTTCCCTTTGAGAGCTGGAAGAGCTAGGTAGACTTGAGCAGCAGCGGATTGTATGAGCCGGAGCTATGTTCCCATACAAGGCACCCCTTCGATATGGCTGTTGTGCTACCCAGTAGCGCGGCTTGAATTGGTGGGCGTGCAACAGGTTAAATAGCAACCCCTACCTCCCTTGCATTACTACTGTCTCCAGACCTGCAAAGTAGTTGATCCATTTCATCACTCAAGCATCACTCAAGCATCCAGCAGCCGAATTCGAACTTTATGGTCAGCAAGCACCCTTGACTTAGCTACTCCGGTAGGCACAAGACAGCCATCAGCCAAATGCTGAGGGCCAGTTCGCTCCCTCGACGTTATCTAGTCCCATCATGAATAAAACTACTCAACGTTCATTGCAGGGAAGTTTTCTTGCACAGGCAGAAGGTCGATTGCATGAAAGACGGCCGTTGTCGTGAAGAGTAATTTTGACAGAGATGAGACTTCCTACTGGATAATTTTCGGAACCGAATTCCGCAAACGGTCGCTTAGTGCATATTGCTGTAGCGCCCTAGCCCAGAGGAGCGGCGTATGTTATGGAGGACAGAGAAATGAAACCTCATAAAGTCTTTCCTTGCTGAGCGCGACTGTCTTACCGTGTTGTGCTCAAGAGCGATTTCGAGAGGCCCGTATGGGATGATAAGATGATAATCCGTCGGTTCGTTATTGATGGTTCAACGTAGGCCCACTCTGGACATGTAGATCGGGAATGGAGCTTGGTTGATCCGGGGTCCGTTACGCGGTAGACTGTTGCACTTCGGTGGGCCTCTTGTGGGGAAATGCAGCTAAGCTGCACGATGGTCAGATCGAACAAGGCTACTCAAGTACTCCGGCCGTTAGAGCAGAGAGGATGGAGTCGCCGGGATGCGGTTTATGGACCAGGTACGGTGGATTGCTTGCACCAGCGCTTCACTGGAAAGCATACCTAGGTCGGCTCCTAAGGCCGGAGGGGCAGAAAGGTGCTGTTCTCATGCGCTGTGATGTGATGATTTATTTGAGAGATTTTTGCTCTCGATTTCTCCTGGAGAGGTCCGGATCGTACTTGGCCCAGGTGTACGAGTAGTGTCCCAGTTTTGAAGCGGCTGTATTGGTATTTACACGCATGGCGCCGAGGGGCATGATGACTTCTCCAGGAATGGGATTCTGATTACCCCCATAAAACTGGTAGCTGACCGCTTGGATCAACACGTGGCATGCATCTTGATTATATTATCACCTCTGGGCGTAGTTGGCCGTCATGGCAATGAAGGTGGATGAGTATTGGATGAAATAGGTGATTAAAATTGGTCAGAGTTGGTCAAAAGTGGTTTCTGTTACTCGATAGTTAGGTTGTCAGTGGGTGAAATTACGGCATAGTGTCTTGGGGTCTTTCCCCAAGCACCACAAGGATCTTAGGGGTGTCATTTGACATGCGCTCGGCTCCCTACTGGTCGGTACTACGTACCGCTGTGGTAATAGCAGCTACTGGCGCCATGATCATCAGTCAATCGGACAGATCAAGGACATACCACGGAAGTAGAGGAGATTTTGCAGAGTTTTCCGTGGGTAGTACTAGTAGTCGTATTCAATTCAGGGCTTACCTCGGTACTACTTGGTCTTCAGTGCAGCCGAAGCTGCCACCCTGAGCTTTCCATGCATTTCCCTCATGGAAAGGAGATGAGTGGTATGACGCCACGACAGCCAAATATTCGGTGATTGAATTTTGCCATGTCGCTAAGTTAGTGATGCTCTCAAGCTGTAACCTACTATGGTGGCACTACGTAGCACTACTAATCTGCAGGTCAGAGATGCGGTGCTACTACGCGAATTATCTGCTCACCGCCAAGGTGCGGCTAACATGGGCTTAATGTTCCTCCATTGCTGTTACTTTTTTTGACGCTGCTTGTTTTGGGTTCCGAACCCAGTGCTCAGCTGTCGTCTGAATTTGGATGCTGCGTGACCATGCAATTTTGTCCGCGCTTTCCATTTAACTGCAAAGCGCAATATGTCAAATCAGAACGCCTCTGGAAGCCTGCCCCGGTCACCTGTAATCACCATGCGTCCTCTGTACGGTACCGTATCTGGCCTCTGCCCTTCCCCCTCCTGGAGTACATATAGGCAGGCGCGGCTGCCTTCCATCACGATTCCTGCGTTTATTCCGGCAAAATTCTAAAGTGCATCTCGTCATTCATCAAACTCAGTTGTCCCGTGTGGCTGCACACGTATCACATCACAATCATCACATCATCCTCACCGAGGTCCAACATACACTACCAAGCAATCAGACAATGCCTTCCTCATCGGCGATATACAAACTCGTTGAGCCGCATCCACATGCGACTACCCCATACATTCACACTGCGCGGGGTGGTGCTGGCAATGTAGCCAGCGCAACATCGACTACCGACGGCTCCAACGCTACCGGCCCTGCCTCCCGTCATCCCTCACTATCCACCCCAAGGAGGACAGTCTTCACTTCAGGGCGAGGAGGCGCAGGCAACCTACATACACAATCCGAACGAGCCATCTTTTCTTTCGACGAGGAACTTGAGAGGGAAATGAGACAGACACAGGACCTGGCGCCAGTGTGCTACGTTGGCAGGGGAGGAGCGGGGAACAAATTCTATGTGGATCAAGCCATTCAAAGAGTCGAAGCTGCAGACTCGGACTCGGCAGTGAGCACCAGCAGCAGCGAGTGCGATACAGCTCCAGATACTCTAAATCGCAAGCTGAAGAAGGGATGGGGCAAGGTGGTAGGCTTTGGCCACTGGTGACCACATCGGGCAGCCTCTGACCGCTTCACTCAGATTGCACTATTCTAAGCCTGCATCATTTGTGCACCTTCTAATCATCGTCTGCAGAGAGAGCCTCAGATCGAAGAGCATGGCGCTATGGAAGACAGAAAATTGGTGTTTGGAATACCCTACTTCACGAATCTTCCTTGGGTTCATCGATGGCGTTGATCACCAGCTGGGGGCGTCAATATTGATAGCATTTTCGTAAGCGCTGGTACTGCCGAGATGGTGGTCACTGTGTATCAATATGGTATCGGGGATTTGAGCTCGGCTTACTATCATGGGTTTGGTGTATCCTCAACATTGCTGATTTCAGTTATGATTCATTGTATGCATAGCGCGGGTGAATGGAGCTTCCATTGCAGTCATCACTTATCAGGTTGAAATATCATTGCATTCTCCACGTGTATAATCTGTGTATTTTTGGTGTATTCTTAATGAAATTTTGTGTAAAACTTTATACTGTATTTTATATCGAAATAGCTGTGGCTTCTGCGCAGAATTCTGTGCGATATAGCTGCGAGTTCTGTTGATTTTTAGGTAAAATTACAAATTACTAGATAATAGACGTCATTTTAGCCTAAATATGTATAGCTCGCTTATTTTGTAGGGCGGAATGACAATCAGGCCGCAATTTTGAATCTTGACCTCAGACGTGCTGGCGCACATGGACTTAGTCATCGTCCAAGTCACATAGCTCGGCTGAGAACTGAGGCAATTGTAAGGGATTGGAGGTGTGTTGCTTATAGCAGCAGTATCGAGTACTGGATCCTCTCACCTACTAGTAATATGACTCTTCGCGACGAGTAGTATCCGTCCAGTTAGATATTGAATTCTGCTGGCTCAGCGTGAAAGCCTTGGATTTCATCCAAACGTATGAAATATGGCAAAGAAGCAGCCCGGTGGAGGCGAAGTCCTAAGTCTAGAGATCTGTTTGACCGTCAAGACGGTGATGACGCTGCTATGCGAAATGTGTGACAATCAAGAGACCAGCGAGAACACCAGCGGCTCTTTCGTGGCATTGCAGATCATCCGCCTCTCCAATTCGGGGCCAGGCGCCCCTGTTGCTGAGCTGAGAGCAGACACCAGGAAGTCTGCCTTGTGCCGCAGAATTGGACGAATCAAACAACGATGAACTGTGGTAGGTAGAACCAATAAGCCGCCTTGAATCTCAGCCGCACCTTTGGGGCACGAGGCGGGAAACAAGAGGGTTAGAAGTGTCGTACACGGGCCTTGTTGGGGCTTGTTCCCCACAGACGCTCACCTCTTGTTCATTAGCAATTTCCTCATTTCGCGACGTTACTTTTGTAATGGAGACTCACCGACTTACAGAAACCCCAAGTCTTGACATAAGTTATGGCTTCAAGTCGGAGGTCCACGTTTAACCCCGCGGACATCCGCGCGACACCCCTACAGCCCCGCAAGACGATGACTTGGACCGTCTTCGCACAGCAGCCTACACAGCCAGCAGAGCCGAGACTACACCTAGCATTGTTCCCCAAGTACTGGCTCAGTCGTGACTTGGGTTCTACAATAGATCCGAAATGACGAGTAGGCATTTTACATTCGTCGCCCTCTGACACAGGTGAGTACAGATGACTGAAGCCATTGGTTGGCGATACACTGCTTATGCTTGTACGTTTCTGCCTGGCAGGAGGATCAAGGCGACCTTTTAAAGGAACGAGATGAATCGCCCACAAACGCACCGCGTACTCGGTCACAATCAGTGGAACCGTAAAGGAAGAACCTCAGGTATTATTAATGGCGAAACATGGTTGTAACATCCACGTCTAAAGTGGCAATGAGCAAGGCTAATTCGGGGGCGTGTTTGTTTTTGCGCAGCCACATTGCAGTTTGCTACTGTACATTGCGAAAGTCTTGCGAAAAACTTGGCGAGGGTTGGAGTTGCTGGCGCTGCGTCGTTAAACAGAAACAGCTCTTAAGGCTTTTTTACGGATCTTTATTGTACAATTCTTATATCAAAATGATGCTGAGCTCCTTTTAATTCTAATAATATAGATTTTAGATATATAAGATTCTTCTTTAAGAAGTAGAATTTACTATATAGACAGTCAGCTTTACCAATCAAGATCTTTATCATTGCTTATCTATATCATTAGAATCAAGAGAAGCTCAGCATCATTCTGATATACTATCTACATAATACAAATTTGTGGATGACCCCTAAGAGCTGTGTTCTGTTTGACAACGTGGCGCTAGCAATTCTTGATATAACGCTAAGGATTCGCAACACTTTCGCAATGCACAGTAAAAGGGTGGGCGGTTCCTAGATTGCAAAGATGAGCAATTCTTGTATGCGAATAAGTTTAATGAAGGATCTGACAGGACATTTAATCCAACTTGTTTGAATTTCAAGCCCTCTTGAACATTCTTTGATTCCCATTCCATCACAGCCATGCATCTCCCCGACGTGTTCGAGTCTTCCTACAAGGTTTACAACCGATACCAGGAGCAACTCGTGTGCTTCGGCCCGAAGCTTGGCGCCAAAATTTACGGGAGTTCTCGGATCCCCTTCCTCTCCCCCCCTACTTCATTCCCCTATTTCTCTACCAATACTCACTCAAATTTAGGGAATAATGAGTTCTGAACAGGGAAATAGACGGCGCGTCTGCCGAAAGTCTTATTCGATAGATCCTCCTTCTCCTGCGGCCCCACGAACGCTAAAAACGATGCTTGATACGCCGCGCCGCGCGCGCCTCCTCGCCGATGCACGCCACACAGCTGGCAAACTACCCCGTACAGAGCTATTTAAGATACATAATATATCTGAAACAACTGGCTATCGAATCATCAAAGAACGAACTGCGCGCCGTAGTCAGAAAGTCCACAATCGAGGTCGAAAGCAAGTACTTGCTCAATATGAGTGTGAAGCAATTGAGGCAATAGAAGATGCCAATTTTGGCTTTGCTTCTTCTAGTCATTTCAAGGTGGCAAAGACTATTGGTATAGCTAATGGCTCTGAACGTGCTATTCAAAGAAAGATAAAGGCTGTTAGCGTAGGGGCGTATATAGCCGCAGACTCATTCTCAGC